GAGACCTATGAGCGTGATCAAAGCTCGCTTTTAGGCGGCTCTGATTGATCCAGTTCCAAGGTGACAAATGCTGCCATGACATACTCCGATGTCGCCTGCTGGTGCGCCTGTCCAATCGCCAACATTACTGATGATGATAAGAAAAAAAACCACTTGATGAGCGCGCATCGACACCCCAATATTAGCCGCCTGGGTACCTCGTATTTTTCTCTTGTGTTCTGGCTCTGCACTAGCTCATCTTGATTCGCTGTGTTAACGGCCACGCGGGCCAGGATTTGACGATCGGCTTGGGTTCCACGTGCTGTGGCACTTTAATCGATCCTGCTGGGCCTTTTGAACTTGCTTGACCCCGGACCCCGGAGCCCTACGGAGAGGGTGGATAGCCAGGAGGCCCAGGACCCATGTCTACGGAGTGTTCGGCCCAGGGCAAGTTACTATCTCTCTTATCTTGATCGGCAGGCTTCCGACTTCACACAGGAAAGGCTTTCTCGTTCAGAGAATCGGGAAGTCCAAGGGCTTATGCCCTTCGAATCTGTTTGAACTCAAGGGTTTGCCCGCGGCCATGGCTGGAAACGACCCCCACGACGGTGTTTTGTTCGGCTCGGCGTTGACGTATCCAGATGCAAGCGTATCAGAGCCCTGTCTAGGGTTTATTTCCCCCAAGCCATAGGCAATAAACCAGAGTCCCTTCTGTTCCTGAACTCATCTCTTTCCGGTGATTGCGATTGGTTTCAAGCAAATGGCATTGCCGTACCCAACAGCTAATGGTAACTAATGGGTAATTATCACCTTGTTTCCATCGAATGGAATGTGGTGTCGTACACCATGGAATAATGGCATTATTACGGCGATTGGGCCGAGCATAAACACTCCATCTGCCTTGCGACTGACGGTGTGAACGCGCCTCTACACGAGAACCTTGCACGCCACCGCCAATAACCGTACAGCGGAAGGATGATCCTGGTGTTTGGCATATGACAAGGGCATTTCCGGGGCTGCAAGTCTCCCCTGACTTGGCTTCTGAAACCACTTGAAGGAAAAACATGTCCAGGTGAGCTCTTTAGCCATAGAGTCTGACTACCATACAGCCGAAGAGGCATATGAACTCATCATTGGCCTCCAGTATGTTATACACTGCTCGTATTATTGCGCCGCCCGTCTTATCCTTATGACTCGCAAGTCACGACTCGCGAGTCATACAGCATGGGCCCCATCTTCACCGTTTTACGAGAACACGAAAACATCGCCAACAGCCATTGGGTACGTACCGAGTAGAGTTGGTGGCTGGCAGGCGAACTCATGATAGGTGCGTGCACCATCACAGCTCGGCGGGTCGCTGGCGTTTCGGGGCTTGGTCATCCGGGCTCCATCCCTAGACTATTGCCTGATTCAGCTGCACCTTCTCCAACGCCAGTTGGTCCACAGCTCACGGTCCACTAAGGGCGGGGCTTGCGCCGGACTTATCTATTCTAGAATTCCACCGGGAGTGAGAAAACCGGTGGAGGGGTTGAGGCTGGAACACCTGACTTCGTTCTTGAAACCCCATGTCATGGGTCAGGTTAACGATTCGAATCAAAGCAGTGTCTGGCCTCGGCCGAGAATGGTCCAGCGGCTTTATCCTTGGCTTTCAATGGAGGACGAGTGCGATTTCACCTGGTCACAGTCTGACAGTCACACTGGCTGACCTCTCGGAATTGATGCTCTCGTGTACAGTATCTTCGCCTGCGCTAGTCAACATTTGTACGGAGTACCCACGAGGCAGCCACCACGCCATTGCATGGCTCCAGTGACAGAGTCGAGCTAAAACTGCACCGGAGAGTCGGAGTTTGAGCCTTTGAAACATGACTTCCCCACGTCCCTGGCGCTGTCAGGCTGTCATGCCTCGTATCTTTTTCCTGCGCTCGCCGAATAATCTCCAAAAGTGCTCATACCCTGGTCCGGCCTATGAGCGAGTCAACTAGGTCAACGTTCCGAATCACCCGGAATAAGAAAAGGTGTGGCTGGAAAAGGTGACCGGAACGTGCTCATGTGAAAGCGTTATTTGCTTTTCCCATGGTCTCTGGGCCAACCTCGGATCTCACTAGGTATCGAAAGGCTAGTTCGGTTAGAGAAGCGAGAACTCAGGTTAACTCTAGGCCGCTTTTTGATCCTTCCGTACTCCGTAGGCACGCGGGCCATGCCGATCGGCTCGAGGCGCTCGTGGGACCTTGAACCCATGCCCCCAGACGGTTTATGAGTTCCTTTGTGCCCATGCCATCGTGTCACGTTGATATCTTGGTATCTGCCGGTAAATATGACGCAGATGCCAGCTCCGAACGCACAAGCAAGCCTTCGTGGCATTTGTGTCACCAACTCCTAGAGTCTCGTGAACTCCCACCTGATGTCGACAATGTTCCACGTCTTTGGCGGTCCGGCCCGAGGATACTGTCCTCCCCAGTAGCGGTGTGGAATCGGCCATTCAAGACCATCAGAGCAAGGGCCCATGAACCCTTTCAGCTCCGAGACCGCGGTTAACTGGCTCCTGCCCGACGAATCGAGGCCCGACAGCATGTGCGAGGCGATACAACGCAAGACGAGACATGTCTTGCTCCGGTATCCCAGTTGAGTAATACATGCTGACGGCTTAATTATTCCCGGTTACTGGCGGGTTTCGGAATTGAGGTCATTCACTGTCTGCGTTCAGCTGTCAACGCCGCAACGGTGCCTTCAACGGTGCCTTCAAGGTTGACATACAGGGTCACCCCGGTTTCGCTTGCAACGAAACAACGGATGCTCAGATGCCCAATGACAAATGCCTGCAACAGCGCGATTTCAAAGCAGATGAGGCATGCATCATCCCGCTACCTGCAGTATCTAGCCTTGGCTTACGCGGCTTTCTACTTCTAAACTCTGGTTAACCCAATGATAAGTCATCCTGGCACAATCATGCTAGCGCCATTGACAGGGTCTGGGCTGGTCAAGTGCTTTGGACTGCAGGTTTGCCCTTGTCCCTCTGGGCCACGATCGTGCTGATAGGAGGGCTAAGTTCAACTGGAATTTGCAAGCTCCGGTCTGGCGAAAGCATTGAGTGAGTGAGCTGAGTCACTGTGATAATTACGAAGAGGGTTATCAAAGGCCATGCAGGAACTTACTTGCTGACGAATTGGACCGGACCCTCAATCAAAGCGTCTCCTTGAACAAAATTGACAGTTGATCCAGCGCTTTCTGGTCTCCTGACTACTTGAGCGGCATGATTCTAGCAATGAACGAATGACAGATGCTTGTCGGATTGAAATGACTTATGGCGCCTCTAAGTGTACCCGCAGATGGGGTGGAACAAGATGCACCCAGTCGAATAGCTCCATGTCATAGCGTTTCAGATCACGATTTTGCTTCTGCTCGACATGATGAAAACACAAGTGGCCGATCCATCAAAGCGGCTTCGTCATCTGGGCTTGCCCTAAGTGGAGAGGATCCACTTGATACATCTGGGGAAATGACATGAACTGATATCTTTCGCTGACCCTCTGGACTGAGCAAGGCAAGCCGAACTCCCAATCTCTACAAAGAGCTGTTTCATCAAGAAGATATAGTCTGTTGAATACCTCAGCGAACATGTTGGGCAGTTTGGTCGCTTGACACGGATCTATGGGGTTCTTTCCACAAGGACCAACTGCCGGGAAACCGAAAAGACAGTGATTCCAGGACCCGCAACAAGATAATGAAGCTTTCTACCCATAATATCATTTATCTGGACGTGAAAACATTGTTTGACATGCCGACTAAAGTCATGTCGGCTTCCAGGGCCATCACATGACTGGGGCCTTTTCCAGTTATCCAGACTCAACTTACGGTCTCAGGCCCAATCATGTTTCTTTGGATTATCTCAATGGTGATTGCGATGCCGAGCTACTGACCACACGCCGGCTACGGTTAAGGAACGCACCCGCAGTGGAATATGCACCCTAATCTCCGGACCTTGCAGCTACGCACTCGATCAAACTCCTTGCGCTCTGGCCGAGTTGTCCTACCTCTGGTGACCAATCAGCCGATGTTGCCAAATATATGACCCCTCGCATATTGGCTTCCACAAGCCCTACTTCATAGTCACATGGGTCGAGTTCGGCATATCCATATCCATATTCCTTCTCGCAGCGCGATGCGATACAGCACCGTGAATCACCAAATATATTGCCTGTGGCCTGTACTTGGCAGTCTTAACCTTCGTTTGTATGCTGTCCTTCTCACAGAATAGCCACAAGACGCTGTTTATAGCAATTGTTTCAGATCTTCGTCGCCGATAGCATGGTACCGCTGATCCTGGCCGCACAGGCAGGTCTCGGCGTCCGCGAGACAATCCAAACAGAATCGAAGGCCACTACGCGCTCTTATTCGGATGCTCAATCGACCCCTCGCTCTCATTCTCATCGGTCTCGGGAAACTCACCATAGTGGCCTTTCTGCGGCAGATCCAGGGCTAATAGTGGCGTTTACACGCTCTGCAAAAGACCAATTAGGGCATGTGATTGTGTGGAATTAGTGTGACTTATCGCTCAAGTGTGTTGGGTGCGGTTGCAGGGCAGACGTATGCACTGACGAACTTACAGGAGCGAGGTGTGGGTTATCTTTATTGTTCGCTGTCTCCCGCCCACGAAGGTGTTCTTTGCGTGCTTGTTGCAGCATGGGTGTAAGAGCCTTCGCTTTGTGTCTAGTCGTCTCGACGTGATTTTGACCCCGAGGGCTCTGAAGTAGGTAGCATATCTAGTCACAACCCATGTCCTACTCAATCCTCAAAAGGCCACGCTCCTTTACGTATGCACGTATCGTTGGCAGGTACAGTAACTATTCGACTGAGTGGAGATGATATATTGCTGTTGCCTAAGTACAGCTTTCGGGAAAGGGGACAGAAACATGAAGCTAGCTAGCCCGTCCACCGTAATAAGATATAGATATCGCGAATATTTTGCTTCGACTATGTCTGACTCGAAGGCGAGTTATCACCTGATCTCCTTCTCAGCATAGCTACCAGTAAGCCGCAGACCCTGATTCTTCAAGGTCATCAGCCCGAGTGACCCCTTCAACAACTCGGTGCTGTCTCCCACCGACAGGCGCACCACACTCCGGACATAGTGATTCCTGAATCGCACCTCCACACTCTCCAATCGTAAAAGGGTGGCCATTGCCACAATAGTACCAATGTCCCGTTCCAACAAATTCACTAGCCATGGCCTGCACAACAGCAAGGCGTTCTGCATTCGTGACAATAGAATAGAAAGTCGAGAGGAACATAGTCTCCGCTGCGTCAATTTCGCTCTCCAGGCCCTTAGTTTGCATAGGAAACGTGGTGATAATACCCCGTGCTCTCTCAAGGGATGCAAGACCAGTATCAAGATGAGTTTTGCTCGCTGTTGAGTCAATGCAGTGACAGCGTTCTAAAGCGTGGAGTTGAGCTAGGAAAAGGTGACCTTCTGCTTCGAGAGAAGGAAGTCTCGAGTCTTTGGCACTTTCTATAAGAGACTTGCATTCTTCGCGAGTTTTGCTCAAGTCGAGCGTGAGCCTAGTGCGCGCGCGTCCCTTCATTCGCAGGAAGTCTGTTAGCAGAGCTATGTGTAGACGAAGGCTGAGAGTTGCAGCCAACAGAACACCTTTAAGCTGGAGCATGTTGTTTGCGCCATTGAACTCTTCGATGGCTATGTTGTTTTTGCGTCGTGCGCTTTCAACCATAGCTAGTACCCGAATGAAAGGCTGTTGGCCTGGTGAGACCTTGTCTCGATAAGCCGCAATTTGTTCGTGCATCTTCAGAATATCTCCCCAGCGGGAAGTTGATAAGTAACCCAATGCTCCCCTCATGATCTGGAGCTGATGGGCGCGATCTCCATTAATGCGTACAACCGAGGCTAGTCTGGTCTTCTGAGACTGATTATATTCGAGGTCCTTGAGGCTTTGGATTCTGCGCGCCATCTCTTCTGCCAGTGGCAGATATTCACGGTTTAGGTACAGTACGAATTTTTTGGTAGAATCGTCGAGTAGCGCCTGTCGAACTAGTCGACCATAACGCGCAATGTCTCGCAAATGACCGCGACATAGGGCGCAGTTCTTGATGTCTGCCATGCGGAACAGCTCTGGTAGAGCTTCTTTGACTGAGACTGGCTTTCCCTCAATGTCCAACATGTAGTATTTTGCAATATTCATTTGAGCGTCCATACTTTCCACGGTGAGGAAATGGCCGCATTTGGGAAAGATGCACGGGCTTTCGTCTAGGTCAACGTCTTTATATGTTTGTTCGAGTATGAAGTCAACCTGATGGTGCTTGATCGCATCTTTGGCGCATACCTGACAGAACCTTGGCGGCGGACATTGCTCACCGCAGACAGACGGGCATTGGTGACCACATTGGAGGAGCTTCTCGCACCGCTGTGAGCAGGGAATGTGATTACATGGTGCTGCACATGGCAATGTACAGGCACTGTGTGGACAGGAGGAAAGACAGGTCTCTTGGGCGCATGGCGTACATGGCTCGTAGCATTTCCTTGTGCATTTCGAGTGCTTGCAGCGGACTTCGCATGCTGCCTCACAGGGTGGACAAGGCTTAGCTCCATGGCAGGTTGTTTTACAGGTATGCCTGCAGGTGGAGTAGTTTCTACCACACAGCTGTCGGCATTCGCCATGGCGAACACCATCAAGCCTGTTGCACTCGTGGCATTTGCGGCTGCAAGCATGACCGCATGATAATTGTGCACCGCATGGGTTCGTGCATTGGTAGCTGGCGGCGGACACATCAAGATAGCAAGGCTCAGAAACATCATGTCCGCAGCGAGGGACAGTTTTTCTGACTGATTCTTCACAGTCAAACTTTGTCGTGTCCTGGTCCTGAAAACATGGCAGTGTTTCCCTCGGATGTCCACATGGCAGCTTCCTTCCTTCTCGAGTAACAAGTGCTTTACAGTTAAACGAGCAAGCGTTTCCACATAACTCGGGGCAGGGATGTGTGCAGCCCACTCGTGCCCTAGAGCAAGGCTGGCTGCAAAACACTGCATTATGCAGCATGTCGGAGTGGCATCGCTGCTCGCAAGCATGACCACAATTAAGGCGCTTTGTGCATCGCAGATTGCAGCCGCCTTCCGGAGAAAGACGTAGGAAGTCGCTGGGCTCAGATACCACCAGGACGGCATTTGGGTGTCGGGAACACTCTAAATGGAGTTTGGGTCCAAAGTTATCGTCCTGTTTCAGTATTTGAATGACTTGAGCCCACATCGGAATATGCATTGACGTCTCGGAGTTGCCCAGAATGTACAATCCATGCTGGGCTCGCGATAGAAGGACGTTGATTCGATTTGGCGTGCTTAGGAAGCCGCAACGGTTCTGGGGGTTGCTGCGGACGAGTGAGATCACAACTATCTTGGCCTCTTCACCTTGGAAATTATCAACTGTCGACACACGAAGGGCCTCGAGTAAGTTGGACTTAACTGCTGGGCTGACACCCTTGTCAAGCTTAAGACCTGCTTTCTCCAAGTCTTCCTGATCACGTTCACCAATGCAAATTGCAAATAGCTTGCTGAGCCTTTGCCTGAGACGATGGAGTTGGCCGAGATATGGGGTCAACACTGCGATTTCGCCGCTCTTACGGTCCCCTTGGCTGACTAGATGATTGACTAGGGCAATTGTCATCTCAACTTCATGCTCATTCCAATGTGATGTCGCCACGGCATCATCCGCTGTATTTCCTTCATAAAAGCGATGGTCCAGCCAAAATAGCCTCTGTTTCATCCCAGACACTCTGGGGTAATCAGAGACGCATGCTGCGTCTTTCAAATCAGGATAGAGCGTATCTCGAATCAGGCTCGCGATTGAAGGATGCATGCGGCGTTGTGTCTCCAGTGTGCTATATGGGAGCCCTGCACCAAATGCAGTTCTTGGATCCACTAGCCTTTCAAATAAGGAGACGTCGAGAGAATATCGATCCCCTCCGTTAGGGTTCTCCCTCGATAGATCATAATTCTGGACCACAGGGCGAAGCTGTAGATGATCTCCGATAAAGATGGCATGCTCTACAGAGGGAAGTAGAGCAGTGAGAAGATGTGCTTCCAGAACCTCTGCTGCCTCTTCGCATATAACGACTCTAACTTGCAGCTTCTGAAGCATTTCCAGGTTATTCGCTAGCCCAGTGGTTGTGACACCAATAACATCGGCATCAGCTAAACAACGAAGGTCTACCTCGCTGCGAATACGGTCCCAGTTGTGTTTGACACCAGCATGCGCTGAGACCAATTCAATAGCTTCGCAGACCGTTTCCTCGGCAATATCCCCCAGCCATTGATGATAGACTGTTGTTCTTTCAGCCCGGTTCATAGAGTAGATGTTGACATGGAGCAAGTCTTTGAAAGATCGCCCTGGCTCGTTTTCTGCCCCCATACCGGATGTAAGCCACGCCTTGATGATAGCTCCAGGATTCTTGACTTGAGAGGGTTTCAGGTCATATTCATCACTATAGAACAGCTGTTCAAAGTGATCGGGATAATACTCGTAGAGGTATGGCGGGACTTTCGAGGCAGGTATGTGCTGAAATGAGAGCCTGTTGAACTTGTCCTCGCAGGTCTGAAGCTCATGCCGAAGAGACTTCTGCATGCTTTTCTCTTCCCTGGTCTTCGCGGCCAGTTTTGAAATGTCCCTTAGATTGCAACCAATCAGTCGTTCTGACCTCGACTGGGAACCTATTCGGACAATTTTTTCTGTAATCTTCCTGTCCAGAAGGGACTCTAGAAGTTGATCTAACGCATGGTTTGTGTATGATACGCAAAGAATAGGGCCGATGTTGCCACCATTTGCATACTTGTTGGCCAGAAGGACCTGGATCAGAGCAATTCCAGTGTATGACTTCCCCGTACCAGGTGGGCCTTGTATCAGACCAATACAATGCTGCAAGCTGTTAACAAGTGCTTTTACTTGAGCTTGATCAAGTATTGAGCTCGAGTACAGTTTCTCAGGATTCACTCGCATGTCAGGGTGAACGAAAAAATCCGCATCGTCTGTCATCAAACATCGGAGATTGAACTGGAATCCGTTTCTCAGAGAGTAGAGCGGGGGAGGGATCATTGCGAGATTGTCGCTCTGTGATGGAACAAGGAAGTTTTCAAATGGTATCTGGTTTGTTCTCTTGATCCTCTGTAGAGCCCGAAGTGTCGGTTCAAAGCTTGGGAGCAAAACCCCCGGAAACTCAGTCATTAGGAACAACTGTTCGCGGTCATCGTAGATATCCAAGATTGACCGCACGGTGCGCTCATCAGGCCCCAATGTGGTGAGCAAAACGAATACCTCATCCGCACCTTTCAGAGAGGTACCAAATCTCGTAGCCTTCTCGCTTTTGCGGCCTGATTTGTCTTTTATATGTGATTGTTCATCTGGTCCATGAGTGACAGTGCAGAAAGCAGCATGGTCGCCGTCAATGGTGAGGCAGACCAATGTGCCAGGCTGCAGGCATCTGGAGTCTGACCACCACGCTTCTCGCTGAGGTGCAGCCATTCGACGAAGACGAGTGGGTTGGGGGAAGCTGACTTGAAACACAAATCCGGAATTCCAGTGAAATTTCGATTTGACAATCCGCGCTCCTTTGTACACATTTGCCCGTGGACTCTTTCCTGGCGAAGCTTTAATGACATGATGGATGGCATCTCGTATTATTCCGACATTGTCTTCACGTAGCAAGCGAAAATTTCGATCTAATAGCCCTTCAAGGCCACTGACGTGCCAAGAAGACGGGTCTCGCTCTGGAAGATACTCTTGTCGGGGACTCAGAATCTCTTCTATAGTTGGCATGATCTGAACTAGAGAGAAGTCCTTATGGTCATTACCATGTCGACCGCCAGGTAGTTCCTGTCGAGGGACGAACTTGATGATTTGAGCATGGTTGGACTCTTCAGTATTCTGTGTCTGCATATGTGCGCCAGTTTTGGTACGAGAAAGAAGTTGGTTTAGGTATCTGCGCGATATGTGGAGTTTCCCTGACATATCTCCCTTGTCCATGGTGGTGAGAATGTCTTCTAATTTCAGTGCCTGCTTCTCAAGGCCTGTTTGAATAAATGCTGTTGAGTTGGCGAACATGATTCTATGGAAGACAACCAGCGAGCCTTCCAGCCATTGAGCACGTGTTTCGTCGTCTTCAGAGAGAGTCTCAAGGACAGAGCAGATGGAGGAAATGAGGTGGGCGGCTCTAGTTCCTCCTACCCCATAGATAAAATTGTATATGCCTCCAAGGGCATGCTCCACAAAAAGTGAAGAAAGTACTCGCGGATGAGAGATCGTTTCCAGGAATGGAACAACCTGGGATCGGAACATCTCGATTCTGATAGCAGGTGGGAGCGCCGCAAACTCGCGCTCGACCAGTTGTTGGATGTAGCGGAGCCCGTCCTCTTCAGACATGTAACAAATGACCTCTTGCATAGACTCGGAATCGCGTTCTACCAGTGACCTTGCTCCAACAAAGAAAGCTTCGAGGAACTCAGGAGCTATATAGACGGTGCATCTTGCGTGAGCAGTCCGCTTCCATGATTGGACCCCGTTGTCCTTCTCTGAGGCTTGTGGATAAAGAGGTGCGTGAAGCGGCTTAGGGTGACTTTTGCGGCAGGCTTTGTGGGAGCAGGAACCGGTCTTCTTGAACTCTCTGCAAGCTCTGGTAAATATGTCAGAAAAGTATGCTTTGAGCGAAGGAGCTCCTTACCTTGAGAAAGACATGTTGGCTTTCAGGAGGTGCTTGCGACTCAAGAAGTGAACAGTGCCGTGTTGAGGAGTTGTGTTGACGACACTGGATAGGTATCAAGTAACAGTAGGACTTGGGATAGAAATGAGACTGAGGGATGGCGATGAGCCTAGTATGCAAGTAGCTCAGTTTATCTCAAGTATGTTCCATGTAGTTAAACCAATAAGAAACGATGGTAATGGTCAAGCAGATGTTGCATTAAAGGGGACAAGAGGGATGATGGCGTGTTGGGATGTGTTGGTGTGTTGAAAAAGTATGGATACTTGAGTAGACGGATGTAGGAGGAAAGGCAGAGAGAGGGACAGGAAGAGGAAGAATAAGAGAAAGAGGAAGATGACAAGGAGTGCAACGAGATCAGCCTTTCTCAATCCTGGCTTCTTTCAGTTCTAGAGCTTTCTTACTCCTTTAAATGACCGTTCTTCCACCTCTTCCTGCCTTGCTCTTCCTTATTAGCATTTTCACCGGCCCACGTCTGTCTATTAGTATTACAATGTCATCTCTTGTGGCTCATTTTCGGCATCGTCTCATATACAGGTATTCTATGAGCAGTATCGATTCTTGCAATGCCACTCAACTGCTTATTGCGTGTTAATTCAGTCATTTCTTTCTGTATATTCTCACTTCCATATATTGCTCTACTCGTGCCGTGAGCTGACCAATGGCTTGGTGTATGTTGTGCCTACCAAGGGACAGTGATTATCCAGAAGTCAATCGCCGTGTTGCACTGTCATGAGACTTTAATGGAATGAGGTCCGTAGTTGTACATGCGGAGATCATTGGACTACGGTAAATAAGATCGATGCCTGAGGATACCCAACGGGTTAGCGTTCTGACCACGACCAACAACCTTACATAACGGGGCACCTGCCCCTCGTCGGGTGTCGTGACTCGGCCTGGTGAGTTGCTTGTCCGGTCATCTTGCGGAAAGATCTAGGTATATATATCACTGAGGCTGCTCTAGGTGGTCCTTCATCTGGCGCTCATCGTTCTCTCATCGTTCTCTCCCGGTTGATACCTTGTTCTTCAGGCAGCCGGACTCCGCCGGTCAAACGCCCACCACCTTACCTTCGGGTTCCCGATTTCTCTACCGCTGAACTCTTGCTCATCAGTCCTCCGACGGAGCGTTTGTTTGAAGGTCAGTGCTATTTCAAGAGATGCAATCCGCAGACCCTTGTCAATATCGCACCCCGTTGCGTCATACTTACTCCGTAAGCTGACTCCGCGCAAGCAGTTACCAGGACCTGTCTTCTCCGCACAGCGCTTTCTCCAAGAATTTCTTGCTACAGCTCACGGTTTATCAGAGCGCCAAAACCAACCAAGAGCTAGCTATGGCGTCTTTTATGGAGGATCTCTGGTCGAGCATATTCACCGCGGGCCCAACGCCGACTCTCCTCCTCGCTACCAACGCCACCTTCGCCGCCCTGCAAACCCTCCTCTTGATTCTCCTCCTAGCCACATACAGTATCCATTTCGCTATCCTGTCAATCCTTTCAGGAGCACTCTGGTATTCAATCAACTGGTTTGCGCAGGAGTTGAAGCAGGCCCAAGCCCAAACGGCGCGTCAGGAAACACCAGCAGAGAAGACGCCCGAGGCTATACAGTCTGATGCAAAGACTCGCGGGACAACGGAGGGCGCGGATAGTGACACGGAAACAGAAGGCTCAATGAGTCGCAAGGGTGCGCAGGCTCTTAGCTCAGCGGCACAGTCGGCTACCGCATCGACGACACTCCAGGTCCCCGATAACTCAAGCGAAGTCCGAAAGCGCCTTAGTGTGAGCGGCGAGAGCTCTGGGTACACAAGCACTGATAGCGAATGGGAAAAGGTGGATGACAGCGCTGGAAATTGAGAATCCACTCGCGTTTATGAATTCTGCGATGCGCGTTGCTTGGGACGCGTGATTATGTCTTTATCGCATGCAACGTAAGACTGGCCTGACAGCAGCGCGCCTGCAGGGAGCTACTTTTTGTGCATCTCCGAGGGCAGTCTTACAGCGCAGAGATACCCATAGATGCCAACGCTGCGCTATGTATCAATCTGACTCTATATATGCAGAGCTCATTCAGAGTCGCGCAAGCAGCCTAAACAGTAGAAGGCCTGCAAACCACACCGCTACCGCTCTCCATAACATTGCGATCTACCTAGTTTGATATCCACTTTGTACTGCACGCATGGCCATGGTAACATTACTATAGTCGTACGTGCTATGGAAACAGACCATGCTGGAGTTCTATGAAGCTACTATGCGTACGAACCAAATTTATAGCTCATGGGCCATGTCCGTATTTGATCTCCGTACTCCGTAGTTGGTCTCTTCTATAATATGCTATAGACACGGTGAAAAGCCTGGTCCTTATCTTATCGATAAACAGCTGACTCATCAGTCGCGCTGGCCCTCGACATTTGTTCATTTGTTATGAATTTACTCTTTTGTGAATAGTTACAACACCCAATTCTGGACCATTCTCGACCAAGCCTTCCAATGATGCCGTCCGGCTAATGATTCTCGATTATGGCCCCAGATTCGACGATCTGTGCGGCACGCAGCCACATTTTCGAATCCGTTTTCGCCCCCGCATCTCCGGTCGACTTCATATCCGGACTCGCACCAACGAACAAGTCACCACAGAAGGGATCAACATCGGACAAGGGTACACGAAGCCGAGCATGGCGCACCGCCACGATTTATCTCTCGATTCCGGATAGGAAGTTCGAGGATCTGCTTCTCCGTATAACACCTGGCGAAGACGACTTTCTGAAACTGTGGAATCGGGACAAGAAGCCTTCGAAGGAAACCAGAGATGCCTTGGCCTATCTGATAAAGCCATCAACAAGGGGCTCTGAAGATGAATCAAAGGATATCTTTGCTTGGTACGAACTCGAGCTTCGCCGGCACTTCTTGCGGAATTTCAAAGAAGAACTATCCGTCGTTAGTTCCGCGTCGTATCCAGATAGTCTATTGAGGCAACGTTTCCCCGAGGTCTTTCAGGGCGTTTCATCTTCCTTCGACCGCAATGGCTTGCTAGAGGGATTCCTTGTGAAATGCCTTCTATTAATTCGCCAGATCTACTTTTCTCCATTGGTACAATACATGCTTCCCGTCCTGGACAGCGGCGCTCAAGAAAAGGCGTTTGTCAGATTTCAACGCTCGTTCCACTTAATGGTTAGATATGCCATTTCAGGACCTTCGTTGTCGGACCTGCTTACACGGAGTCTGACCAAACATACGCTTATAATACTTGGCATCAGCAACTTGAAAGAAAGGGCGGATATGAACGACAGTGCCAGCGTGGACGACATGGAGGTTGACAGGCAGTACTCAATGTCGTACCAGGATTGGCGGGACGCGCCGTCCGCTGAGTTCCAGTCGCAAATGATGACGGAATGTGAGGACGCTCATGTTACTGACGCCCGGGAGCGCCTGCTGTCACTGCTCAATGACCTACAGCTTGTCGGCTTAGGAGGTGAAAAGGCTCAGGAAGCATTTGCCGGAGTTATGGACACAATGATGACGGAATTCATTCGGGTTGCCTATACCTGTCACTGGGAAGGCCCATCGCTTGTCTCGTCCCACCTGCGGCAATGGATAACAGATGTGTATGCGCGGCTAGCTATCCAGGTCCTACCGATCATCAACGTACCAGAGTCTGGCATTCGGGAAATTGGGCTGCGGGACGTGAACATCAGTGACATGGACAAGTGGCAAGAAGTCGGCATTGCCCGGCTTGGGGCACTGCGGGTCGGAGAGCTGTTTGACGTGATTGTTGAATGGCCCGCAAGCAGCGGAGCGATTGAAGACCTACGGCATTTCACGACTCACCCTGCGGCTCGAAGTCATTTGACCCAGTCTTTCGCGGCGGTGCTGAATCGGCGGCTGTTACATCCTGGTGCATCGACTGTGGAAATTTTGCAGGTATACATCTCGATTATTCGGGCCCTGAACCTCTTGGACCCAAAAGGTGTTCTCCTGGATCGAATTGCGAAGCCCATTCGTAAATACCTAAGGGACCGCGACGACACGGTTAACGCCATTGTTGGCGGCCTACTTGCAGATCCCGCTGATGCCGATGGTCGTGGCGCATCCAGCAGTGAAACGCTAGTAGAGCTCGCAGCTGAGCTGAGCAAAGCACACCAGACCTCTTTGCGGAATGATACCGGGGAGCTGGACTACGACGACATGAACTGGATGCCGGATCCGGTCGATGCAGCGCCTGACTACCGCAAGTCAAAGAGCTCCGATGTCATCGGCAGTCTCATTAGCATCTTCGACTCGAAGGAGACTTTCGTGCGTGAGTTACGAGACATGCTGGCAGACCGGCTCCTTCAGAAACGCGCCGAGTTCGAGCAGGAAATGTCGGTTCTAGAACTCCTCAAACTCCGCTTCGGCGACAACGCCCTACAAGCATGCGAGGTCATGCTGCGCGATATTTTTGACTCCCGACGAGTTGACACGGTCGTCCGCAACGACCAAGGCATGGCAAGCCCTCAAGACAAAGGCGCCGAAAATGCCCCAGAGCTCCACGCGAAGATCCTCTCGCACTTCTTCTGGCCCGAGCTCAAGGGTCAGCAATTCAAGGTCCCCCGCGAAATCACCGATCTCCAGCAGCGCTACTCCGAGGGCTTTGAATCGCTCAAGCAGTCACGCAAACTTACGTGGCTCAACGGTCTGGGTCAAGTTACCGTCGAGCTAGACCTCGAAGACCGCGTCTTCGTCGAAGAAGTCTCCACCTGGCAAGCAACAGTCATCTACGCATTCAATTCGGATACTCCCACTAACGGACCCGTCACTAAAACCATCACCGACCTTACCACCCACCTCGATATGTCTGCTGCACTTGTCCGCAGCGCATGCCTGTTCTGGGTGAGTCGTCGCATCCTAACCGAAGTCCCCGGGCACCGCGATACATTCAGCGTTCTCGAATCCCTACCTACAGCCCGCACCAAGGACAAGGATGCCGCCACTACAACTGATCCTGAAACCGCGAGAATCGAAAACACAACCTCCGACACCACAGCTGACGTCGACGTCAGCGCCGATGCAGCAGCCAATGCTGCCGCCGCCGCGGAGGCCGCCGTTGCAAAGGAATCCGCCGAAGCAGCGGCCATGGAGAAGATGAATCTCTACTGGCAGTTCATTGTGGGCATGCTGACAAACCAGGGTGCGATGCCGCTGCAGCGGATTGTCATGATGCTGAAGATTGCCGTGCCCGGTGGGTTCCCATTTAGCAACGAAGAACTGAGGGAGTTTCTAGCTGGCATGGTCTCCAAGGGTAAAGTTGAGATTGTTAGTGGAGGAAACTATAAGATTGTGCGGTAGATGTTACGGGAAACGCATACGTTTCAGATACCCCCGTTATCATAAGTCACGAATTGAATTCTATTCGTCTATGATCTACATGCAACAATAGGCAGCCATTCAATCCAAGAAGAACAAGAGCACAACCTCCGCCGCGACCTTCGCATCGTCAACGTCCTCGACAACCCCCTCAACCCTCCCCCTCCCAATCAAGGCCAGCATCCTCTCCACCTCGGCCTCGTCCCAACCACTCCTCCTCCCAAACTCCTTACAAGTCTCCGAGTTCACAAATACATCGAACTCAAAGTGCCCCTGATACGTCAACACCCTCCCAGGGTAGTACAGCCCCTGCACAGGACACAGCTCCGTCGATCCCACATTCACCCAGGGCTCCGGCAACCTCTCAACCCCAGGCAGGAGAGCCACCCAGTCGCCGTGAATCATCTGTAAGCGCATGTCGCTAGGCACAGGGAGGTGCTTCGAGAGCACCGTGAACGCGCCCGCAAACTCCGGCGTAATCTTGATAGACGTCAGCCCCGTCTCCCTGCCCCGCGGGCTCTGCTCAACAACGACACTCGGTGGTTGCGGCGGTGACCTGTTCGGTGCCTGCGACGACAGCAGCCCCTGCCCGATGATCTGGTGGCCGAAGCAAGACCCAAATAGCTTGACGTGCGGGTACGACGCGAAGACCGTCTGCACGAAGCTCTGCAGCGGGACGATCCAGGAGTACTTTGCCGATTCGTATGCGGCTGCTGCGGCGCCCGTGATGAGGATGGCGTCTATGGGGAGGGCGAGCGGGTTGAGGCTTCCCGCGTCGACTCCATTTTCCGTTGGCCGTGGGGAGGTCCGGAGGGCTTGGAGTGGTGGGAGTGAGCCGCCTACTACATCGAAGGCTGTTGTGTGGATGTCTGATGCGGACAGGTTGAGTCGTGAGGCGGCGGACTGCAGTAGGGTGCGGAACTGCGAGCTGTAGAGGCCGCGGGCGGCATAGACGGCTGGGACGGGGACGTCGATGTCGAGGATGGCGATGTGCAGCATTCTGGGTGTGTGTTGGTCAAGAAGTTGAGGATTTTTACAGCATCTTTTTTTCTCTCCATGGTGGGGTGCGGGGGTTTGGAGAAGCGGATTAGGTTTCCTTATCAGGAAGTTGTTTACGAGGGGAGTCCATGTGTTTGCGTCTATGTCTGTAGAGTCTATATAACGTGGGAAACAAAAGACCGAGGCGAAAGAGGTGTATAAAAGGGATCAAGACCTAAGAATGAAGTGGATGACGCTGTTCGAAGACTTTGTGTTCTACAGCACTCCAGGTTATGCACTCCAGGTATGCACTTTGAAGAGGAGCATGGGGACTCCACCTTCAGGGACAGTCCAATCCAGAGACTCTTATTCTTCTTATGCTGCTGATCTGGGGGGCATTGGGTTTATGCACTGAGCTGATAAGAATTGATAAGAAAGTTGTTCTGCGGGGTTGTTCCTGGCGAAGTCACTGTATAGTCCGAACCCTATACAACCTTGGAACAGACCCAGGCACAACCTTGAAAGACCAGCGAGGACAAACAGACTGCCAATATTCGAATCTCCTGACCTTTATCAAGAATTGTTCTGTCTTCGTCAGTTCTCCCTGTTCTGCCTTCAGTTGAGTGCTCGATGCTCCAGATGACGCCATCAGCGCGGCCAATTACGCGGATTCTGCTCCTATCAGCATCGCATCTCAACCACCACAAGCACGCCATGTCCTCCACTGCTTGCAACACTCGTGCTGTTTCGAAATTCTGTCCTGCTATACTACGCACGCTCTACCGGCCGAGTGGCTTCATCCGCTGCTGAGCGCGTCTATAAATATATGATATCCCTGCACCGGATCAGTTGGACAGAGAAAGAATCAGTTGAAAAGCATTCTCCGAGGTCTGAATAACTTCAAACACACAGCCAAAATGGCCACTCTCACTCAGACTCAAATTCCTGCCCCGCACTCCGCCTACAGCAATTTGCCCCTCGACATCTTCCCCGATGGCCTGAAGACAACCGGCCAGCACGCCCCGCTCTACGAGGAGCTGCACCCGTTGGAGGACTTCCCCAAATCCATCGAAGGCCGCACACTATGGAAGGCAGAGGACTATAGGGATGCTCCTGAGAGGTGGACACATCGGTTCTCGGCTGAGGAGATTGAGGAGCTCAGTGCCACTGCCGATGCTTTCTTGGCCGCTAAGACTCCTTTGACTGGGATTTCGAAAGTACTTTCCTGCACTCGACTACCGTCGAAGTAAATGCTAACAAAAGCAGAGCAACTTCCCACTCCCCAAACTCTCCGCCCTCCTCTCCACCCTCCGCGACGACCTCCTCAACGGCAAAGGCTTCATCCTCTTCAAGGGCTTCCCCGTGGAGCAATGGGGCAACCACAAGTCCGCCGTGGCGTACATGGGTCTCGGCACATATCTGGGCTACTTCGTTTCCCAGAACAGCAGGGGTCACGTTCTTGGCCACGTCAAGGATCTCGGCGAGGACCCTACACAGATTGACTCCGTTCGTATCTACCGCACAAACGCTAGGTATGAATGGTTCACTTCAACACCCTCATAATCCTGGCTTTCTGCTGACAATAGGACAGACAATACTTCCACGCTGACGACAGCGACATCGTTGGCCTCCTGTGCATTGCGCGCGCCCTGGAAGGCGGCGAATCAGACATCGTCTCAACACATAATGTGTACAACACCCTGGCCGCCGAGCGCCCCGACGTGCTCAAGACCCTCATCGAGCCAATCTGGTACTTCGACCGCAAGGGCGAGACCTCCAAGGGCCAGGAGGAGTACATCCGCACCAGTGTGATCTATCTCGAGCGCGGCGATAACCCCCGTGTCTACACCAAGTATGCTTCCACCCCCCTCTCAACCAAAAGAGCAACATATACTAACAACGTATTTGCAGATGGGACCCCTACTACGTCCGCTCCCTAGCCCGCTTCAGCAACGCTGGTCTGGTCCCCCCTCTCTCCGACAAGCAGGTCGAAGCGCTCGAGGTCCTCGAGCAGACCTGCCAGCGACTTTCCCTGCACATGATCCTCGAAGTCGGCGATATCCAGTTCGTGAGCAACAGCCACGTCCTGCACGCGCGCACAGCATACAAGGACTATGCGCCCCCTGCCCCGCGGCGACACCTTATGCGCCTTTGGCTGTCTACGCCCGAGAGTGAAGGAGGCTGGCGCTTGCCGTTCTGGGACAGTAATGAGAAGAAGAGGGGTGGCGTGCAGGTTGATGATCAGCCGCCCGTGGCGCTGTTGGATGCGGAATAAACGGTTCCCGTGGAAGAAAGGGTCATGTTATACTAGGGCTGGTTTGGTTGTATTTTAGCGATTTGATTTCATCAATAGTCTCACATTTTCTTCATTTGATTGAACATTAGTATATAAGAAGAGTTGCCTGAGTAGTAAAATCAAGATGTGCTCGTGCTTCTGGGCGACTATGAATCAAAACGATATACCTATAGCCGGGAATCCCCCGCAGACCATGTCCCTAAATACCTCCTCCGTTATTTCAAGTGGCTGGAATAAAACGCCATACCGGTACTCTCTAAAGCACCAACATTGATTAAAAACGTTCATGATGACCCCGAGTCCCCGTCCTTCATTAATCACGATACCCCAGTTTTAGATACTGTAGAATACGGAGCCATCCCCACAACATCGGTCATCGGGGAACCTCCGAAACCACCAAAGACAGCACAAACAAGACATAGGTGTCACATAAGACGCGCCCGATTGATTGCCCGCGGGCCTCTGACTCGCCTGCAGAAAGGGGCATTCCCCGCATTGGCTGCATGAAGAGTACTCCGTAAGACGCCATGTCCCTGACCCTGGCAATCAAATTCCCGCCAGCCGCAGCCCCATCTCATTCCCCGCCCTTGCTTGGAGTTGGGCCTTCATTGTTGACGATCACGACGAGACGTGACGTGTTTGGAATGTGGTAGCCATCAGGCTTCAGCACTGTATTTATTTTCCTCCACCCAGTGCCCCTCTCTGCTTCTTTACTCCCTACCTAACGATCCTAACCCCTTGCAATCGCTGTGTGTGATACTGGCACGATGATCCGCCCCTTCCTGCAGATCGTAACCCTGGGCCTGATTCCGGGCCTGGCAACCGCAGACCCAACCACCAGCACCCTCTACGCAACGCACTACAACACCTCATCGATCTACACATTGTCGCTGACGCGTTTCAACGGCAGCTATAGTCTTACCGAGACCGCCTCGCTGAAGACCTGCGGCACGTACCCGTCCTGGATCACGCTCGATTCTTCCACGAAGACACTGTACTGCTCTGATGAGGACGGTTACCGCAATGCCGATGAGTCGGTGAATGGGTCGTTGACGGCGCTCAGTGTGGGTGAGGATGGAAGCTTGAGCGAGAAGGCTGTTACGGGGAATGCGCCGGGGAGTGGGGTGCATAATGTTGTTTACGAGGATGAGGAGGGAGAGAAGTATCTTGCTATTGCGCATTAGTGAGTTTCCCCTTCACCGGGTTTTGCCCCCTACGAAGAAGGCTCAAGGACGTGGACTAATGGTACAGCTCCGGCGCCGCATTATCGACCTTCGCCCTTCCCCTACAAGACGATGCCGACCCACTGCAGGTGCTTGAGTTCGAGCTCGAGGCGCCCGGCACAGTCCCCGAGCGCCAGGAAGCGCCGCACCCACATCAAACCTTCCTTGACCCGACCGGATCCTTCGTGCTAGTCCCCGACCTCGGCGCAGACCTGATCCGCGTGTTTGCGATTGACAAATCCAACGGCGAGCTAAGCACTTGTCCCAGCCTGAACTACACGCTCGGGGGCGGTCCTCGACACGGCGTGTTCCGGACTTTCTCGGAAGAGCCTCGAATTCGAGGACGCGCTCCTGGTCCCGAGCCAGTTCTGTATGTGGCTGGCGAGCTCAACGGTGAGGTTGAGGCCTTTGTCGTCTCGTACCCTAACAGCGGGTGCCTCTCTTTCACGCAGTTCAATACCAATGTCCCCTATCCTTCGGGTCTGCCTGAGGGCGCGTCGCTGGGAGAAATCAGACTAGCCGACGACGATCTGTACGTCTCTGTGCGCCAGGACTCTGCGTTTGACGGGGACGACTCGCTCGCTCGGCTGAGTCTGGGCAAGGATGGGAAGGTCGAATTTGAGGAGATTAGTACATCGGGCGGTGTGATGCCGCGGACGTTTGCGATTAACAAGGCTGGGGATTTGGTGGCCGTCGGAAACCAGCTTTCTTCGACTGTAGCCATTGTGGAGAGAGACCTCGACACGGGAGTCCTTGGTGAAGTTGTTGCCGAATTGCTTGTTGGTGTGCCTGGAGATGACAACATGGAGGGTCCCCCCATGTATGGTTTGAGCAGCATTATCTGGAGTGAGTGAATATCAAAGATGGAGCCACGGACAAAGTCAATAGATATATGAATGTGTAGGTAGCAATGAGATATATCAATCAATAAATGAAAATCGTATCAGTCAATATCACATCTTTTGAATGCACTGTCAAATCAATCAAAATGCAGCAAGTCTTCTGCGGTCGTTAAGGATATCAGCAATCAACTCCAACAAGAAACAGAAAACCACCGCAATGTATATAAACCGCCAAAATATAATACCGACATATACGCCCGCTTGTCCAAAATAAAGCCCAGCTTTTTCTTACAATTGTCATGCCATCTTGCAAGACCGCTAGTTGGTCGGGCCAGCCCTTCCGTAGTCATTCGGCACTGTCGATGCCGTTGGCGTTGAGGTGTCATGCCGTGAAGATATAATTTTGAGTACCGTAACCCTCTGCCGTAATTCGTAAATCCCATAAACCATGATTACCCGTATAACGGGTAGAAGAGTGATGCGTGGCTTCATTTAACCTCGAGTTGGAATGCCTTCCATTTAGCTCCCACAGTGCGGCAGCGTGGGCAGCCGCGCGGTGTTGGACTGGGGTAGCTCGTTGGGCCGTGGGACATTGCACTGCCAGGACTCGATGTGACATTTTTAAACGGAGTTGGCGGGCTGCTCATGTAACTACCCACACAGTCGCGGCAAACCCCGCAGATACATTCAGTGCAGGCGAAGCATTCGTTAAGAGGCCATGCCTGCTTGCAGCTGGCACAGAAGATCTGTATCTCCCTGCTACGGTACGAGGCCGGTGTGGGGTTGGAAAACCGATGATGTTGCCGCTGAGCTGCCGAAGATGGGAATAGATTCAGCACTGGGCTGGAGTCGGGATGTCTAGTTGAGTTGAGGTGGTTGGTGAAGAAGTGCTTCCCGGATGTCGTTGACGCCGAGTCTAAAGACGATTCAATCGACGGGAAGGGTTCTAGATCAGCGTCACGGTTGCGCGAGAATTCATACGGTGGTGGCGTCAGAGATTTATGCAGGGGTGACGCTGCATATGAGGTGGGTGGGAACGGACGATGCGACGCGGGCGGGGGTAACCCCGGAGATTGGAAAGCGGGAGGCATGGATGATCGGCCTCCTTTGAGTGAAGGCGCTGATGTAATTGAAGTGATATTGGGAATGGTCGGTGGCATAGTGGGCGACCGTCCCAGCTGCATGGGTTAGCTGGAGTCAACCAGTGTGATCTGGGATAAGCCCACCTCTGACTGTCTATCATCGTCAACCTCAGTTGCCGATGTGGCGGCCTCGATTAAATCCTCCCATCGCTTGCCCTGCGCCCAAGCGGCGGTTTGTGGCTCTGCTGATAGAGCCTTCCGATCGCCTAGACTTGGGCGCCGCCCGAATTCCTTGGACTTGGAACGCTCATGCTTAGCTTTTCGCGCCCCGGTTATGGATCCTTTGCGAGGGCGAGGAAGCTTGTTCGTCCTCTGAATTGGTGGAAGAGTCGAAGAGCGACCAGGAGGAGAGTGGTTGAGAATCGAGGGCAAAAGCGACCTAGGGCGAGGCGATGAAAATGGAGGCAACGAGTCCCGTTTGAAGTGATCGCGGAGCGAAGGCAGCTCGATCGACGATCGCATCGGGACTCTATCGAGGTCGTTATCGGAATGGATCTCCTGCGTCTCATTAGCCATCTTATCTTATCAGAACCGAGTATGATATAACCAACCACGTCCGTGTCCCAGTGTGATGTTAAATGGTTATGATGCAATTGAGCCAACGCAACCGCCGCAGTCGCTGCAGCAGGATGGGCCTCGTCGATACCGCGAGGGGTCGCGGGCGAATTGGACCCAGCGTAAAGATCTCGTTCATCTATCTCAATCAGCCCTATCCGCTTTGCCTTGTCCTAGAAACCAACCATTGCGCCTCCTGGTAGTCTGCGGGGGTGTAAGGTTGGCACGCTGCTCTGGAGGGGTGTTGACCATCAAGAAAAAACTCTCTTCCGTTGCTGGGAGCTTCGGGATGTAGTGGTTTGGATGGGCTCGTCGAATGTGCTCCTGCATCGAGCGATAACGCTTCTCCTGTCGGGAAAAGCATGTTAGTTCCAGTCAAGTATCTCGATATAGTTCCACGCCAAATCCTTCATTTATGTCCTTGTCCGAGGCTTGTTGCGCTCGGGTGGGGCGCCAATCGATAACGGGCAGAAATTCGAGGGAGCTGGTGGCGGGGAACAGAGCACTCACCCCGAGACATCTCTTGCGACAATTGGACCCATCGTTATTTTTCAGAGGACAAACCACTTCGTTGTTGGCATCGGTGACGGAAAACGAGCTCGTCAAAGTCGATCGGGGCGGCATGGTCTGCATGAGTCCGTCTTATTGGCGGGGTTGGCGTTGGCGTGGGAGGATACCGGCAGGAAGAGAATCTGGGGAAGGCAACTCAGATAGACGGCGATTGAAGCTGACGAGATCAAAAGTCACGACACATACTCCGAGGGGGGCTGACGTAGATAAAGAGCCGAAATTAGTCGCATGCAACAATGAACTGTCGAACAAAGCGTCAATGGGAGGGGTAGCTCTAGACGAAGACGGGTAACGATAGAGGAGCAAGCCGACAGACAGAGCGATGACTGAAGGATGAACAGTGAGCTCGAGCTGCAGCTCCAAAGGGGTAACAAGCTCTAATAAGGAAGAGAGCTAGGAGCAAGAATAGTGCATCGGAAGGGTAAGGAAGACCAGGGCAGGCTCTGGCAGGGGAGGGGGAAGGTTAGAAGCTCTTCTGGCCGGTGGAAAGCTAGACTGCGAACAGGCTAGCGGCAAGGCGAAGAAAATGGATTATAAGTGATAAGCAGCACAATGATTGGAGGGAAAAGACTGGAGTAATGAAATTTGATGGAGGCGACCGGGTGGGAGCCTGGGAGGAGAGAGGGTGGAGGGCGCGGGACTAAACGGGAACAGTAAAGAGCTCGGCCAGTGCTACCTACACTGCTGGAGCTTACTTGGCTACATACCGTACAGTACTCTGTACAGCTCCGGATGGCTAATCAGCTTCATTAAATTGCAGTTGATCTGGTGACACAGTGATCTCTACTTGGAAGATTGACCGAGCTAGCCCGGCCACTGACATCTCGAGTCAATTACCGGTATGCCAACCATTGACGGCCACGGGCTGCATTGCTCCCCAGGTACAAGGATGGACACCTAGTACTAATATCGAGGTGAGCGATTTCTGGGGTGTTTGTTTGTTTCAATACCATTCAATTTACGCCATGAATTGCTATCGCTTTAAGCTTACTCTTCTAGATTGAAGCAAAATTGTGGTGGCGCCTATCGATAACTCGAAACGTGGGACAGCGCGATATCCGCTGCAGTGGCCCAGTGGGTTCGCCGAGGTTTAGCCCACCCTGGAAGAAAGCTTTGGCAGCTCGACTACTCCGGATTATACTCTGAGTTCAGGCATCGGTGAGCTCCGTTGATAGCAAGCAAGCTGCTATGGAATCACCTCCCTGCTCACTGTTTAGACTCCATACCTATTCCTAAGGTTGGCTTGTGAGCTGATGAGCTTGTGCGTGCGACGTTGCGGTGCTCTTCGGTAGCATCGGCCTCGGATCGAGCAGTGTTACCTGACCATACCGTAACAACGGCCAGTGCCTAAGCTCAGCAGCCGCACCAGCATCCCGATCGTGCTCATGCGGTTTCGATTTCGCTCTCCATTGCGATGCCCTGACTCGGAATCTAGTGCAACAGAGACACAAATGCTCGAGTCTGGGCAACCCTGAAGCTCGACACTCGGGAGGTCTGGCGGACTTCATAGTTTCCGTACAATACAAGGTTAGTCAGCTTCACCAGTGCTTCGGGAACTCCGGTGGGGCGGCCTCGACAGTCTCGACTGGACAGCTTTAACAGATCAGCTGAAAGTTCGAGCTGCGACCTTGCATATCGAAACCGATAAGAGCCTATGAAGAACGCCAGCGAAGGAGCTGCAGGTTGGCGATGGTGTCATCTCACTCTTAGGTATGCGGTCTAACCGGCTAAAGAGTCAAAGGCCAGGTGCCCGCGACGTGCCCCTCCCCCTCCAACACGCAGCAGCTCTCCCCAGCTCCAAATTCCTTCTGAGCTTCCATGGACCATCGCTGGAGCTCCAACCACCAACTTTGAAATTTCAGCTTGGCTCCGCGCCACTTGGTTCCTTATTGCCGTGGTGGAGAATGCTTAGTCACCAGCACAACGATAAGTTCGATAAGAGCTGCCCGTGGCAAGCCTGCGGAGATCTCCCACCCCAAGTACGCAGTAGTAGGCGCCTATTCATCCCTGGCCGACTTCCAAAATTGAGGCCATCCATCCGTGGATCTTCGAATGCTGGAATGATAAAGGGGCGAGCCTACTCCGTGGAACTGTTTTCGCGGTGCAAGGCGGACCTCCAGTTACAACGGCCGAGAAGTCGTTGCTTGTTAGTGTGCCTCGGGATCACACTACTATGGCCCTCAGTCCACTGCACTGTGCACAAGAGGGGTTGATGCCCAATTCGTCCTTTAGCGAAACAGCGCTGCTTGCCGTGTCTTCCGCATCGAATTTGGAGAAGTCACACCGGAGCTCTGCCCTTGCTTGTGTGCTGCTCACCGACCACTACTGGAAGATTCACAAGCTCATCCCGGTGTACCTCTACTTCAGAGTGCTGGTTGGCTGAATGGAGGAAGGGTTCTGTAGTAAACCTCTGACGGTTTAGATTTCTGACAAACGCAAACGAGACAAGGCACTCACCGACACCATCTTAAAGTTTCAGTGTCGTGCGGAGAGAGTATCAATTTCGGCTCGCTGCGGATAAGGTTCCCTTGTAATACTTGGCCAAAGTACTCGACACAGGACGAAGATAATGGTTGGGTGCAGCGAATAATGCCGCCTCAACTGGACGCGGACAGTCCTTGATATGGGGTCGAGTTGCTGCAGGTCGGATGTTTCTCGCAGGCACAATGCCGCCCCAGCTTTGCCAAGCGAATGGGGAAACTGCGGGTTTTTTTATCTGGCGCCAGCCTCCAGGCCCGACTTCATTATTGTGATGAGTTACCTTTCCGGGTTGGCTGCAGGGGCAAAGTATCGTGATTGGAGACAAGGTCGGCCGTATTTTGATGCGAGATCTAGCGGACTGGAGCGCATTGCAGTATCCCACTCTATTCGCGGATATTGCTGGGTTGAACTCCATCCGAAGTATGGGGACGGTCTATCCCTACCGTCCAGCCGCTGGGGACCCCGGATCAGTGAAGCAACCGTTAATATGCCAGCTGCCAACTCTACACTATCCTGCCAGAACGGCAGTAGCCCTCTCAACATGGATTTGCGATTGGAGGCTCGGAGTTGATTCCGAACACATGAGTCGCAGCTTGAGTTCGGAATGAGTCCCGTTGGAGTCGATGCACGCTGAATGAACCCTGGGGCGAGCGTAAGCTCGACGAATACATGATTCACCAATGTTCGAGGCAAAGCACTGCTTTGCTGTAGGAGTATATCGTGGTCTCTTCTTCCTCGGACTGTCTTGAGGGCCATCATTTGCCGATGTACTTGTTTTCCGAAAGAGTGGCGTCACTGCGTCATCGGATGCGGGAAATCCAGGCACGACAACGTTCAGCCTGCAGACTGGGGAACGCGGAGAGTCCTCGTCGATCATCAAATCGAACATACGGCGCATTCCGAATGATCTAGCTAAAGCAAAGAAGACCACGGCCAATCGTCGGCTGCGCAGTAGAGAGGCATTGCCGTCTTAACCGCGATGCCCCCGAAGTCCGCATCCGAAGAGGGTCCGCTGGGGCAAGTACGTGGTTTACCCCAGATCCGACGAGGCTTGGTGGGTTCCGATTCGATCTCCATGACCTCAATAATTCATCGTCATCGACCAGGATAAAAGGTCGACGGTTTCCCCTGTCGCATCTCCTCAGCACACGCCCTACCTACGCGAAAGAGTGTATAGAACGGCCAAGGCACCAATTGGCACCGGCACAGCCTCGCGACCATACAGAACACCACATAAACGCCCAAGACTCGGATTAGACCCCGCAATGACCTCCTCGACAAAACCGAAACCTTTTCACGTCGCCATTGTCGGCGGCGGGATTGCTGGCTTGACTCTGGCCATTGCCCTCCATCACCGCGACATCTCCGTCAAAATCTACGAGCAAGCCCATGCCTTTGCTGAGGTCGGCGCTGGCGTCTCCTTCGGCCCTAATGCTGTCGAGGCAATGAAGCTCTGCCACGGCGGAATCCACGACGCATTTAAGAAAGTATGTACGCGGAATCTTTGGCCAGAGAAGGAGAAGGTGTGGTTCGACTACCTGGACGGGTACACACATAATGAAGACGAGTACAACGCAGCCTCGGGTGGGAAAGAGAGCAAGAGGCAGAACATTGCATTCACAATAACAAACAGTATTGGGCAAACGGGCGTCCACCGCGCTCATTTCCTGGACGAGCTGGTCAACCTGGTGCCAGGGGAGATTGCGCAGTTCAACAAGCGGCTTGAGAACATAACGGAACGGGAGAGCGACGGGAAGCTCATGCTGAAGTTTGCGGACGGAGGGGAGGACGAGGCGGATGTGGTTATCGGATGCGATGGGATCAAGTCCAGGGTGCGGCAGATCCTCGTTGGGGAGGACCATCCCTCTGCGCATCCATCGTTCACGCACAAGTATGCCTACCGCGGGCTGGTCCCGATGGACAAGGCGATTGAAGCGATTGGAGAGGAGCTCGCGTCCAACTCATGCATGCATGTACGTTTCCCTCATCAAGATTTGAACTAGGTTCCCATTCCAGACATTATGGAACTGTGCTAACCCTACCAGATGGGCCCGAACAACCACATGCTCACATTCCCCGTCAACGGCGGCAAAACACTCAACATCGTGGCCTTCCACACAACCCCAGACCCGTGGTCCGATTACACCCGCCTAACCCGCGACGGCACCCGCGAAGAAGCCCTCCGCGACTTCGCCGGCTATGGTCCCAACGTCACTAAGCTCCTCAAACTCTGCGAACCCAAGCTCAGCATCGTACGCCCCCTCTTCCCTACTCCTCAAACAAACCACAAACACACACTAACACCATCCGCAACAGTGGGCAATCTTCGACCTAGGCATCCACCCCGTCCCAACATTCCACAAACGCCGCATCGCCATCTCCGGCGACGCCGCCCACGCCACATCCCCGCACCACGGCGCCGGCGCTGGCTTCTGCCTCGAGGACACCGCCGTCCTCGCAACGCTCCTGTCCGACCCGCGCGTGCAATCCCACAGCGACCTCGAGACCGTCCTGGCCGTCTTCGACGCCAGCCGCCGCGAGCGCACGCAGTGGCTTGTGCAGAGCAGTAGGTTTATCGGCGACTGCTATGAGTGGCGGGCGGAGGGCGTTGGCCGGGACTTCAAGAAGATCGAGGAGGCGATTAAGACCAGAAATGGCATCATCACGGACGTGGATGTTGCGGGGATGTGTAAGGAGGCGGCGGAGATGTTGGGGAAGAGATTGGAGGGGAGGGCGTCGCTTTGATTTGATTGGGATTGAGTATTCTCCGGTAGTAGCTTGGGGCTAGCGGATGGGTCTTGTCGACATAGACTTCTTTCTGCTGCGTTTGCGTTTGGCTTTGGCTTTGGCTTTCGCTTTATGATTTAATGCATAGATTGCGTCGACTAGAGATAGAGCGTTGACTGTCTGATCTAGAATAGAGGCCACTTTTGCTTTTTTATCTCGCTATCTACTTGAGATCATATGGTAGTGCTTGCTAAACCTTGGGGGCTCTGCGCGGCAGAATATAGTACGTAAAAGCGGAGTAGATAGCCCTAATTCTCAGCGGATAGTGTTTCGAGTTGCGGACAGAGACCGCAATTGGATTTCATGTATGCGTCGAGGTACGATTGAGTAACGCAACCTGAGAGGACGATTGGATGCTAAGAAGAAAACACACATATAGGTATGAATACACTGGAAGCTGGCGTCCTTGACTGTTCGTGAGGCACTCACTGCGCCTACGCGCCCTACCCCAGTCTTGCAATCGACACTGTCCCATTTAGCGTACTCCCTGTAACTTTTCGCGCCTGTCCCTGTAAAGGTCCCAGGAAGGCTCACATCAAACGCCATCTGGCCATCAAGGAAACGCAAACTGGGAGCTCCGTCTTTAGCTGCGGTTCCAGCGTCTGGATGTTATCCAGCTAATGTTGAACGTTCCGCCTGCCAATGAGCGGGAATATAATGGACGTCAAGCTTGGCCATCATGGACCTGAACGTGAGCGCCAGCAGCGAGGTTATGCCATGTTCGCGCGTCAGAGTTTTGGGCACTTCTGCTCGTTCTGGTGCGGGCTTGGAATTTGGCTTTCGTTTCGAATCTCCCGCCCCCGGGGCTTCCCAAGCGGCCAAGGCCATTCCAGAGTGCCATGCCTTCGGGATGATCTCGCACTCGAAGCTGCGCGGCATGACAGCGCAGCGGCCTCCGTAACTGCTGCATTGGTGTCTTGTCGCGGTTCAGCGCGTAGGTTTTGACTGTGGAGATAACACAGGTTGGGTATCTGAGTTTGACCAGGCAAGTGACTCATTCTTGTTCGGCGTCATGGTCTCCTTGCTGGATGTTCAGTGGTCCTCTCAGAAAGGGGAGAGAACGCCGATTCGGTTTGCCTGGAGCTTCCCCAGGAGGCCGGATGCAAAGGGTCAAAGGGATGCCGTTATAACTTGACAGACATCAAGGGGGGGACAACAAGGCTTGAAGCGCTGTTGTGGGATAGAAATGGCAATTTGCATGGGTAGAGAAGGCTGGGGTCTTGCGCCTGTTAGAACATCGCTCGACAGACTCTGAAATTCATGGAGGCCTCACCATTCAGCACTTTTGGACGTTTTCTGAATCATCCATGGCTTGATTGTCCTCTAAGTGCAGGGACATTGAGGGAAATGCGCATCTATGATGCATCCAGAGAAATGGTTTCCGGGCCGATAAATCGAAGGTAGACTGTGATCAAGATGCGGCTTGTGAACCTTGTGCCGCGCAGACTCCAGCCGTGGGCCATTTGCGCAAAAGCTGAGGCTGTTTCCACTCCGTACTTGCAATTCTGCTTGACCTGGGGATAGAGATTAAGAGCAAACGACAAGCAGGTGGGCGATTCATAGCTCAACCACATCAAGCTCAGCTTCCCCTCTGACACTCCGCCACCACTCAGTCTGTCGTACCAGTTCTCCATCCTCGCCACCTAGTAAACTCCAATACTTCTTCACAAACCACTCTTGAGCCTCCCAGCTGCGCAAGTCCCACGGCGTTCCGCTCGAAGCTTTTCCAGCAGAGACATTTCGATCCTTCTGCCCAATGCCTGCACTTCCCCAGCATATCAATCCGGCGAGGCTATCATGGAAGAATTCATCCTCATCATACTCGCCCTGGCGGGTGACAAGATTGTTTCGGAGAGTAGGAGAGGGGTATATATCCATCATCGGATGGTGGCTGATGGTGATTTGCTCTTTGGTCGGCCTCAAGTCGTGCTTGACTCTGGATCTAAAGTTCTTCTGGACGGCAGAAATCACATTGGATTTGGTCAACGGATCCGATGTCAAGGCGTCGGCGCGGAAAAAGAGGGATGTAGAGTCATCGCAACAGATTATGTCCATGGTTAGGCCGACGTGTTCTACGACTGAGAACAATGCTGTTAGGGTGCAATGCTGGTCGACTCGGAGGCTGTTCGCATATGGGTCAGCTATTGGCATGGTCGTGAGCACCTTGAGCTGGCGAGGATTGGCGGAGAAAGGACCTCCCGACTGTATTGTAAAGTGTGGGCTGGAGCAGCTGCAGTCGACAGTGGTAGTCCAGGCCAAGCTTGGCCGGTGGTTGACGCCGCTTCTGAGAGTAAGGGGGTTGCTGTTGGTTACCTCGACCAGAGTCGTGGAGGTGACTGGCTGTGAAGTACGATCTAGGTTAGGGGGGCATATCGTGTCGTCTGGAGTTTTGGTTCTGGTTAGTTGGTCGAGTGGTGGCGGATACCATAGGGTTCCATCCGACAGAGGCAACGTGCTAGGATCCCATACGCCTAGGGATGACGGAGCATCCGGTACTAGTGCATGCGGATTAGGGTTCCACAAGCTCAGATCCAATGGGATAGTATCCAGTTGAGGAGCAAGCTGTGGGTAGTCCGTTATAGCTGTGGGTAAACTAGCGGACACATCCAAAGTGGACTGAGGAGTAGCCGGTGTAGTATTATCGCTCTGAGAGGTAGAAGATGATGGAGCTGTGCCAGGCAAGCCTTGACTAGCAGGCTGTGTGGCAGACGCAGCAACCGCTTCTAGATGTTCTAAGCGCTGTCGGAGTTTCTCACCTAGACCAATCATCAGCAGCTATATGCTGACAGGGTGGTAGTGGACATGGATGCAACATACGGTATTTCTTTTGAGCGCGGATGTTCTGCTGCCGTCGCTTCTCCGGGTCACGGCGGGCAGGCTTACGCTTCTGGGTCCCGGTGCTTTCGTTTGGCTCTTGTCTGCGGGTTCGGGGCGGCATGGCGTATAGCTGAGCGATCCGAGTGTGTGAGCGGCGTCGATGACGAGAACGTGGAGGTGGAGGAGCAAAAGGGAGCGATGGCTGAAGTCAGCCACGAGAACAAAGGGAGGCTTGACTAAGTGCATACCCGCTATTCCTGATTGGGTTCAAGCAAAATAATGGGATATAAGAGTCACTAGCAAAAATATATATCTGACCTCAAAAGTTCAACTATTAGGGAATTAGTTTTCTGTCTGTGGAGAAATAGGAACAGGGTGAATATTGGATTTTTGTATTTTATGACCTGCGTCTAGAAAAGCGGCTACTGCTCCATGCAGGTGAGTAAGGTCATTGCCGCATACTTATCACAGCAGTGTCAAAGCGCTTTAGTCTGTTATGGTAGTAAGGCACTAACATCTACGTGTCCATAGAGGTATGGCCTTCTTACCGGTGTATAACCCTCTACTTGGAGCCATAGTCGGTGCAACTTCATGTTGATTGAGAGGCAGCCCTAGATCGAACGGTGGTAGGAGTTCCTGTGCAAGTCCTAGGACGGTATATTCCACGGCAGGGCGAATATGGTGGCATCGCTGCATCTCGGCTACTCCATGATTGAGAAGCTCGCAAAACACAACAAGGACTATGATATGCCTGTGAGTATGTCTTCGAATCAAGCTTATCATTCTGTAACCATGGCTTCGAATCGGTACTTCCATGTGTGACTTTAACCTATGGTTCATCCGGCCACAATCCTACATAAAAGGTACTTACTTATAGTGCCCCATTACATCGTGACAATATACATGCTGATGCTTCAACAGCTGGACCAGGTAGCTGGAGGCGAACGCCCCCGGCCGATCTTGCCCCCAGTCCTGCCCCGCACAAGCTACGTCACATAACCAGCAGTAAACTCAGCCTACATCGACATCTTTCGTGCATCCCTATACCATGACACCGCTACAAAAAATCCTACCCCTCCTCCTAGTCACAGCGCCCACCTCCCACGCCCTACGCTACCTCGGCTGCTACCTCGCCTCCGAACCCTTCACCCTCACCAGCCGTTCAGTTTTCCAATCCGTCGGACTGTGCAGGGCGCAGTGTACACAGCGCGGGGACATAATACTGGCGCTTGGGAACAGCACAGAGTGCCACTGCGGCGGTGTGTATCCGGATGCACGAGATGAGTTGGATTCCGGGGCGTGTCATCTGCGGTGTCCGGGGTATGCGGCTGATGAGTGTATTTGTCCCCCGCCACTGGCGTTTGCCTATTCTGCCTTGGATGAGGCCGGAGGCTGATCTTATTATTTATGGACAGGCGGGGGTTATGCTGCCCTCAGCTACTATGCTCTTGGGCTGGAGGGTACGGGGACGACGTGGTCTGTTACTATGGGGCCGACGAATCGGCCGGCAGAGGGAGTTACTTTGGAACGTAAGGATTTGAAAATTTGAGTGGCAAGCTTAGAACTCCTGATTGAGCTAGAATCAACACATTCAGCCCGAGAGTGAAAAGAAGAGAAAGGAACAGAGGAGAGGTGGAATGATACATATGTAGACATCTTTTGGTACTCGTACATGCGAATTACTGTGACATTTGACAGACGAGGCAAGAATAGGGTATTCAACCATGCGAACATTGGAGAGAAGAATTGGAAAACGGAAGAATATACGGAAAGAAAATAAGACAAGCAAAACGTTCATGCATCACACAGAGAGAGTGGTGAAGTAGTTGGCAATAAATCAGGGCTCATGGCTGGTAGCTAGCGAAGATTAGAGTAAAGAACGGCCCCTTTCAATAATGGCAATGACATCCGGGCCCAATGTTGCGCGGACGTCGGCCTCTGGGTCGAGCATGAATACTTTCCCGTCCTCTCCAACGGCTTGCTTCATGATGTCCCGGATGTCTTCCGGAATCTCCCAGATTCCTTCCAGACCAGACTCAACAATCCATTTTGGTTTCTCAGGCCGCCCGACGCGGTAGCATAGGGGAAGTATAGGTGTCAGATGCTCACCGTGCAAGTAGTTGAGACAGATGTCGAAGTGCCTTGTCGACTCCATAGGCTCGTTAGATCCTCCCGAGCAACACCAATCTATATTGGGTACCAGCCTGAGTCTCAGATGCTCTAGGTTTGGCATTCTCAGCACCGCGTTCGCCATTGCCGCGAGAATAGGGTGGAAAATCTCGGGATCTGGATGCACTCTCCACTCATGCCATGGATGATCCCCATTTCCCTCCATATTATGATAACCGGGGTATATTTTCTCGGCGTGTTCGGGGTTGAATGGAGAATTGGAGTCTAAATCAGAGCCGGGGTCCAGTAGCGGAGACTGCGGACTGAGAGCTCCCCACACCCGCGCATCATCGGGATTACCGGTGTATAGCCATCCGCCATCGTAGGTGATGAGAGGAAAATCGACATGGACAATCTTCAAGTAGGGGAATAAGCTCTCGCTGATACCATCGCATGCTCCCCATATAGCGGAAGAAATAGGCCAACTCTCGCCGAGATATAGCTCTCGAAGACTTCGTTGGGCCAGTTTGAACACTGCCAGGTTCAGCGAGTCACCGTGCGGGTAGTCTGGGTCATGAGCTAACGCAGTCTGATAACTGTGGTTCTGCGGCGTCTCATAACTCATCTCGATGTAAAGAGTTTCAAGGGCATGCAGGGTAGGTGCCTCCAAAGCCTCTGCTAAAGCAATCCGGTGCTCCGCAGCAAGAGCTTTATGCCTGCGTTGAATTACCGGAAATATAACAAGAGCCAAGTGCCGAATATTTGGCAAGGTGTTGAGAATTGTACCAATAGCGGTCGGGTCAATGCGTCGGCCGGTGGATGCTAGTTGCAGTGAGGCAATGCGTGGCAGGCCAGGAAGTGTATAAAGTCCACTGTCGACATCTCCGGGCAGGGTGAGGCTATGCTCTGGGTAGGACCAACGGTCTACTCGTGGCTCATAAGCGTACGGGTTACGTTCCCCAGCTACGCTTGGTTTAGCGGAAAGAACTAGGCGCATTCCCATCGAGTCTTGCTCATGGCCCCAGAGAGAGAGCTCCTCCCAGAGCTCACTGATTCCTCTTGAAAAAGCGAATATGTTCGTCCGTGCTCATTTGGTCGCTCGAAGCAGTTCACTCGGATCTCGCGATAGGCAGGCAGGTCAATTTGGTAGAAAAGCTCCTTGACCAGTTTCTTGCGTTCCGAGCGTGTGTCGAAAATCTGCTTGAACAGCACAAAATTAATGTTGTTGACCCTCACAGACGCAAAGGTATAACGCTCAACGACGGATTGCCATTTCTTTGAGACAGCCGCGTACCGCGAGAGTTTCTGACTGCACGGCGGTTTGTACAGTTTGGTGGTGCAGATGCTGTGGCTGGACTTGGGCGCGCGTGGTTGCGAGTCCCAGTCAGCTCGATGTCCTGTATCTGCTAGATGGCAAACGATGAGGTCCAGGATCTCATTGCTGAGAACCTGGAGCGACATTTTGCGGGAAATGTCGTTGGGTGTCGGTCAGTGGAGGACGAAGGAGGAACGAACGGCAAGAGCGTATTTATCAAGCAAACACAGAAAGGATTAGGTTGAACTGTTCAAGGCAAGCTGTGAAGAAGCAGAAGATGGGAAGAAAGAAAGAGCTGTGAGAATGCGGGCAAGATCCGAGAGTTGGGCAGAGGAGAATATGGAAGTGAGTAGGGGTGTTACTCCCTAGGAAGGTGGCCACGCACCTACCCCAGATCAAGGATCGCTACCGAGTGCTCTAACTAGCTATAGGCTTTCTTATATAGTAACTATAGGGACTAGCCTATTACCTTGTCCTTAAGGCTCTACCGAAATAAGTAGTCGCTTAACCTAGATATGTAAATACAGGGAAAGAAGACTAGTGCAAGGGTTTCACCATAGAGGGAAAATAAAGCGATAAGCTAACAATTCTCAGAGTATATTGGAGTATAGAAACTGGCCTATAGCCAGTAAGATTCTGTGGTCTATCGGTAATTCCTCACATTCTTCTCAAGGACATAGTTCATCAATACCGTTCCCCAACTGTCAAGACCGTAGTTTGAGACAGTTCTGTCGAAAGTCTCTCTCCAGACTTGATATTATGAATGCTACTAAGGCTGCTTGCTAAACCTATTGGAATTCGGACTTCCGACACAAGATGGTTAATATATGGCCTATCTTTCTCAGCATTCAGAAAGCTACTATGTAGAGACAACAAATAGTGCTATAGTGCCCCTCTGGTTGGATGCTTGACGGCATGTATATATGCCCTGAAGCGTCCAGCAAGAAGTCTTCTCGCCATACAACTGTAGCATTAGATAGTCCGTGAAATGCGATGCTCCTATTGCCAGTCGATGTGGCCCAAAGCCGTTCTGTGCAGTCGATATCCGGGTGTTGCGGAATTAAGCAGTGAATGAGCACAAGTCGCCCCCAGTGTCAATGTCAACCTCGTCTATAGGCAGGACGTATTATGTCGTAACTCCATTCGGCATTGAATCGTACTCCGAGTAATAATGGTGGAATTAAGCGTGGCCACAGCGATGTGAGATAAGTCCGTAATCTCCGGCCGGTGGCTCCACGAAAGCATTCACTGCCCGCACTTTGTGCTGCAGTGCAACACTATGCTGATTGTCTATATAACACCATGCTCTTCCTCCTCTGGAAGCTCCTGTAAGTACACCTCTCATCGACTTTTGATTCCTGTACTCCATTCTCCCTTCCATCTGCACCACCTCTTCAACATGTCCCAAAAGGTGTTCGTCACCGGCGCAACGGGCTTCATCGGCCGTCTGGTCACAGATCTCGCTGTCAAGGAAGGGTACAGTGTTCGCGGTCTCTCGCGTCGTGATGAAGGAGATGCTCTGCTCATGTCTCTTGGTGCAACTCCCGTTCGCGGCGACCTCACCAATGCCGAGCTCCTCACAGAGGAGAGCAGAAATGCCGACATAGTCCTGCACCTTGCGTTCGACCATGACTTCTCCAAGCCCTACCAGCAACTTGTCGACACTGAAATCGCCGCCGTCACTGCACTTGCCAAAGGCCTTGAAGGAACCGGCAAATCCCTCGTCGTCACCAATGGCACTGCAAATGTCGCAGCAGACCCCAACGGCGGAGAGACGGACGAATCTGCACCTCTAGCTGATCACTTCCTCACGAACCGCGATGTCGCAGAGAAGCATGCTCTCTCGTTTGTCGACAAGGGCATTCGTGTTGTCTCCATTCGTCTTCCTCAGTACGTCTACGGCCGCGGGAACGCCACCGGTTTCGCGGCGCAACTGATCAAGATGGCGATCAAATCGGGCGAGTCCGTGTACATTGGCGATGGCGAGTACTGCTTCTCGGATGTGTATGTCGATGACGCTGCGCAGCTGTACCTCCTTGCTGCCAAGCACGCAAAGCCCGGGGACATCTTCAACGGCACTGGCCACACAACCACGACTTACAAGGCCATAGCGACTGCCGTCAGCGAGCTTGTGGGAGTTCCCGATCGCTCCATTACTCGGGATGAAGCAGTTGCGCGCTGGGGCCCATTCTTGGCTGGATTCATTGGAGTCACCAACCGTGCATCGAACCGCAAGGCTGTTGAGCAGCTTGGCTGGAAACCTGTTGGACCGGGTTTGCTTTGGGAGGTACGCAGTGGAAGCTATGTGGCTGTTGCGGAGAAGTTCATGAATGAGGCTGCTGCTCTATAATTGGAGTACCTTGGTGGTTTTGGGCGCTGCGTTTTGCTCTTTTGGAGTAGAATATCCTCATCTGTGTATTATCCACTGTACGTGAGTTCTGGCATGATATGAAGTTGCTATAATCGCATACCCAAGCCAAAATAGTGTCTAATCGCAAGATAGATCAGAAACATGATTGATGAAGGAGAATCGCATACCTTGGCCTTGCTGCTCTAGTCGTTACTTCTCGTGTCCTTTCTTATACGTATCAACGGTATACAACCGTAAGGAGGCCCCTACCGGACGGTTAGTCGACCTCCTCTGTGTCTTTCCATTCCTTTTATTTTCAGCTAAGCAATAAAAACGTTGAGCCTATCCTGTCAACCGTATTCGTCCATGTATACCCTGGGAAGTTCGTCGAACCAATTCGTTGTCAGGTTTCCTACTAAACAGTGCGAGTGTATCTGCCAAATTTTTGTTTGTAGCGCATTTTTCCGGCACAATTTTATACATCTTTTCATTTCTTTACTTGCTTCGTCGTCCTACCACGAATATGTCAGTCTCCAGGCAATGCAACAACGGAATGGGGACGCAAATCTCACCGGCAGACATCAGTTTCGAACCCGTTTTCTGACAATAGCTTCCAGACATATGCCCAAATCATCCTCAGCCTTCTCGACGATTTTCCATGCCAAATCCCCTTGTGTTCAGCGCCAGACGTTGTCACAAACTCTCTATCAACCTCGAGGCACGACAGCAGCTTTTAGCGTCTAGAATTGGCTCAGGCGCCTAAAACGAAAGCGGCGCCTCCGGCTGATTGGTGATCAGTAAATATTAGCTTTTCAATATGCAGGAGGCTTACACCTTTCGTTGCCCACCCTTGCCTCCCTTGCGAGCCTCCAGCCCCTTCCGCACTGCTCTGACCTGGGCTGCAAGTTCCAAGACTGTCTTGATCGACCTCACGATTTCTTCCTCGAGGAATCGAAGTCGTTGCACTTGACGTTTTGATGCCGTGGTGGAAGACTTCTGCTTCCTGCGGACCATTCGGCATCGTCGCAGAGGGTTGCGGCGAGGTGCCGACTTTGAAGCTTGAGTGCTCTGGATGGTCATGGTAAGCAAGAGCACTGGGCGAGGAATGAGGTCAGTTGCTTAGGCTGAAATGAAAGAGTGTAAGACCAAGCGAGTTGGAGAAGTTCAAATGGATGGTTCCAGTGTAGAGACGCCATGAATGATGGCTGGATCCTGGTTGGGTCCTTTGAGGAATGAGGGTGTTATTCGTTGTTGCCGTCTAGAGCTGCGGCAATTGTTGGTTCTGCGCTGTTTGCTGGCTCTGCGCCGTTTATTGGACTTGAGATGTTACCTAGCTAAATGAGCTTTAACATATCAACTACGCACCTCCCCCCTCGTAGAACTCCTCCAAAGCAAAAGATTCTTCGAAACATTATCACCATTCTATCTCTCTTAAGATGTCTCTCCTCCAGCCGATTCTCGACTGCATCTTCGGAGCAAGCCCTTCCACCACTACCATCACTAACAACACCACTGCCTCCCGCTCGCCAGAGAGCATTGCATCGGACATCGTCACCAAGATTCTAAGCGCCGACTCCCCCTACACCCTCCACAAGGAACTCCAAGACGAAGTCTCCACCACGGGCTGGACCGAAGCTGTCGCCAAAGCTACCCTCCAAGGCCTCGATAACGCCATAAAAGCCGGTGCGAAGATGGCCAAAGCGGCAGCGGACGCTCTAGGCCAGGCCAAAGACGCCGCTCTCGAATTCAGCACCGAGCACCCATATTACACCACTTTGATTGCCCTCGGTGTCCTGGCTGTGTTGATGCCCTGGATGCTTGAGGTCCTTGGTTTCGGGGAGCTGGGACCTATCGAGGGATCGTTTGCGGCGTGGTGGCAGAGGAAATATGCGGGAGAGATACCGAAACGTGCGTTGTTCACCTATTTCCAGCGTTTGGGGATGAAGTGGCATTGGCTTTAGGAGCAGTGTTCTCGCGAATTTTCCTTTGGTCACTGAAATTTGAGGGACTTGGAAGCCTCGGCAAGATCTACGTGGTTATTGGATTCAAGGAAGAACATATGTGATATTGAAGTCGGGGAATCACAACATAATGAGTCTGGATAACAGGTAATGGGATTTTTCAAGGCCTCATTCTGAACTCCTTATCCCATAAGCCTTTAGGGGGTGCCGTTCCACACACAACCCACCATAAGAATCCAAGCGACTTTGACGCCCAAGGTCAGTCTTTTGGAGTTAGGTATGTTCCACTGTAAGAAGTCCTGCCCAGCAGAAAATGTATCGTAAAGTCATCCTCAATCGACATCCCACACATTCTCCTGCCCAGACCTAGAATGCGGCAGCAATGTCCGTCTAGCCTCGCCTTCATTCTCAGCATCCTCATTCCCCGCAAGACGCTGCGGATTGCGCCCATTCGCCTGGTGTAAACGCGAGTCCATCCAGCTTGCCCTGCGAGCTGAAAGCTGTGCGAAGGCAATCTACATCCATCCATAAATCAGCCCAGTTGTTTCAATAATATACCACACATCAACTAACCTTGACAATCAAGCCTCCCAAAACAGCCGCAAAAGCCATCCACGAGACACTCCTCTGCGACGCAGTCCACGGCTCAACGCAAGCGCGTCTATACCCCATCTGCAGCTCACATGCATTATCCCCATGCGTCCGATCCTTGAACGGCCACGCGCGATCATGGATGCTCCGTAGCCCGCAGCACTGGAACCGGTCTTGGATTGCGCGAATTGCGTGTGCGTCTTTCTGTGCGAAGAACGTCTGCCATTGGTTCTCGAGGTGGCATGATAGGATGTCGGCGGGGAAAAGGTAGGAGAGAACAAGGGTGCCGAGCGTTGTGAGGAGGATTGTATGGATGTGCGAGAGGAGCGGAGCCGGCAAGGTGAATCGTAGCCGGTTGGTTTGGGTTTGTGATGTGTTGTTAACGAAGAGGCGGTAGCTTAAGATGGCGATGAGTGCGAGGGGGGTGATGAGCGTTGTTGTTGCGGGAATCCATGTTGGAAGGGGGAGGTGGAGGGCTGTCGTGCGCGCCCAGGAGAGTCTGTTTTGCTTGGTTAGACTGAGACTACAGGATTGATTGTCGGTGAAATAGCGAGAACGTACGCTCCGAGGACTAGGGATATGGTTGAGGCCTGTCGAGGGACAGTGAGTAGCTGCAGAAACGGTTGTCCGTGGATAGCCAACTCACCAGAAGCACTAGACCGTAGATGGCCGATGTGGAATCACACTTGGGAGGCATTGTCTACTGCGATTCTGATGGTTCAGGGCTGGAATTGTTAGGAAGGTGAGGAATAAAAGTATGGAGGGGTGTTGTTTGTGCTTGTCGTACAGAAGCGGGGTTTACAGGCCCGCAGATGGTGTGGCCTGTCGTCATTGACCATGGTCAGCCAGCAAACTCAAATATCTTTATTCTGATGGATCTATCTCCTACAGATAATTAGAACCTATACGGCATGGTTGTGGTTGCCACCATGCTTCAATTCCCTGACTTGCTTCTCGACAAATGGCTGCCTGTATGTAACTGGTCAGGATTTCTGAAAAATGGGCAAAAGCAAGACTAGTATACATAATCTGCAGGTAGGTAGTGTTGCTGCAGGGGCAAGTCAACTCAGTACTTTTCAGTATACTTGCGCTCCCATAATAGGTGAGTATTCTCATCCGCGTCTGAGACCACTTCTGCATGGGGGATATACTCCTCCACCCCCTTAATCTGCATCAGATGCGGCAGCTTTGTCTCCTTTTCTTCCATGAGCTTAGCTATATGGTAGTCCATCTTGAGGTCTGGTGAGTATAGCAACGGATCGCCCTTCTTGTAGCCATAAATATGGAGAGACTCCAGATTGGGCGGGAGTCCATCGGCCAGTGAGATATCGTCTACCGCCTTGGTATTACCAATGCTGCGTGCAAAGTAATACAGGAGGTGGACGCCAATACCCAGGTGCTTCAGTTGTGTGAACTCCCTGAAAGACTTGCCTTGAAGGACCTCTGCGAGTGTTTCTGAGGGTGATGGCCCTTCCTGCTCATACGGAAGATTCGGCCACCACTCATCCTCTCTCTTAAACCATGTTCTAGTCGGGGTAAAGAGCTCCGACAAATTTACGTTTTTCTCGAAGTCGAGATCAAGGTACTCAAGGCGGTCTTGGTGGGCGAGGAGGGAATGAAAAATAAGTTCTGGGTAGACGGCGTAGTACTCATAGATGCCAGCCGTTACCCCAATACAACCGCGGCCGCCAACGGAGATGACGAGCTCCTCCAACCGTTTCGCTGAATCAATGGCCGCACAGTAAGTACTGTTGCAAAGATCCGTGTGTTTCATGTAAATTTTGGTATAGTTCGCGGACTGAGGAGGAGGCGGACAATGTATTTCACCGTCTCCATACTGATCTCCGTTTTCATCCTCGGTAAAAGCCTCGAAAATAATGGTCTCGATGACAGGGAGTTGTCGAACAAGATTGAGAGACGCATAGATGTCGAGAGCATCGAACCATCTCGGATCATTGAGTACAGCTTCATCCCCCGGCTCAAATTCTACCGTCCTCACGTTCTGCAAAAAGGGCGCGTACTTTCCGGTGACACTGAGCCCTAGTAGGAGGTCCCTGAAGATATATCTCGGCAGCGGTTGATAATTGCTCGTCGCTCCTCCACCTCGGTGCTTGGATGGTTCTGGGAATTCCCAATAAGGAGGGAAAACCACCAATGTTCTCAGATCACGAGACAGGGAAAACAAGTAAAGTATCAAGGACAGCGGTTCTTTCCCAGTCTCCCCCAAAGCCCGCTTGGTTAATTGCTTGCTCAAGCTTCTTCAAAGTCTGTAGCGGAAGGTCAACCGGGGGTGGAATTTCCCCAATGCAGCCCTCAGAATCGCAAGTGAACGCTGATCTGTCTGATTTTGGGGTCAGAACTTCAGATATCTCGGCGCGTATACTTGGCTCTTCCAAAATGCTGAGCAAATTTGCGAATCTCCTCTTATGTTCTTCTCTGTCATCGTACTTGAATTTCAGAGGCGGCGGGTGCAATTTCCTTCTTATCTGGGATAAACTGGCAGCATGTCGGTAAAACTGTGGTTTGGTAGCTGCGCAGAATGCTGATCGACCGATGGAGGATAGGAGTGCCATTGTCAATGTGAAGTGAAGGAAGAAAGGAGAAGTTGGCCTGGCAGCCGGGACCGGGATCATGTCTCGCCAACGCGCTAGGCCGCTTGTGTGCTCTTTGTTCAGCAATATGAGCACTCTAGGTATCAATTTCTGCTCTTCACTAACAGGTAATGACAGTTAACCGTCAAAGCCACAGTTCTGAGAGACCAGCAGTGTGCCCGACAACACTTACATACGACTGATTCTGGGCAAGCCTTGCAGCTGACCAAACCGGCTGCGTCCAATGCCTTTATCTCGGATAACCCCTTGAATTGTGATGACATAGAGAGCGTTGTAGGTGAAGCCTGAGTCTCCTATTGGGTGGCTACCGGAGGCGCTATATATAAGGTCTGCGAGTCACGTGCAGCTAGTCCCAAACGGGTAAGCGTGGATGCCTGAGGCACCAAGGCAGGGAGCGTCCAACACACCCCTCGACTAGCAAACGTGGCAAACCGCTAATATACATGAAAAATTGAACCCGGTGGTCTTTCCTAATTAGGAAACGCATAGAGCTCACAGGCGGAGAAAAAAAAAAGAACCATTTGTTGACCTCCCATTGGTCAATTCAACAAACTATACCCTAGTACACCCCTCGTGGCGCGTCGGCCCGGCAGCGCGGGGAAAAGGAAGTATAAAGATATCCAAGGCGTGTCATTGGCCAGTTCCATGAGGTATACACCCCTCAGAGAGCTGCCATTGGCTTGCTGGACAAGCTATACGCCCCTCGTGGCGCGGGAGCGGCGGAGGTGTCTTATCCCGGCATCTTGGATCCGGAGAAACGGCTCGGCGCGGGGAACAGGAGTATAGGAGCGTTGGAGGCTTGTCATTGGCCAACTGTATGAGGTATACACCCCTCATAAAGAGGCCATTGGCTGGCTGGACAAGCTATACCCCTCGATGTCTCAGTACCCCGGAGGTTTGTATGCGGGAAGCGGCTCGGCGCGCGGAGGAAGTATAAAAACGCCGGAGGCTTGTCATTGGCCAACTGTATGAGGTATACACCCCTCATAGAGCTGCCATTGGCTGGCCAAACTATACACCCCTTGTTGTCACGGTATCCCAGCGGTTCGGATTCGGCGCGGGAAGCGGTTCGGCAGGCGGAGGAAGGGATATAAGGTTCGGATTTAGCGTCGGGAGCGGCCCGGTGGCCAATGGAAGAATGGTATTGTCGAAATTTGGCCAATTAAGGCCGGAGAAGTCGAAAGAAGTATAAAAAAAGAAGTATAAAATAAGGCTGCAGCACTGCACCCCGCGTGGAGCAACCTTAAAACACGCGCCATATGCAAACGCCCCGGCCGGCCCGCATCGGGATTGACTACCCCCGGGTTCACCTAGATGCCCTTAGGTTACCCTCTGCCCGGGCCTATAGGAGGAGTCTGATTGGCTTATAGACGAAGCCCCTGGTCTGCACCCGACAACAGCCAGCCTATGACAAGTATCAGAATGGTAGCATGCGGGGGGGATTACCACCCGGCCGGTTCGCGGTTAACTACCCCCGGATTTACCCTTTATCCGGGTCCCTGGAAGGAATCTGACTCAGAATGGTAGCATGCAAGCGTGGTAGATATGGACTATAAGGGGTGTGATTGGCTAGCTGCAGGTAGCCAAACTGTCAGTACCAGACGGTCGGTACTATAGAGAGACAGCAAAGAGGAATGATTGGCCATAGGCCAGGGGTATCAAAAGAGGCTTGAAAATTCTGCATGTTGAAAACCCGGGGTATCCCAGCGCTTTGGGAGGCTTCCGCTCCGGCCAATAAGAAAGGAGATAAGACGTATAGTTACCAAAGCGCTGGGACAGAGTAGCGGCTCATAACCTGATGACATAGAGAGCGTTGTAGGTGAAGCCTGAGTCTCCTATTGGGTGGCTACCGGAGGCGCTATATATAAGGTCTGCGAGTCACGTGCAGCTAGTCCCAAACGGGTAAGCGTGGATGCCTGAGGCACCAAGGCAGGGAGCGTCCAACAAATTGCATTCTTTCAACCGCAACTTGGGTATTCCGCCTGTGCTCCTACGGCTCCCCCCGGTCGTTTCCGAGCCCAGAGCTCATTGTTCCGTCCGCTTGGAACCCTCGAAGAGACGATTGTTCAGCATGGGCAAGCGCTTGGCGATATAATTGAGGCTTTCCAAGAGGACCAGACCAGCAGAAACGCGTTCAAAGTTCACATGCGCGAGTCCTGGGATGTGTCTCTTCCAATTGAATGATTCAACAATCTACTCGTACTCGAGCCCTAGTCCAAGTATCTCGACCAGGTAGAGGGCCAAATATCTATAGTCACTGCAACCTCCTTACAGTCTCGTCACCGGGTGGCATTGTTTACTCCCCACATTCAACAATCGTCTTCAAGGATGCTCATCTCAGCAATCGGATGCAACGGGCACTTCATCTGCTTTAGGCCATTGGTAAGTAGAACGATAAGATCTTCTAATTTTAGACATCATGAAGCCTGGTCGACATTCAACTTCAGCAATGAAGCCGCATTCTTCCAGCGGATGCCTTCCAACACCTCCGAAGTCACCATCCCACTCCCCTCCAGCTCTTCCAGCCACTTCAGCCCGTCAGCGCTCTTCGCAAACGGGTAGTCCACGCTATACATGATTCTGTCGGGCTTCGTGTTGCGCAGTATACAAGCCAGCGGGTCCAACGCCCAGTTACCACTCGTCGTTAACCACAGATTCTCGTCCCACACCTCACGAAACGACCTGTGCTTTCCCCATCTTGAGGAAACCCGCTCTATCCTCTGAAGCATGTAGGGAATCATCTCTCCCATATGCCCAATGATGATTTTCAAGTTCGGGAACCGGTCAAACACGCCCGCTGCATACAGACGCAGAATATGGATAGCCACATCGCTGTGCCAGCCAAATCCAAATGAGAGGATGGCTGCGTTCACATCCTCAGATACGTTGGGAAACTTGTACGCTGTGAAGTGTTGCTGGGTGGGCCACGTTGGATGGATGTATATCGGCACATCCAGGTTCGTCGCCTCCTCCCAAAGCACGTCAAATTCAGGTCCGTCATAGTATAATCCGCCTTCTGTATGACTGTCCACTAACGCTCCGACAAAGCGAACCCCGTCAAAAGCGCCCGAGCACATCCGTCGGAGTTCCACTGCGGCTTCTTTGGGCTCATGCATTGGCAGTTCAGCGAACCCGGCAAATCTGCTCGGATAGGCGCGCACGGCTTCTGCGAGCTGGTTGTTGGTATCTCGACACTGGGCGGGTGACAGGTCACCAGGGCCGTGAGAGACAACCTGCATGGTCACTTGCCCGGCGTCCATATCCGCAAGGCGCCGTGGACCCAGCTCGGTGAAACTGTCGAATAGCCCGGGGATGGCTCGCATTTTCTGGTTGAGCGCATTTGGCGATGCGAGCGCAGCACGGGAAAGGAAATGTTCCTCAAGGGTGATGATCGGTCGGGAAATCGATCTCAACAGTGACTGGGCTGGCATGGTTGTTGCAAGTGGTATCTGTCGTTTTGGATAAACTGGTGGTAATGTTCGATGGGGCATGTCAGGAGCTTTATACTTCCTGGCGAGATCTCCACATATCCGGATCAGATTGTTGTTAACTCCGATAAGCTCCGTCATGACGCTATTGCCGATACACCCGTCATGCTGTGGACAACGCTGAGGATGATTAAGCTTAGGAAATTATTCTCATGGAACAGCAGAGGGCGAGGTCCTACAGCGCGCCAAGCAGAATTGGAAAGTGATCAGACTCAATAAGCATCGAAGCGGATATCGTTCCCACATCGTCCCGAGTCGATCCCGCCATAATATGAAGCATGTCAAATTGGCCAGGAAGTAAGTCTATTTCGCATTATAGAGTGGTTTACATGGAGCCAGAAAGATAATTCACAGCTTCTCTAGGCCGCTACCCAAGCGAATCCCACGATCCTTCGGCAACCACAGTTAGTATTGGGCGTGTTGTGAGGGTTGAGTCCAGGACTTACTGTCAGCCAGGTCGGAATGTACGAATGGATCAACCATCCGAGAGACGCAGCTCTTCCTCTCCAAGTCATCCCATTGCAACCTCGGAGCACATCATCAACTACGGCGGTCGCATAAACAGCCGCTGGCATCGCCATAGTGGCATGTTTTGCTCCGCTTGCAAGCTCTGCTATCTGCGGACCGGCCGCCGTGTAGTATGAGCTCTCAGGCAATTCCTCATGAGGAGCATTCTCGAAAATCTTGGAGGCCACAATCCCGGTCATGACGGTGACTACCTTGACGCCTAGCGGAGCGACCTCAAGCCGAAGTGACTCGCCGTACATTCGAACAGCGGCTTTAGAGGCATTGTAAAATGCTAGCTCTATCAGCGTCGGCTCACAAGGGAGATTTCGAGAGCCTTACATCCCCAGGGTACGTGCACAACTCCCGCAAGGGAAGCGTTGTTTACAACCGTCCCCTTAGAAGCAATCAACAGCGGCATGAACGTGTGCGTAACATTGACCATGCCCCAGAAATTAACGTCAAACATCTTCCTCGCATACGTCAAGTCGGCATCCAGAGCTGGGCAGTTCAGAGTCAGCCCCGCGTTATTGACTAGATAGTCCAGCTTCCCGGTGCCGCCCGTATAGGCGATCACTGCCTTCAGGGTGGCATTGATGCTGGACTGAGACTCAGTATCAAGCTCTAAAAGAGTCTTATTCGACAATCGCTCCAGGTGAACCATTCTAGACAGCGAACGTGCCGTCGCAAAAACGTGAAAACCCCGCTCGTGGAAGGCTTCCGCCAGGGCTGATCCAATGCCGCCCTCGCTGCATCCTGTGATGAGAACAGTGGGAAGCGGCCTGTCAGAGTTGAGTACGGTCATCGCTGCTGTGGGAAATGTGAGGTGTCATGTTTGGGTATATCCTCGGCGGCAAATCGCTTTTATTTGTTTCGGCACGGTACGCTATACTATATTCTGGTATAGCTCCCTTCCAAATACTAACCACCGGTTTACTCGGAGTTACTCGCCAAGCAGAGGTCAGGTATGACCACGAGTTTGTTGCCGAGGAACGGGCCACGGGTGGACTCTTGTTGCTTGGAGTTGGACGGCTCGTTCCTCAAATTCACGCGTGGTTTTAGCAGAGGGAACTATGCCCAGGGTGGACATGAACCAGGGAAGAGAGCACCACCGGCGTTTGAGAAAAAGCAGGCTCCAGTCTCCAAGACATGGAAGTCTCCTTGTCTCAACTCTCCGACAAGTGCATTATCTTCTTTAGGGCTAGGCACAAGCCGCCGTTGCATATGCCGGGATGGCAGGAGATGGCCTGTCATCTGTCAGCTCGTTTAGGAGTCAAGAGTTGGAAAGACTAATGCTACATCCTACAAGCGAGCCACATCTCCGTCGTTATTGGGTGAGTTGGATAACCCCTGCTCGCCGGGTTCCCCTCCACGCCACCTAGACTCACAAAAAGTACGCCTTGCATTCAACCACACCCCAAACCCTTGTTTTAACAGGGGCCTATTCAGGACGGCATGGGCCGTCGTGGCGCCATGTGGGCCGGCGATGGGGCCGAAGCTGGCGTATTGGCCTATGCTAATGCAGTGACAGGCGCCGTTAGGGCTAACTGCAAGAGGACAGCCCAGAACGATCGGTTCTATTTCGCTGTATGGACTCAACGAAGCCATCCGGGATGCAAACCCGGTCAGAGTCCGCAAGGCGAGTTAATTAGCCCATTGTTTGGTGGCCAAGGATTGCAACAATTGATATCAAGCATGGGTTTCCAAGTTGCTGGGGCCAGAGGCGCTGATGCCGATCGAGGTTCCCATCAGACTCTCGAGTCTCGACAGCATCTCTTTACACTCTGCGTGGACAGAATAAAGGCCCCGTGACCTTCTAACCCTAACTCCGCTCGCCCTAGACCTCCGCGCAAATATCCTATATAACATGAACTCCGCCCTCGCGAAAAGCGTCTGCGCGACAGTTGCAGCGGATGAAAGGCCGCGGATGGAAACTGGTACAGGCTGGAGGGAAAACTGGCGGATGTGGTCATGACGAGCTGGCGGTATCTAAAAGTCTACGCGCTGGATTTCGGACCGGGGCTGGGATATGTGCGGGATTTTGAGTCTGGTTTTTCGTTGATGCCTGGGGCTTGTTTTATGCTTCCGAGACGGACGAGATATGTAGAGGCTAGGGTTTGGTTCCGATGGACTGGGAGGCGGCAGTTACGTTGAGGACTGGGGAGGATGAGGGTGTGGTCAAGGGCCCATTGTTGGGAGGGATTCTTGCCTAGGCAATGGCGGTAGATCACAGCGGGGGGCTGTCATCTTGTATAGTGCTGAACGTTCAGAGCTCAAGGGTGAGCTTCACGACTTTGATGGACTAAAAAACTGGTGGCTCTTTAAGGTAACCCTAGCCAGGGCAACCAACATAATGAGGGACATGCTAGCATATCGCTAGTCGATGGAATCCCACTGGCAATAGAACAGGCCAGCCTTTATAATCCAACATGTTCAGGATATTGAGTTCTTACGCTAGCTGTTATAACCCGCCTATACACAATATTTTATGGAAGTCTACAATGAATTATCAACGGCCCAGGGTGCGGCAAAGCCTAGCCGCGACCCCTGCAATACCGGATACGAGTCATCTTGCGTCATGGTCGGGATTGACTCGGGCAACCAACCATAATTCGCGTGCTCCACGAATCCCCATTGTCCGGCGTTGTCGTCCAGCCCCAGCGAGTCCAGCAACGAGCCCGGCCAAGCCGAGCTCCCACTAGACCCCGTCTGCGCCACCGGCTCCGATGCATGTTCTTGTGAAGCCTTGATGAAGAGCTGGGTCACCACACGTTCCCCTGAAGCGGCCATCTCACTGAAATCAGCGAGCATCTGCAACCGACGAAGTGCCTGCTCTGCCGCCTGGAGGTCCTTGCGGCGCGTCAACCGGCCAGCCTTGACGCCCAGTAGCATTGTATCCTCCTCCCCATGGCCAAAGGGGAAGTCGGCGTGGCAGCAGAGACCAAGCAGGAGCACGGCGGCCTCGAACGTGTTGAAGATGATGACAGCAAAGCGTGTGTGGGAGCCGCCGAGCTTGGCGTGCAAGGCCGTGACGGCCTCCAGCTTCTTGAGGGCTGCCAGGACCAGGCGCCTTTTCTGCGACTGCAGCAGCACCTGTTTGTATGGGGCAAGCCTGGCGATCTGGGCGGGTTTGAGCAGCAGCAGCGGCCGGAAGTTCCAGCAGATGGAGTCGAAGATGGCGATGTGCAGGAGCTGTCGCTGCGTAGGGAGCTTGAGTAGACGAGTATCCCATTGAGTATCTGGCTCCAGTGCAAATGTAGGCGGCAGCGCCGGTAGATATTCAGCGCAGAACCGGTCGTATCGCTGCTCGCTTTGTAAAGGGTCATACTCAGCATTCCGCCGCGGGCCAAAGCTGCGCCAGAATTGACCTAGCTGCACTTGCATGAGCCGCTCGGTGAAGAGCTCCGGTGCGCTGGTGTCGGTGCTGATTTCTAGCCCGAGACGCAACTGGGGAAGGGCCTCTGATACCAGGTCGTCCGGGAGAAACGGCACGCGGTCCAGCTGCCGGGATAGATGGCTATCTAGGACGTAAAGACTGCACAGCGTCCTTCGCTCAATCTCTCGTTCTAAGTTCTGGGCGCCGTTCGTGCTTGGAAAAGACGCATCGGCGTGGATGCCCGCTTTCTGGGCCGCGCGACTGGCCGCGGCAATGCCCTCCCAGAATCGGTCGGTTCTGCCCTCGCACGAGAACTTGAGGGCGAGGAAGAGGGTGTCCTGAACGCGTACCAGTGACCCTTTCCAATCCAGAGACAGGCACGCTTGGGCGAGGCTGTCGCTCACTTCGCTGCAGGTGTTGCGGATGTTGGTGAGGGAGAGCCCGCCGATACTGTCTACTGTATGGGAAGGGGATGGGAGAGACTGCGCCGCGTACACGCTGATGCGCAGGATCAGAACGGCAAACTCGATGTCGCGCACGGGCAGTGGTTGGTCTTTGGTCCACCATTGTTGCTACTGTGCCAGGAAGCTGGGGGCATGGATGACCTGTTTCATCCTGAAGGCAAGCTCGATTAGCGAATCCTCGCTCGGGGCGTTGACGACTAGAAAACCGCATACCAATTCAGCTCAGATAGAAAGTACTGCACAAGGAAATCAAGCACTTGGCGACGGGGCATTCGGTCGAGATCGCGCTCTATGCTCTGGAGGTAGGTTGATGCACTTGTTTCGCCGCCATGGCTGTCACCAAGACTCTCGACGTCCCACTACACAACAAGACCGGGTTAGTCGGGCAAGGAGACGTCAATCTGCGGAGGCCTTACTCGCCGGAGCAAAGCCATGGTGTTGCAGGTGCTATCCTCAAAGTAGCCAAACGACTGGGCAAGAGCGGAGGGTGGGTTGTATGAGTGTCTTTTCGCCTCGTCCAGAACGACCGGGCATAATCCATCGGGCTCGTGAACGTCCGCCCGATCCCAGAGTGGTTGTGCTGTGTCCAACGGGCGATCCTGCGCCTCATTTCCGGGGGCCCGAGTACGCGAGGACAGCAGCTCCGCCGGAGAGGAACTATAGAGACACTCTTCTGGTCTTCAACGGCGGCTACAATGATTGCATGGATATTGACGGTTACACTATTTGCCGAGACAATGAGAGTATTAGCCACACTTGCCCTCTGATCAATCGGTTCACGTACCTTTCGTTTGCGCTTGTAGCAAGGGCCGCAGGAGGTGACCCGACGTTTTCGGCCGTCGGGATGCATCATCATATGGGATCCTTTCCGTACCGTTCGAGAATTGTAAGACATATGTCTGAATCCCGTGGAGCACTAGCACCGTGGGGAGGCTGACAGGGGAAAGGAAGGGAGTAGGGACCTGTTGGGCTACCTGCCTAAGCTCCCGCACTTGGCCCGCGCTACTACCTAGGTACTAGGTAAGCACCTCTCCGATGGATCGTTTAACCAACATCCTCTTCCATCTGACATCTACGTCCATAAGCCTCCATTCAGCTTCCCAGACCTCTTCATGGCTACAGTTACGTTACCTCACCACTGCGTCCACCGCAAATGGACCTGGGTCGCGTTGGCATGCAGGATCACCCGTGGGTTCAATTTCCTTCGGCCGATGAATGTCAGTCAACCAAACGCTGCGGTGTTATTTGGGCTAAAGTCCGCCGTCGGCCTGGACTCTTGACTTTCTTTGTGTCTAAGATGGGATGATCATGATGCGGTCCTCATCGGTCGGTTTTAACGGAAATAAGGAATGGAGTCGTCAGGGGGCCGTCAGGGGGTCGTTGGGGAGAATGGTATATCATACCCTATATGTCTCCTGGGTGAATCGAATGCGAATGAAAGGGTACCTCGGTCATGCATCGCTCGGAGGCTGTTGTTTAAACAGAACATACCTGACGATTTTAGTCCTACCCCAGAGCGCTACTTCAGAGAGTTTCCCACCCTAACACCAAGTCATCCCCTCGTGCCATGGAGCCTTCGACACTCTCTTCTTTTGTTCGCAAGAAAACAGACCTAGAGGCCCCTGATGCCCGACTCTCCACCATTGAGCCCCCGATGCCCGACTCTCCACCATTGAGCCCCCGATGCCGCAAGATTCTCCACTGTCCGCCGCAAGCGGAGAAAAGACGGGTGGAAAGGCGACGTCAGGCACACTGACGAAGATGCCCGCAAGGTCACCGGCTTCCGCTGGTTCCTCGTCTGCGCCGCCCTCTACCTCTCGGCCCTGATGTACGGATTGGACACAACCATCGCTGCCGACGTGCAGGGAGCCGCCACCGAGACCTTCGGCGAGGTCTCTCAGTTGGCCTGGATCGGCGCCGGCTTCCCGCTAGGATCGGTGGCTGTCATCCTACCCTACGGGTTCCTCTACACCACTTTTAACATGAAATACCTATAAATCGCCGGCATCGTGCTCTTCCAGGCCGGCTCGGCCCTCTGCGGCGCAGCGCTCACCATGAACGCGCTGATCGTTGGCCGCGTGTTTGCCGGTGCCGGCGGCACAGGTATCTACCTGGGCGGCCTGAACCACTTCTCGGCCATGACAACACGGCAGGAGCGCGGCACCTATCTCACGGGCACGGGTTTCGTGTGGGGGTTGGGCGCCATTCTCGGGCCTGTCGTCGGGGGCGGATTCTCCGACTCATCAGCCACCTGGAGATGGGGTTTCTACATCAACCTCATCATCGGCGCCATCACGGCTCCTGTCTACCTCTTTTACCTGCCGGCCATCCATCCGGGGGCGGGCAAAGGCCTACACAACCGCCTCGTGAGGCTCGACTACGTGGGTTTCGTGCTCAGCGCCGGCATGTGGGTGGCGTTCGCGATGGGGTTCATCTCGGCCGGCGGCGTGTGGGCGTGGAGCGAGAGACGCACGATTGCCATAATCATTGTCTTCGCTGTGCTCCTTGCTTTATATGTTCTGCTGCAGTATTTTTGTGTCTTCACCACAACCGCCACGCGATCCTTCCCGGGCCATCTGCTGCGCTCGCGCACACAGATCCTGGTCTACATCACCACCACCTGCGCTAACACCGGCATGTTCTTCACCACCTATTACATTCCCATTTACTTTCAGTTCACGCAGAACGATAGTTCGCTGATGGCCGCCGTGCGGCTCCTCCCCTACCTGCTAGTCACCATCACCTGCAACCTGGCCACCGGCTGGGCGCTACCCAAGATGCAATACTACATGCCGCTGTGCCTGGTTTCAGGCGCGCTAATGACGCTCGCCGCGGGACTGTTCGTCGGCCTATTATCAACTGACACCCCTACTGCGCAGGTTTACGGCTTCAGCATCCTAATGGCCGTGGGCACCGGCATCACCATGCAGCTGGGTTACGCCGTTGCCAGTCTCAAGGTTCCCCCGGCGGATGTCTTCAGCGCCATCAACTTGCAGAACGTGGCCCAGATTGGCGCTACGGTCATCTATCTCGTCGTTGCCGGCCAGGTGTTCCAGTCCACGGCGGTGCGGATCTTGAACGGAGCGCTGGAGGGACATGGGTCCAGCCAGGCGGAGATTCAGGATGCGGTGGCAGGAGCTCAGAGTCCGCTGTTTCAGAGCCTTAGTGGGCATCTGAGAGACTCCGCGATTCGGGCCATCACAGGTCATGGTTCCGAAGATGATCCGCGACAGGATATATCAAGGTAGGTTAGGCGCAGCTGTGGCTACGTACTGCAAGAGCAACTCGGGACATATTCCTTAAGTTCTAGTCAATCTCTATTAGGTTTTAAGGCTTTAAAATTAAGAAAGTATACAGATATTCTCACTAGGTTCCCTAGGAAATAACACCCTCTTCCAAGCCCTAACTCACTCACGTGACTAGCAAAGCATTGTACTCCGAGCGCTTACGTAGTTCTTGGCGCTCATCATGGGCGGCTTGATCGTCATCCGACACGCGGAGAAAGCAACATCATCACGAGAGAGACCTCCAGGCACCTTTATTCTTTCTTTTATCATACGCCGTATAACTCTATATTATAGCCCTTTATAACTTGGATGTATCTCCGATAAATACCCTTCCAGCCGACCCCTCAACACGATGCGGGGACTCCGCTTCATCCCCATCGCCGCGGCCCTGAGCTTCCCCACGCAGTCCCTCGCCCAGGGCAAAACGAAGATCCACGAAGAAGGTCGGTGTGCGATTCGCGGCCACTGCGGGAAACAGTCGTTCTTTGGCGGAGAGCTCCCGTGTCCGGATAATGATGTCGCGAGGGAGCCGGAGGCTGCGGTGAGGGAGAAACTGGTGAGCCTGTGTGGCGCCAAGTGGGAAGATGGGCCGGTATGCTGCGAGGAGGAACAGGTGAGTTACTGACCCTAGGATAATTGAATCTGAGGCAGGGAGCGCGCTAACCGGTTGTGCTTGCGGTGCTTAGATCGATGCGCTGTCGAATAACCTGAAGCTCGCGGAAGGGATCATCGCCTCGTGTCCGGCTTGCAAAGACAACTTCTTCAACATCTTCTGCACGTTCACTTGCTCGCCGGATCAGTCGCTCTTTATTAATGTTACGGATACTGCGCAGGGAAAGTCTGGGAAAGAGCTAGTCACGGAGTTGGATAATATATGGTCGGAGGAATACCAGAGCGGGTTCTACGACAGCTGCAAGAATGTCAAGAATGGCGCTTCCGGTGGCAAGGCGATTGACTTTATTGGAGGCGGCGCGAAGGACTACCAGCAGTTTCTGAAGTTCCTGGGTGACAAGAAGCTGCTGGGGAGCCCTTTCCAAATCAATTACCACACTGAACCTCCGGCAGACTCCCAGGGTATGAAGGCGCTGCCGGTTCATCCAAAATCTTGCAATGATGCCGATCCGGCGTACCGTTGCTCATGTGTCGACTGCCCCGATGTGTGTCCTGAGCTTCCTGCGATCAAGACCGAAGAACGGTGCCACGTGGGGCTTCTACCGTGCCTGTCGTTCTCTGTTATTCTTATCTATTCGGTCTTTCTGCTTGGAGTTGCTAGCTTTACGAGTTACTTTACCTATAAAGAACGCCGATACCGCAAGCCTGAACGGGTGCGACTTCTACAAGATCCGGTTCCGAGCGACGATGAAGATGAGGACAGTATTGTTCACGCAGGCGGGCATCTGGAGTACCCGCATGGATATTACAAACTCAACTCTATGCTTGACATGATGTTTAGCCGCATTGGGTCTATTTGTGCTCGTTTCCCCGCCTTAACGATAATATCGAGTATTGTCGTGGTTATCCTTATGAGCTTAGGTTGGCTGCGGTTTGCGGTGGAGACGGACCCGGTCCGCCTCTGGGTGAGCCCTACTTCGGCAGCGGCTAAAGAAAAGGCGTTCTTTGATGAGAACTTTGGACCATTTTACCGCGCCGAGCAGGCGTTCCTCGTCAATGATAACGAGACTCGGGATGGGCGGCTCCTTGATTACGACACGCTTACCTGGTGGTTTGGCGTCGAGTCGCGTGTTAGCTACTTGTTGTCTGTGAAACACCAACTGACCCTGGATGATGTCTGCTTCAAGCCTACAGGTGACGCGTGTGTTATCCAGTCGGTGACTGGTTATTTTGGTGGCTCGTTTTCAAACCTCGATCCAGATACCTGGCAGGATCGCCTGGTGCATTGCGCAGAATCGCCCGGCGACGTAAGCTGTCTTCCGGCCTTCTCACAGCCTCTCAAGCCCGAAATGATTCTAGGTGGCTATGAGGAGACAGGGGACGTTCTCGATGCTAAAGCATTGATAGTGACTTGGGTTGTGAACAATCATGGACCAGGCACAGAGAAAGAGGCCAGGGCTATTGATTGGGAGGACAGTTTCCAACAGCTCCTTCGGTCGGTACAGAATGAAGCCAAATTTCGCGGTCTCCGTGTTTCTTATACTACGGAAGCAAGCGTTGAGGAAGAACTGAACAAGTCAAGCAACACTGACGCCAAGATTGTTGTCATCAGCTACATCATTATGTTCATATACGCATCCCTGGCTCTTGGCTCCGTGACGATGACCTGGAAGTCTCTGATCCACAATCCGGCCAATGCCCTGGTGCAGTCCAAGTTCACCCTTGGTGTGGTGGGAATCGTCATCGTTCTGATGTCTGTGTCTGCATCGGTTGGTTTGTTCTCTGCTGCTGGCGTCAAAGTCACTCTGATTATCGCCGAGGTGATTCCTTTCCTAGTTTTGGCCGTCGGCGTGGACAATATCTTCCTCATAGTTCACGAATTTGAGCGGCTCAACGTCAGTCATCCAGATGAAGAGATCGACGAGCGCATTTCCCGGGCTACTGGTCGGATTGGACCTAGTATCTTCCTGTCCGCCATCACGGAAACTGTTGCCTTCGCATTGGGTGTCTTTGTTGGGATGCCTGCTGTCAGAAACTTCGCCATCTACGCAGCGGGCGCTGTCTTCATCAATGCCATCCTGCAGGTTACGATGTTTATTTCTGTTCTGGCTCTGAATCAGAAGCGCGTCGAGAGCCTCCGTGCGGATTGTATTCCCTGCTTGACCGTGCGCAAGGCCCACTCTGGCATGCCGGAGGACCCAGGTTTTGACGATCTGGACGGAGAAAGCGCTCTGCAGAAATTCATCCGCAAGATCTATGCACCGTTTCTTCTCCACCGCAGAGTCAAGGTCGTGGTGGTAATTACCTTCCTTGGTATCCTGACTGCCGGGTTGGCTTTGATTCCGGAGGTCGCCATGGGCTTGGATCAGCGTATTGCACTCCCGAGCGACTCTTATCTGATAGATTACTTCGATGACCTCAGCGAGTACTTCAACGCCGGTCCTCCTGTCTACTTCGTCACACGGAACGTGAACATCACGGAAAGAAAGCACCAACAGCAACTTTGCGGACGGTTCACAACATGCGAAGAGTACTCACTACCGTTTGTACTTGAGCAAGAGTCAAAGCGATCGGACGTTTCGTACATTTCAGGCTCTACCGCCAGCTGGATTGACGACTTCTTTTACTGGCTCAACCCGCAACAAGACTGCTGCTATGAAGACGGCAAGCTGTGCTTCGAAGATAGAACACCCGGCTGGAACATCAGCTTGTCTGGCATGCCCGAAGGCTCCGAGTTTATTCACTATCTTGAAAAATGGATCGACTCCCCCACGGAGGCTTCATGTCCTCTAGGTGGAAAAGCACCATACAGCAACGCTCTTCTTTACGACCCGAAACGCATCATGACCAATGCAAGCCACTTCAGAACCTCTCACACTGCACTGAGGACGCAAGATGATTTCATTAAATCATACATCTCCGCACGGCGCATTGCGGATGGTATCTCGGAAGAGCATGGGATCGATGTGTTCCCTTACTCGAAGACGTACATCTTTTTTGACCAGTATGTCTCTATCGTTCAGGTCGCCGGTACTCTGCTTGGTTCTGCTGTGGCGATTATTTTCGCCATTACCTCTATTCTTCTCGGCTCTGTCGCCACAGGTGCTGTCGTTACGGCGACAGTCGTGATGACCGTAGTCGATATCATCGGCTCCATGGCCATCTCAGGCGTCTCGCTGAACGCCGTCTCCCTCGTCAATCTGGTCATTTGCGTAGGCATTGCTGTTGAATTCTGCGCCCATATTGCTCGAGCCTTCATGTTCCCATCGCGCTCGATCATGGATAACGTGCCGACAAAATACCGCGGCAAGGACGCGCGTGCCTGGACGGCACTGGTCAACGTCGGCGGTAGCGTCTTTAGCGGCATCACCATAACCAAACTTCTCGGGGTGTGCGTTTTAGCCTTTACCCGGAGCAAAATCTTCGAGATCTACTACTTCCGGGTATGGTTGGCGCTGATCATTTTCGCGGCCACCCACGCGCTCATTTTCTTGCCTGTTGCGCTTAGCTATTTCGGCGGAGATGGTATGTTACATGCACTACATCTAGTCTACCGGTGTTTACCCGAATACGTTGCTGACAATTTACTAGGATACGCTGACCCCGAGGCCAGTGGGGGTCTAGAAGAAAACCTTGCTTCTAGAGGGTACCGCTCCCTGCTGGTTGACGATGATTATGACTCGGACGAATACTAGTTGCGCTGGTTCGCGGCTGCATCTTTAGCGATGAGCACCCCTCCTGCATACGATGTTGAGGTGGGCGACTATGTCAATATATGCTGTTTTCCTCTTGTTTGTTACACTAGCATAAAATACGAGCAGCAGTGCTGGCTCTGGCATTGATATCGTTCTTTTGGTTGCTAATGATTGGAAATTCAAATGTCGTTGGATACTCCTGCTATCTCCCCCCTTTCTGTTTGTATACTTCGGATGCGGCCCAAATTTTGGCTGGCCGCAATGCATAAGCCATCAACAAACAATCAACGGGTACAAAAGGCAACGCCGGCCTACAATGGCAATAACAGCATGTCTATATAATGCAATTTAGACGTACAGATCTTGAATTAATGCTGGGCTCGTCGAGTCCTACATATCTATTGACCTCGATTAAATGCTTGAAGAGGTGTGGAGAGATCACATGACTGAGCCAAGCGCTAGCTTCTCCTAATTTTTTTTTTTTCTCGGACCTTTTCTCCTTCGGGCCCCTCCACAACATTCTTCTTCTTCTTTTCTTCCTCATCCTCCCCTTTTCCCTTTTCTTTTGCTTGTTATCTTTCTTTTGTTCATACTTTTGTGATACCCCCCGTGCTGTCTGTTTGTGTGCAGACAGCCGCTTCATCCCTTACGAAGTTCTTCTACGCGTCGTGGAGAACGAGGGATTATAACCCCGCAACCTTTTTTTTTTTTCCCAAGAAATATTTGAAAACTCTGCATACACAATCCAACATGGATCAGCAACGATTCCTGCAGCAGCTGCAAATCGTTCTTGACCGTGAGTCTATTATATATACGCTAGCCCAGCATCTAATTAGGACGTATTGCTGACTGATTCCAGCTACTCAGGGCAACGTTAAGGAGGCCACCGGTATCCTCCAGCGCGAGTACTATAAGCACCCCGAGTCGCTCGTGCTCCTCATCCAGGTCGCGACTGGCCACGATGACCAGCAGCTGAGGCAACTCGCTGCTGTCGAGGCTCGCTCTCTGGTTGGCAAGCACTGGGCTAAGGTTCAGGCTGGTCAGAAGCCCGCCCTCCGCGAACAGCTCCTTCGCTCCGGTGTCAGCGAGGCCAACGACCTCGTCCGCCACTCTGTGGCCCGCGTTATCTCCGCCGTCGCCAAGGTCGATTTGGAGGATGGCGAGTGGGCTGACCTGCCCAACTTCCTGATGCAGGCCGCCAACAACGGAAACAAGGATGAGCGTGCTGTGTCTCTGTACATCCTCTTCACCATTCTCGAGACTCTCGGCGAGGGCTTCGAGGAGAAGTTCCAGGACCTGTTCGTGCTGTTCGGCAAGACCATCCGTGACCCTGAGAGCGCCGATGTCCGCATCAACACTCTCCTTGCTCTTAGCAAGCTTGCCATGTACCTCGACTCCGCTGAGAACATGGGCTCCGTCAAAGCGTTCCAGGACCTCGTTCCCTCTATGGTTGCTGTTCTCAAGGACGCCATTGACCAAGGCGAGGATGACCGCATCATGCAGGCCTTCGAGGTTTTCCAGACCCTGCTTGGTTTCGACCCCGCTCTCCTGACTGTTCACCTGAAGGACCTGGTTCTCTTCATGAACGAGATTGCCGCGAACACCGAGGTCGATGAGGACACCCGTACTCAGGCTATCAGCTTCCTCATGCAGACTGTTCAGTACCGCAAGCTCAAGATCCAGGGTATGCGTCTTGGTGAGCAGCTCGCCCGCACTGCTCTGCAGATTGTCACCGAGCTTGGCGATGCCTCTCCCAGCGACGACGATATCACCCCCGCTCGCTCTGCTCTCGGTCTCCTTGACATGCTTGCCCAGAGCCTGCCTCCTAGCCAGGTCGTTGTTCCTCTGCTCAACACTCTTGGCCAGTACTTCAACAACTCCAACCCTGACTACCGCCGCGCCGGTATCATGTCTCTCGGCATGGTTGTCGAGGGTGCTCCTGACTTCATCAGCACTCAGATGAAGGAGATCATGCCCATGGTTCTGCAGCTTCTTGCTGATCCCGAGCTCAAGGTTCGCCAGGCTACTCTCCACGCCGTTGCCCGCCTGGCCGATGACCTCACTGAGGACCTCAACCGCGACCACGAGAAGCTCATGCCTCTGCTCTTCAAGAATCTTGCCAGTGCTATGGCCGAGTCCAAGGGCGAGGAGGAGGGCCCCACCGTCGACATCATGAAGGCTGGTCTCAGCGCCATTGATGCTGTCGTCGATGGTCTCGACGAGAAGGACGTTGCTCCTTACCAGAGCGAGCTGGTCCCTATTCTTCACCAACTCTTCAAGCACCCCAACTACAGAATCAAGGGTCTCTCTGCCGGTGCCCTTGGCTCTCTCGCCTCTTCCTCTGGTGAGGCTTTCCTCCCTTTCTTCGACGACTCTATGCACCTCCTCCAGGAGTTTGCTGCCGTTAAGGACAGCGAGGAGCAGCTTGACCTCCGTGCTAGCGTCACCGATGCTATGGGTGAGATGGCCGCTGCTGCCGGTCCTGAGCGCTACCAGCCCTACGTTGAGCCTCTTATGCGCGCTACTGAGGAGGCTCTTCACCTTGGTCACTCCCGCCTCAAGGAGAGCACCTACATCTTCTGGGGTGCCATGGCCAAGGTCTACAGCGAGCACTTTGCTACCTTCCTTGACGGTGCTGTCAAGGGTCTCTTCAACTGTCTTGAGCAGGATGACGACGACCTTGAGCTCTCTCTCGGTGAGGCCGCCAAGGACCTCATTGGCCAGGAGGTGACCGTTGCCGGCCGCAAGGTCAAGGTTGCCAGCGCCGGTGATGACGATGACGAGCCCGTTGGCGAGGATGGTGAGATCGAGGACGTTGACCTCGACGAGGAGGACGACTGGGATGACATAACCGCCACCACTCCCTTGGCCCTCGAGAAGGAGATTGCCATTGAGATCATCGGTGACCTGGTTACCCACACTCGCAGCGCCTACCTTCCCTACTTCGAGAAGACCATCGAGATGGTTATGCCTCTTGTTGAGCACCCTTACGAGGGTGTCCGCAAGGCTACCATCAGCACCATGCACCGCTCCTACGCCATGCTCTTCACCATTGCTGAGGAGTCTGGTCAGATGCCCAAGTGGAAGCCTGGTCTTCCCCTGCAGGTTGAGCCCGCCAAGGAGGTTAAGAAGTTCGGTGAGATCCTCATGACTGCTACCATCAAGATGTGGACTGAGGAAGACGACCGGTACGTTGCCCTATGGTTATTTTATTCCCTGCCCATACCCAAATCATATGATGAAACACCTCGTTTAACCCAGCTCACTTTGACGCACAAGTTGCGATTGATGTGAAAGACGTTTATCTACTCCTGATGATTCATTACCCTACATATCTTGTTACACTCGTGCTTTGGCGGGCATTGCTGACTCGCCAAACTAGATCTACCGTCGCCGACATCAACCGCAACATGGCTGAGAACCTCCGCTTCTGCGGTCCTGCCCTCATTGCCAACGAGACCACCCTGCACAACGTCATCCAGATGATCACCGACATCATCACCAAGAAGCACCCTTGCCAGCTCGAGTTCGCCGAGGAGGATGACGACGCTGGTGAGGAGACTTCCGAGTTCGACTGGATCGTCGTTGACACTGCCCTCGATGTCGTCTCCGGTATGGCCGCCGCCCTTGGTGAGAGCTTCGCCGAGCTCTGGAAGGTCTTTGAGAAGACCGTCCTCCGCTACGCTGGCAGCACCGAGTCCATCGAGCGTGCCACCGCTGTCGGTGTCCTTGCTGAGTGCATCAACGGCATGGGTCCCGCTTCTACCCAGTTCACCCCTGGCTTCGCCAAGCTCCTTGTCCACCGTCTGAGCGACGAGGACCCCCAGACCAAGTCCAACGCTGCCTACGCCATCGGCCGTCTCGTCGAGCACTCCAACTCGAACGAGATCGTCAAGGAGTTCCCCACCATCCTTACCCGCCTTGAGCAGTGCCTTCACCAGGACGTCTCCCGCCTTCAGGACAACGCCACCGGCTGCCTGTCCCGCATGATCCTCAAGCACCGCGAGAGCGTCCCCATCAAGGACGTCCTCCCCGTCCTTCTCAACATCCTCCCCCTCAAGAACGACTACGAGGAGAACGAGCCTCTGTTCCGCATGATCTGCCAGATGTACAAGTGGGAGGACCCCACCATCCGCGAGCTGACTCCTCAGTTCCTCCCCGTCTTCCAGTCCGTCCTCTGCGGTGACGCCGACCAGCTCGAGGACGAGCGCCGGGCCGAACTCATCGAGCTCGTCAAGTGGCTGAACCAGATGCAGCCTGGTGCTGCCCCCTGGGCTGAGCAGCTGTAACTGGCTTCTCCCCTTTGATGAGTTACGGACGCCAAAATACTTAACAACGTAATGGATAGACTGGACATGTTTTGGACGATTACTAGAAAGATACCCTAGCGTTTAGGCCGGTGATGCCTACGCAATGACCCACGGACTGCTGCAGCGTTTTGGGCTGCGGCAATGACTTATGATGGAAGATAGCATAAAAGTTTGTATATATTGTTAGAGAAATGTTTATCTTGCTGAGCTTCGCCTCCTGTACACGTAGTCCCCTTGCCCCTGTAGTTCTAACTAATGATGCTAAGCCAGCGCTATTATTAGCTCTCGCCTGGTTTGGTAATGCCCTTGATTGGTGCCTGCCACGTGAGCGGACCCACCTCACCGCCTTTCTATATCTTGCCTGCCTGCGTCATCGTTTGGGTTCCCATCCATTTTTATATCTCCTCTCCCAAGAACGCTCCAGTCCTAGACTATAGACACGCCAAACCCCGTCACGTACACGAGAATCCAAGATAAAGAACAAAATGCCCGCGTCCGTCTCCTCCGCCGGCTCAACGATCTCCAAGCCCATCAAGACCGTCTCGAAACCATGCTTTGGCTGCGACTGCGGGGATACCGAGTGTGATTTCTGTATTTGTACTGTTATGTGAGGGTCTGAGGTACGTATCCTTTCTCCACGTATCTGTTTGGATATGTATGCCTTGGGTAGGTGGCTAATGCTTAGCTTAGCTCTCCAGTCGCCCTGTCTTGCCTTGGGTCCAGGGGTTGAGTGGCAGACTGAAGATAGAGTTGGGCTGGGGGGAGTTTGGGCCATGGTGGTCAGCAATGGCAATGCAAGGCTGGGGTGTTAGGTTGATTTGGTTTGAGTTTACTACTGTGGCTGCTATGTGGTCTTTTACTTTTATTATACCATCTTATCTTATGTTTTGGGTTGTGTCCCGCCATCGCTGGCCATCTCCATTGTTTCTTAGCGGCAAGCAATCTATACATTTCATTTCGCTACAACAAGAAAGCTTCTACTATTTGCCCCGCCTGAGCGCAAGCTTGACCACTGCTTACTCCTATGCTAAGTGAACGAGGTTTATGCTAAAGTGGAACCGGATCGGCCCCCGCCGCGCCTTATCGACGACATCAACTCCAACTCGGCGGGGTGCTCAAGTTTATATTCTGCAGATTCCCCACGAACATTAGGAATCCTGCTTCCTACTTCCGACTTCCACCACTACCTATCCTCCAATAACGTCCATCATCAATCATGGACATCGCACAAGCACTCCAAACCCACTCCACCGCCATAAAATGCATTGACATGCACACGACCGGCGAGCCCACGAGGATCATCTACGCCGGCTTTCCGTCATTACGCGGTACAACACTCCTCGACAAGCGCGACGATGCCCAAGCAAACTATGACCACATTCGGAAACGCCTAATGCTTGAACCGCGGGGTCACAGCGACATGTACGGCGCCATTTTAGTGGCAGATACGGAGCTCGTGCGGTCCGGCGCCGCGCATATCGGTGTGTTGTTTACGCATGCAGGCGGGTTCTCGACCATGTGTGGACATGCAACAATTGCAATGGGGAGGTTCTTGGTTGATACGAATGACCTCAATGTTTTTCCAAAAAGGGACGAGCTGGTTGTGGATGTTCAGAAGAAAGAGGTGGAGGTTCGGATTCACGCCCCGTGTGGGGTTGTCACGGCGACTGTTCCGGTTGTTATTGACGAGCATGGAAGAGCTAAGTCTGATGAGCGTAGGGGCGTTTCGTTCCTTTCGACGCCGGGATATGTTGCTGGCCTAGGGATTGAGGTGGAGATTCCGGAGGAGGTAAGGTGGAGGGAGTTCGGCCAGAGGAAAAGTATTGTGTTTGACGTCAGCTATGGCGGCGCGTTTTATGCGCTCGTTGAGGCGCGGGACATGGGGTTTGAGCAAGGGCTAGAAGGGAACGACGCTGATATGAAAGCTCTGGCTGCTGCCGCGCGAAACCTTAAGAAATATCTGTCGACGCATCCGGCTGTGCTCAAAGCGCTGCAACGGTCTGAAGATGAGAGACTTTCTTTCCTGTACAGTGTTATGGTGGTTGATTCGAAGGTCGGGTACCTGCCGGATGGTTGCAACGGCGCCGAGACAGGGGTGTGCTTTTTCGGCGACAGTGACCAGGTTGACCGTTCGCCCACAGGATCGTGTGTGACGGCAAGAATGGCACTGGCGCATGCAAAGGGAATCAGGAGGCCTTCACAGCGTTGGGCATACAATTCCCTTGTATCCAATCAGTTCCGCACTGGTGCTTTCCAGGGTACAATTGTCGACCAGGGAGCCAGTGTGACAGGGTTCAACGGCGACAATTGGCCAGCAGTAATTGTGCGCGTGGAAGGGAGTGCGTATTATACTGGAGCGATGACCTTTATGTATGAGGAAGGTGATGTCGCAAGCAAAGCGGGATTCACAATGGGTATTTGAGAGTGGCGTCCCCTGGAAATGCCGATATATAAATTTGTCATAAGCTGCTACTCCATCCGCAAATCGTTATTAAGCTCCTTGGCGGACATTCGTTCTTCAGCTAAGTCGAGTTCCCGAATACGTATGCTGATCCAGTTCCATCCAATGCACGCAGGCGTCGCGTCTTTATCGGTAGGCAAGTGCTGCCCTTTGCGGTGAGCGCTCTTCATATCCGCGATTTGGATCATATATACCTGTTGCAAGGAACATCGAATCATTGCAAGACTCAACTAGGTTCTAATCCAGCCCAGCGAGCTTCGGCGACTTAGAAATGCCGTATAATTACCTAAAGGCCGGGATTTTCGATGCTCATATGCTTAGGCTATATTCATCTCAGGACGCGTTCGTGGACGGTGGAGCATGTGATTCTTCTGAGCAGGATTTAGTCGATGTTCCCAGCGGCCATTAGTCCGTTACTCACCATGTTCGGGAAATGACCGATCAGCTGGGTCTATTTGATTCATGCTCGTCGCCGCATACCTGTCTTCCAGCATGCGTAAATACCTGGCAGCTATAGTCAGCAGGTAGAAAGATCCGCAGGCGGAGAAACCTCACCTCTCAGGAATAACAACCAGCTTCTCCGCCCCAAGAAAAACACACTGAGCCCGACGGGCTATACAAGGCTCACAGGGGTTGATCCCAGAGCATCGGACTTTGCTTCTCTTACAAGGTTCACACCTGCCGGCGCGTTAGTCTTGACTCGTTCTGGTGCCTGATCCACTCACGCAACTACAGCCCGCTCAGCCCGTTGTCGCGGAGGCTCTCCAACACCAGGGTCGGCATCCGTCATTTGCGGCAGAGGCTGCTGTTGCTCAAGAGAGGCAGCGGGCTGCGCCTCGGGATTCATTGTCCCGTCGACCGTACAAAGGTGCTGAGGGTTGAATTCCGAGAGAATCATGCGGCCATTTTCTGGTCCCTTTGATCTGCTGCATATAATGCGCACTCTATACGGGCAAGATGGGCCACTAATGCATTCGGTAGTCCAGTTTCTGGCACAAGCTTTGATGACGCGGAATGGCTTGTTGTAGATGCGCGCGCGCTCTCGGACGGCTTTGCGAGCCTCTTTCATGTCGGTAAGAGTCATACCTTTATACCAGCCGGCAGTCGGGTCCATGATGCCTGTTAATGGGATGGGGGTATTTTGATCCATTAAGGGGGCTCTATACAGAGTACAAACAGGGAGAAGGATTGTTGGTGAGGAAGAGTGGAGGAAGCAGCCGGGCGCCAAGAAGCCGTTGCCAAGCGGAGACGAGACTGCTGACTAATCGGATACTCTCCCAGGCTCCGAGAGCCAGGGCCGTTGCCTGTTGCGGCCGGGCACCAACATCCTGCCACTATCCAGACTCTCGGGACCGAAGAAGACAGGGTGACATCTTACGATCCAGACCGTCTGTCCAGTCGGGGCAGCATTGCCCAAAATCGACTCCCGCCATGTCTTTAACAGCAGAACATTCCTGCCAGTGCCATCCCCAAATGTCGCTACTCAGCCTGCCAAACGAACTGATCTTTATGATCGTGGAGTATCTCGAGATACCCAGACCATATACATCAAATGCACGCGATAAAGAGCGTTGGCATCTCGAAGTCTAAAGAGACCTGCATCCATTCGTCCTAGTTAACCGATGTCTGTATAGCCTGCTCCCTCGACTCTATAAATATAGTATCAAACACTGCAGAGACACAGCCTTATTTGTGGCAGTTACCGTGAGTATGAAGACATAGCCAAATTACTTTTAGAGCATGACACGGAGGTGCAGGCACCCATGTTGCAGGACTAGTGAGATATAAGAGGTTAAGAGTATGACGGGTCGCGGACCTTCTTATTGAGCGTTGTGCCGAAACTTGTGTAAAGCGACCATAGTAAAGATTATGTGATGCCGAGCAATGGCTCCTATCTCCACGGCAGGTCTGGAACCCGTTACTTTTTGGAACCTTGTATCGGGTATGGTACTTCACTAGTAGTGTAGCCTCTTGATGCCGGTCACAGTTCTAGCTTCCTAGAAGCAAACACCATTGGAATAGGAATACGTTCACGAGGATGAATACGGAGTACTATGGTATCATACGCTTTACTGAGTCGTAATGGATGATTTGATCCCGTGGCAAGTGCTGGAATAAACAACGGAAATCCTGCACTCGCCCTCCCAAGTACATGCATACATATTAACGCAGAGCCCTAGGACCAGAGAAGCAGGAACGCTCAGGGCTTCGAAGACATGCCAAATCCAGGCACATCACACTCCGCCTCACCCCTAAACTCCTGCAATCCATCCATCCACTCATCCCAAAGTTCATCCGAAGCCATGGGCGCATAACTGTATTTCTCCGCCCCACTCTCAGCAACCAGGCGCTCAAGGTCAGGGAGTAGCGCATCCGCAGCCCGAGCTTCCATCTCCATTTGCTCCTTCCGACTGATGCCCCCTTGCTCCGTGTACCAGGCGGAGTCCTCTAATATTACGCCGGCTTCGTACAGTGCAACGAGTCCGGGATCAATTGGTGCTGCGGCCGCGGCCTCAACGGCCATGCGGTATCCGATGGCTTGGATGAGAGGGACGGAGAGCGGGAGGATGTTGCGGTTGTATGCCTCGCTACGGTGGCTGCCGATGTTACGGAGGGACTCTTGTCCTTCGGCTAGGAGGCCGGCTTCGTGGCGGGCAATGGCGCTGTCTGGGGTTCTGGGGGCTGGGAGGCGGTACCGGCTGAGGAGCAGTTCGCTTGCGAGGCCTAGGAGTTGTTAATGAGTGTTGCATGATGGATGGGTACTTCTGGGAAGGGGACGTACGAATTGCTAGAACTCGGCTATCACCCTCTGCAATACCGACGGCGCGGAATGAGAGCTAGGACTTCGTTAGTCGTGGCACGAAAAGTGGATTTTCCCTTTTCTTCAATCGGCTTACCTCAATTTGTAGGTTCTGATTCTGCTCGTAGACACCACGCCAGCCTAAGCCGTCATGCAGGGCCTTGATGCTCTTTGTAAAGTGGTCCACTGCAAGCACCTTGAAGATAGTAGCGACAGCGTGGCGGACGCGTGGCTCAAGCTTTGGGTTGCGAAATAGTGTGGCTGCTTCGATGAGGAGCGCCTGTAGTACGTGGTATCGCGCAATCGCGTGGAGTATGGGAAGGTGCTGGGTGCGGAAGTTGATAACAGGCATTGGCGACCCATCGTTTCCCAGAATAAAACGGCGCGCGCTGAAGCGGGCGGCATTATATGTCACTATCTTTAGTCCTGGGATGGCGACGCTAGAGAGCGATAGGGTCCCGGCGCCTACACGGTGAATGGTCGCCAGAAAATGGTCACGCTCGTTGGCGGGTTTCTGAAGGCTTCCGAGAAGCGCAGTACCGGGGAGTGTAACGCGGTTGAAATATGTGATTGAATTGCCAATTGGATGGGCGCCAGTACGTGGCGGCATGAGTCTGTTGCGGTTAGCTCAGTCCGATAAAGCAAAATAGTCTCTCATATGGGCGCGAGGATTACTTTGATACTACGCCCTTGAACATTTCATTGCCGTCATTCAAGGGAACAACAAAGGGACGCACACCCCGGTCTTCGCCCTCGACAATGAGACGAGCCATGACGAGGGCAAATGTTGGCAGTCCACTTAGAGTTGTGCTGGGTGGCATGCACCTGTTCGAGTTAGAGATGCCATAAACGGTGGCAATCTGGAACATACTTTGCAGATCCTGGGGTAGGGCTGTGAAGCTCAAAGCCCCCATCCGGCAACAGTGTGGCTGTCGTTTCCAGGTTGCGTGCGTCCAGCCCATGTCCGACTTCAGTGAGCATGAAGGGCATGCTAAATAGCGTGTTAAATCAATCATGTAAAGTCGGCCCGGAAATTTCACCGACAAGACCTCAAACTTCATCGCACGCTGTAATATAGCCTGGAGAGCCGGGCGCGCTTTTGCAAATGGCGCCGCGGTTCCCACGCATAAAGTGTACTGAACACTGATGACTGTCATTGCACCGCCCTCTCTCGCAACGATAAGATCGGTTTGCAGCTTCCAGAATGCTGTCGTAAGGTATAGAACATCTTCCACAGTCAAGTCTGTCATTTGTTAGCTGGTGAATAATCAGCATCACGGCTACAACATACTGTATACTTCGCAGATCTTCTTTGCTCGCCCAAAGGTCACTTGAGTTCGTTCCTCCGGGCTCATGGAATGCGGCTCTGGCTTGAACAACGGCGTCTGGACCAGTTCAAAGGTGGGTGACTCGGGCTGCCACACCTGTTCGTAGAGGTTACTTCCCTCCTGGACGGTGTCGGGCTCTGACTTTGGTAGACGCATTGCTGGACTTTGACAACGAAGTGAGAAGAGAAAGATTTAGACAGGTGTGCTTTTAGTTTTCGGAGTAATTTTGGAAAAGTGTGAACTGGGCATTGGTGCACACAGAGGAATTCATATCAATAATCAATATTTCCGGGCGCCAGATGATGGCCTAGAGCAAGACCTCATTCAGCCGTAATCCTCAAGCCACAAGATGCATATTTTCTTGCAGCAAACAACCAATTCTCGCAATTTCAAACGGATACATGGTATTTGTCGTCGCTGGCACCCACTAATCGAAGAATTGAGATTTCAATTGCAGACCACAGTGCCGGCGGTAGCTGATTCGCCCCATAGTTCCTGATATATCTTTCTCCAGAAGGCCGTTCATTACTCGATAAAGCATACTCCGTATGCCGTTCCGCAACCACTTGTTGCCTTGTTGGTGCCAATGCGTTCTTCGGAGTCTCACATTTGCTAAAATTTATGGCGGCCGGGTGGCGCTGTAGACGGAATACTGGTAGCCAGTGGTGTCATGAGTCTTTCGCTGCGCAGCATAGAGGCTGCCATTGCCCCTTGAGAATTCGGTTATATTGATCATCGCAATTCAGGTCGAGTCCGCTATCAGAGTATCTAGTCCCGCTCTTTGCAGGGGCCTGATCGCTTTGGGACCTTGACTGACTGCTTGCTGGAGAACGGCATCTGCGGTGAATGTTGCACGACACCTAATTATGAGACTTTTGGACATCTAGTCCGCTTCACCCGGCTAGCTTCATCTTCATGAAGGGTATCTGTCCAAGTCAAGCTGAGCATGCGCGGTGACAATGCTGATGGGCTACGGAGTATAGTGGCTTCCATGGATTATGCGATCTGTGGTTCTTCAATTAGCCAACGGTACATAAACATCCCAGGTACATTCTTCCTGCGCCGGGCTAGCATCTCTTCGATAAAAAAAAGCAGGCTGGGTCAAATCATACCACTCACAGCTCGGCTAGGCAGATATCGATGGGGGTAAGCAACAACCACCCCTTGAGTTGTCTAATTCGTATCAGGACTCATTATTGGGCTGCCACCGCCACAGTACCTGCCAGTACGTAGTATGTGGTGTGCTACCAAGCAGGTTCTGGGTTGCACAGAGGAGGATGCAGCTGGAAGAAGCGCGTGCGGCGTGCTCTAGTCGCCCAAGAGTGGTCACATGCTCTTCAGATCGGCTGAGCCTCTCACCTGGCGCTTATCGAACGCTGCCACTTTCGCTGCCTGTTTTCTCGCTTTCGTCGTCTGCTCATCTTCTTCTCCAAAATCTATGTCTACTTTACAATGATCTTGTCCTAATTGCGACTCAAAGAGCGCGGTCAGCACGCACCGCAACAATGAGCAGACGCCGGCTCCCCGCAGACCTCCCCCATGACTTCCGTTATCCGCTGATCCCTCATGAGAATGATCGCGAGTCTTTCGCTGACTACGACCTATACGACGATGATGGCGGTCGCTCTAGAGATCCCCTGGTCTACTCGAACTACCAGCCCCGCGAGAGGAGCCCCGCTCCCCAGATTGTGCGTGTCGCTAAGCAGCCTGAAATAGTTAGACGGCAATCCCTCCGCCCATTCTCCGGCGACTGGGACACATTCGACCCTGTCGGTCCGACCGGCGATTCAAAAGTACCGGGGTCATATCATGACACAGATGCAGAGGATAGGGCAACTAAGATAATCGATGCCGTTTCACGGAGCGCTTCTACACGCGCCATCGATGAGGCGGATCTGTACTCCGATGACTCGGAGAACGTGGATTTCGGGCGCGACGAGCCTTTGGTCTTTCCACAACTCCCGCTGGAGGAGGTGGTTCATGAGGTGGCTCACATACTACGGAGAAGATCAAATCCCGCCAGCGAAGGCTATACCTATATCTTCGCAGACCACACCGGGCGCAATAAATTCTATAAGATTGGCGGCGCAAGGAATGTCTCAGACCGTGTGAACGACCATCGAAATATCTGTAATATATCATATTTCAGTGTTCAAAAGAAACCCTCCACGCCTCTCCGGCAGTACAAACGCTTGGAGAAACTGGCACAGGCCGAACTAATCAATATGAGCTACGATCCCCGCTGCGTCTGCGGAATTCAACAGCGCCAGTACTTCTGGGGAAGTGATAAAACTGCTTTTGAAATCCTGGATTTCTGGTCCAAATGGCTCGGGAATCACGCCCCCTATGATAAGAACGGTTATCTGCTACCGTTCTGGGAGTACCGACTGAGGGTGTTTGAGGCGAATATCGATAAGAACTTCGACTGCAATGGACCAAAATGCATGAAGCATACCGAAGACACCGTGGCGTGCCCAATCTGCCTTCGAACGGGATGGAAAGCATGGGCTGAGCCGTCGGGACTCGACAAGATCGAATTCGTCTCACGGACGCAGATCAAGATTCAGTGGGTTCACAACGCTCTGCTCTACCTGTACAAATATATTCCTATACAGGACAGCGTATGGGTATACTCCATCGACGGCATAGCGAGCGCAATCTCCATGTGCGATCGGTTCAAGAGCCCTGAAATACTCCTCAACCTACTGTACGCTCGGCTTTTGATACCCATGATCTGGTCGACACTCTTCACGACTGCCGACTACGTCTCAATTCTTGGTATCTTTGAAATCATAATATTCTCGGGAATTTACCAGCTGGTCAGATTAGAGCTAGCTCAGCTTGGCGTACGACGGCGTGGTACTGAGAGATCCAGCAAGGACGGCCGCCATGTCCGGCGAAAAGCTCTCCCTTCCACTTCAGGTAGGGCTGTCGATGAATCAAGTGGCCGGAAGTCTTCGAAAGAGCCGAGTATTCTTGAAATTCCAGACGAACGAGTTGAGAACATCCTGCAGCGATCAGCTCCAAGCAGCGTCAACGGCAACACGTTCGGACCAGTGCAGATGACTCTTCCTAGCGAAGCAGCTGCACGTCTGAAACGATATAAGCCTGGCAGGCGGAGGAGTGACTTTGTATGAGGCGCTGAGTATATGAATTTCGTCCTTTCTCTTGCATATGTTGCATACTCTTGGGCATATCGTCGGCTGCCACTAGGCTCGTTGATCGGGCGGGTAGCCCCTTGTCATGGGGTATCTTCTCATGTTATCTCATTTCCAACGTCACTTACTTCACTTTTACGGTTCATGCTCGGTATACCCGCGTACCTTTTTGGCTGTCTTAACGATTGATGACTGAAAATGACTTGAATGTGAGCGATTAATTCATGACAACATACGAAGAGATGAACTGATATAACTACGTCATTATCACTAAGATATCCTAAGACTGTCAGCTAGTAGATTAAATCTCTCCCAACATGTACTAGCACAGCGATCTGGCGCGGAGGCTGAAGGCTTATGATCATAACTCCGCTTAGTCATGAGCTTATTTCGGGCCACGAGGGGCCTTTGTCAGCGGTTCGGAGTCTGACAAAATCCCCCTTCAGCTCCCTTTCATCTCTCTTCCATCAAGCCTCGTCCTGCGATACCTCCATATTTGACTGTTGCGAGACGTACATTGAGACGTACATTTTGTATAGTTTCATGATCCTTCAGGAGTGGCGTCATGTATCCTTCTCCGAACTCCGGCGAGCGCTCGGATGATGAGCAGCCACAGCCGAGTAAGCGAACCGCAAGGTATGGATCCATAGCCATGTGGAATTGTGGAGGGATGAGCATACTGAGATATTCTTAGGGCTTGTGACGCTTGCTACAAAAGGAAGGTATGTATCTATAGCAAGCTATGTGGAGAGATGCGCATACTGAGACATTCGCAGATCAAATGCGACGCTGCAGTACCGAAGTGTAACTGGTGTAGCCATCACGACTCGCCATGTACGTTTGAACGTAAGGTTCGAAGAACGCGCAAACGGGTTGTTGGTGGGAAAGAGTACGTACCCCGGACTATGGCTTCATGTGATGTACTCATTTGTCCCCAGGCTTGCGGCTCCTACTCCAGGGTCTCAGCTTTCTGAACGCATCGCCAGAATAGAGAAACTTCTTTCCGAGAAGCTTCCACTAGAGCCTGGTTAGTCTAGTCGGCTTCTCGCCTCGGGATGGCCAGTAACTTACTTCTATAGCATACTCCCCGGCGCCACCACCGCAGGCTTACTCTCCCAGTCTTCCTCTGGATTTCACACCGAGTCCGGCGGCTTTGCCACAGGCGTCTGCGTCTTCTTCAGTCCCCCTGCACTTCGCTGGAAAAGAGCTGGGCGCGATCAGTTTGTTTACCGGAATACCTTTTATTCTCCCTGAAGGGCAGGAGTGGGTGCAGTCGCGGACTGGCCAGAAGCTCGCTTTTGACCAGTTCACCTCGAGCCGAGCTCCATGGGAGAAGCAGCGGGTGCAGAATACCAACGCCATGCTAAGGCAACTGCAAGGATCAAATGCCCTTGAGCTGCCTAACCGTCACGATATTGAACTGGGCTTCAACACTTATCGCGCGTCTCTCATGCAGCGTGTCTTTCCTGCCGTTGACCCTGTTCTTTTCTGGAAGACGATCAATTCGGCCTACAAGGAACGGCCTTCTGGCTCTGACGGTGCCCACGTTAGCTCCAAAGCATGCATTTTTGCTTTTGCGACGTTTGTCTCGGGACTCTGCAACCCATGCCTTCTAGACACAGGCAGGGTAATGCCGCGGTTTGATGAGGAGGCTTGTGCTCTCAAAGCACGATACCTGTTAAGTCAGATTCTGCAGGAACCTCCGACATTAGATGGAGTACAAACTGTTATAATGCTGGTATGTTTGTCTTGTATTCTGATGTTAGCCCTGGTTCCCATATTTCAGCTAACTTACTCGATCTCTCATTTCAGGGGATGCTGGAGCTATTCGCAGGCAATTTGCAATCAGCAAATTACTACGGTTCCGTTTCAGCTCGCATGTTATTCATGCTTGGCGCCCATACCTTCACCGGTCAACGCTCCTGGTTTCCAGACTCGTTCACGGATACCGAGATGCGCGTCAAGGGCCATCTCCGCAACCTATTCTGGCTCTGCTATACCTTAGAGCAGGACGTCTCCCTCAGGACGGGGCAAGCCCAGTTGTTTTCCGAAGACAACTGTGACCTGACCTTACCCCCAAATTACGTTGAGGAAATGGAAGCGAGTCTCGATATAAAAGACGCCTCCGTCGACTTCCCCCAGAACCCACTCTTCCCAATCGACCTCCGTCTAGGCGTCATCAAATCCCGAGCATACAGCGCACTCTACTCGTTCAAGGCAATGAAGAAGACAGACGCAGAGATCCTAAGGGATATCCGCGAACTCGACGACGAACTGGAGCGGTGGCGTCTCTCGTTACCCGTGAGATGGAGACCAACCCTTTCTTTCTCCCAGGAGAAGCCAGATCCAAACTGCAACATGCACTCCGTCATCCTCCGCCTCAACTACCACCTCTGCATGACTATCATCCACCAGGCAAGCAGCCGCTGCAAATCCTGGGCGACGCAGGGCTGCGTCATGGACGGCGTAAGCTCCAGCCTTGCTCTCTCTGTCGAAGCAAGCCGGTCCACGTTACTCTACCTCGAAGCATCGGGGCACGTCCTTGTCAATGGTGTTTTCTGGTACGTACCAACTTCATCTCTATCATCATTTACCGTGGTGTATGTACTGACACTGACGAACCCAGGACCCTAATCTTCTACCCCATGTCCGCCCTCCTCGCAATCTTCTGCAACATCCTTCAGAACCCCGCCGAACCACAAGCTTCCAAGGATCTAGCCCTGCTGAAAAGCGCAACGGGGATGCTGGAACGGGTTTTCCTCAGACAGGCGTACTCGGTCAACGAGCTCGTGCACGTTAAGCTGGTTGCAGACTTTGTCAATGAGTTGTGCAGGCTTGCGAGCTGTGCTATGGATAAGGCGTGGAATGAGCGGACTAGCGGCGCGCCTACGCCGTTGTCTTAGATGGTGAGATGCGAGGGCTTTAAAACACACATGTGGGCAGTGTTGGGTATGGACGACCGGTTAGAGGCGTTGGGGGGGTGGGTATTTTCTTCGGCGGACATTTGTTTTTTTTTTTTTTCCTTTTCGTTTTTATGATGACAGTACTTAGCTACGAACATGGTCTACGACTGCAGGCGCAATTACGGATATGGAGTATGGTAGAAGCAGACGGGAATTATGGTTCAATGCAAAATTTTCATTTCAAAAATGGCTAATTAACTGATCAAGCAAGGGGTATCCTAAATCTAAGCGAGTCAGCACGAATCCCATAAATGGTATTTCGAAGATCGCAAGGCAAAGTAACAAGCTCGACTTCAGATAAATGAGGTAAGAATGCGCAGTTATCACCAAAGCGTACAAGTACGTTCAGATGGGGTTGAAACAAAGATAAAGGCAAATCATCATTGAAGAGCTGTTGGGTGTAGAGGATAGGTTGACTTACTCAATGCAAGTTTAGTGGCAGGTATAGGCGTGTAATGATTCATGAAGCAGCAGACAACATCAAGTCTGGGCCGATTGAATCATTTGCATGCCTCCGAAAAGAAGGATTGCATGTTCAAGCTGCTGTTGTTGTTGTTGATTGAAGCTATCAACAAAACTTCTTGTCCTGCAGAAAAAAAAATTGGCGCCGTTTTAAGGAAGCGAAACTAGTGCGGCACGTGATTTGCGGGCCAACGGATTTTCCGGGTTGTGATAGGTCCGCTTCACCACCATAGATTTCATGCCCGATAAGATAGAAATGCGGCTCTGCTCGGAGAAGTGATTTGATTGAGGAGGACTTTGTAGGAGCAGTACTCTGAGTTTCGTGTAAGCCTAGGGCCGGCGTCCGGACGTTCTCGACTGTGTAACCTGAAGCCTCGAAATCCTCTTCACTAGGTCAGTAGCAAAAAGACACTCGGGCGCATGTCGGCGTCTGCAGTTCATATGAAGAGTTTCGAACAGGCATACATTTCAGGTGTGTCGGACTGAGCGGCAATGGATGATGCGAATAATAAGTATAGGCAAAATGTCCAAATCAGCCGTCGAGTTTGTCATCCAGGATATCCCATAGTAGCCGGGAGTCCTCCTGAACTCGCTCATCTGGCTTCACAGCTTTCGTGTCGTCTTCGTTATCGGACAAGATTGTAGCTCCCACATCAGCGCCTTCGGCAGCCAGCTGATCCAAAACACCATTCAGTTCTTCTTTCAGCTTGTCCATCTGCTGTATTTCTTCCCTTGAGCGGGCCAACTGCTCTTCCATCATCATAATAAGGGATTCGCGGGCTTGGTGCGGTCGGTATAAGTTCAGCAGATGATGCGCGTTGATAAATAGATTGCGGATGTCTTCAACTTTCGGCTCGAATTGATCGGGGGCCACCGAGAGGATTCCGACAAACTCTAGGAAGTTCAAGAGCAACGATTTGCTTATTTTTAACAGGTAGTAGGCGTGGTTCAGCGGCTGTGTGGGTTGTGACGCGGGTTCCCCATTTGCGCCGGGCTTGGGTGAGGAGGGGTACAGCTGGGTGATTCCTTGTTCTTCGAGTGAGGGAAGAGCTGTCGAAAGCTATATACAGCTGTTATTATAGTAGCAGTAGCAGTTGAATTTAGGTGCCTTACGGTTTGGACTTCTCCGAAGACGCTATACTGCTCTTTGGGGATCTCTGGAGGCACGAGGAAACGGAGCTCTGGGGGCAGTGTCAGAGAGCGCAATTCTGTCGGCGGCCATTCCTTCTTTTTCGGTCTTCCGTCTTCCCCTTTTGATGCTTCTTTTTTGATATCTTCGAGTCTTTGTAGGTTTTCGGGCGTGAAGTACTTCCAAAGAGGGGGAGGAGGAGCGAAGGCAGTGTTCAGAGGTCGGCCGGGTTCAGCCATGGCTGGCTGGTTTGTTCCGGTGGAGTGGGAGCTATTGCTGGTAATGCTTCAGCTCCTGACGAGTCGTCGAGGGTTAGTCGTTAAAAAAGCGCCGCTGAAGTAGAAGAAAAATAGGAGTTGGAGGTGATGTTTTCGCCGGCGATAATTGCGGAGAAGGGCTCGGAGGTTGGTTGTTGGTCCGTGCGTTCGGTCTGCTGCTGCCGCCGGCAACGATATCACCTTCCTCTCCTCAAGCTCTCTCCCTTGTAGTCGCATTCCCGTCAAGGAGCCTCGACTCCCATGACAGTCATTATCTCTTAGGAATCGCAGACATGGCCCGCAGCAACTTGTCGGCCGGGTCAACGATCCCTGTATCTCCATTCGCTGGAGCCTGGTCCCGTGTTTTCCTGCGTTCTTACCCACTGGTGGATGCTATCGGTCTGGCTTGCATTATCGCATGCTGGATTCTTGTATTTCTCCACGATGCTCAATCCCTGTGCCACGTTACTGACTGCGAATCGGTCAATAGATCCAAATATTTGTCACTCCGTTCCACCGCATGTTTGCTCTTGACAACCAGGCTATCCAGTATCCTTTCGCTACAGTCGAACGAGTTCCCGTGCTATGGTCTATCTTCTATGCTGGAGTTATCCCGCTCTTAATTCTCCTCATCTGGGCGGCCACCTTTCGTCCGAGTCCGCATAAAGTACAAGTGACAATCCTCGGTTTCCTCACGGCGTTAATGCTCACTTCGCTTCTTACCGACATTATCAAAAATGCAGTTGGGAGACCGCGTCCTGATCTGATATCACGCTGCATGCCTAGAAAAGGCACACCAGAGAGCACACTGGTATACTGGACCATTTGTACTCAAACCAACGAACATATTCTACAAGAGGGTTGGAGGAGTTTCCCAAGCGGCCACAGCAGTTTTTCATTTGCTGGGCTAGGATACCTATCGCTGTGAGTGTGACTAATGCTTTATATCTGTTTATTTACTAAGTCGTATCAGGTTCTTTTCCGGTCAGATGCACGTTTTCAGGCCTAGGACGGACCTTTGCCGCTGCCTTTTGGTTCTGATACCGATTGTTTGTGCCCTCATGGTTGCAATCTCCCGCCTGGAAGATTATCGTCACGACGTGTATGATGTTACATCGGGTACTATTCTAGGCTCGGTTGTCGCCCACTTCTGCTACCGCCGCTATTTCCCCGCTCTGCGCTCCTTCAGATGCGACACTCCATACAGCAAGGACGAGTTTGTTCCAGAAGGCTTCTCGAAGGTCCCAGATGACGAGGAACAACAGTTATCAAGCCGCAGGGGCCAGTCTTGGACGGGCGAAGAGTCTTATCAGCTTGATGAATCGGTGACCCATCAAGATCGGTGAACATCTCCCAAACTTCGCTTTCAACCATTGCGTTGGTGTGGATTGCCTTCGCGCAGCAGTGAGGTTGTTCCGAGGTTTTGCCATTATTATCTTTATGATACCCTTCTAGTTATGATGGTTATGAGTTTTCTTTTTTTCTAGACTCAACCCAAGCCTGATCATACATAACCGGTATGAAAAGTATAGAAGCATATGCGTCCTCGTTACCCTCATGCTTGCATGGCAGGTTTAGGCAAATACCCTACAATAGCTATTTCTACATGCTATACGCAGGTTGCCTTGAATACAGACAATCGTTATACTTACCACCTGCAGTCTTCTGGGTTTCCCATACGCAGATGCCAAGCCATTCTCGGCTACCGGTACCATTAGTACCCGTACCTAGGCAATGTTAGATAAAATCCTCTGAGGCCAAGGGCATAGTTACTGCTCAGTACATTGTGGAGCTTTGTGGGTTCCGGTAGATGAAGTCCCTCCTCCTGCCGATTTCACGACAGACGACGCCATGATCGACCGGCTTCCACTAGGATTCCCTTTGCTTGTGCTCTTATGCTGCCTCTTATGCTGCTCGGCCCCACCCCCGCCCTCACTTATCGCGGGGGGATTTCTCCGCATATCGATAGCATCCACAATCTCGCAGCCAACTCGGCATCAATGCAGAGAAACTGCTGTAAAAGCAAGTGTCCATTGGATTCCGTATGGAGATATACAGTGCGGGTACTGTTTTGCCCATCATTCCGCGGTCGACCCGTACGTAACGGCTGATCTGCGTAGCTTTTCCAGGCCATTGCAAGCATAACGGTCTGAATTGATCGGCTCCTCTCCGTGACAACTGCCGATATCCCGCTGTAGGGCCACCTGAATTGTATAGGTCTAGGAGAGCATCAGGGAGGAGCTCGGGCATCCAGAAGGACACCCGACATGTGCCATTTCTACATATAAATGCAGGTAGTATTCAAGAGGTCTGTTCATCCGCGCATCAACGTCTAGTATCCAAGATGGCAGTCTTGTCAGAGGTCCTTGGCCGTACAGAATCATTGTCCGAATATGCTATCTACATCCTCCCTTCTCTGTTCGTTTTGTACCTTGCACGAAAATACTTCCACAATGGCCTTCATCGCTATCCAGGCCCGCTCCTGGCCAAGTTCACGAACCTATGGCGTTTCCTGGACGTACGGGGGCGACGCCCTGAGATTACCCATATAGCCCTGCATCGGAAGTATGGTGATGTTGTCAGGCTCGGGCCAAACACTTTATCCTTTGCGTCCCCAAATGCCATCAAAGTCATATACGGCCTGAACAAAGGGTTCACCAAGGTCTGTACCACATCCTTCTTCCCATCTTCCAAGGCTAATGGAACCAGTCCGAATTCTACCCCGTCCAAATGACCGTCTCAAAAGGCGAGCCCCTTCCATCCCTCTTTTCAACTCTAGACGAGTCCTTCCACGCCAACCTCCGCCGCTCTGTTAACTACGCCTTCTCAATGTCCTCGCTGGTCCAATACGAACCAATGGTAAACGAAACAATTGAGCTCTTCCTAGACCAAACAACAGCTCTCTTTGCCAACACCAACAAGACATGCGACTTTGCCCGCTGGCTCCAGTTCTTTGCGTTCGACGTCATCGGCAGCATCACATATAGCAAGCGACACGGCTTCATAGAGAAGAACGAAGACATCGACGGGATTCTTAAATCTCTCGCCCGGATCTTCGACTACGCAGGCCCCATCGGCCAAATGCCCTGGCTTGATAAGCTGCTCTGGAAGAACCCCGTTTACGATATACTGCAAAAATGGGGAATCGCCGATAATTCCCACCCTGTTGCTATCTTTGCGCGGCAGCGCATGGACGAGCGGATGGCAGTCAACGCCAACAGCACCGCAAAGCAAGACCTGCTCACGAAATTCATACAAGCCGGTAAAGATCGGCCAGAATTTATGACAGAGAAGCGCGTCCTCACAATGGCCGTCTCCATGGCGTTTGCCGGCTCCGAAACAACAGCCATCAGTCTCGCCGCTGTGTTCTACTACCTTCTGAAGAACCCCGACTACATGACCCGCCTGCGCGCAGAACTTGATGCCGCCGTGAAGGACGGAACTATAGAGAACCGCCCCTCCGGCCTCGTCACTTGGTCCGAGACCCAGAAGCTCCCTTTTCTGGACGCCTGCATCAAAGAATCCTTCCGGATCTGTCCTGCTGCGGGCTTACTTCTCGAGCGCGTTGTCCCGCCCTCTGGCATCGATATCGCAGGACGCTTTATCCCCGGCGGTACGATTGTAGGATGTAGTGCATGGGTGATGCATCGACGCGAAGAGATCTTTGGGCCTGATGTCGACACTTTCATCCCTGATCGGTGGCTGGATGCGAGTGAAGAGAAACTGAAGACCATGAACGGAACGATGCTGCAGTTTGGGGCTGGGGCGCGGACATGTATTGGGAAGAATATCTCGCTCATGGAGGTTTATAAGCTTGTGCCGAGTTTCTTGAGGAGGTTCGATGTATGTTTTTTTCTCCTTTTTCTTATCAACGATAAATGCTTTCGGTCTGTGGTCATGATGCTAACATTGCTCTTTCAGGTACAACTTGCGCATCCGGATCAGGAGTGGGAGCTGTGGAATGCTTGGTTTGTGAGGCAGTATAACTTCAAGACAAAATTTACCATTAGGAAGTTAGAGGCATAGCTTGGAATATGTCTAGGGGATGCGTTGAGCTTCACCAATGGTTGATAATGGTTGATAGGCCCTGGCCATGTTGGTGCAGCATTATACAGTTCGTTGGGACAAACCTCAACACATTGAAGAATGCAGTCACAGCAGCAAAATACCAAGACCTGATATCGATCGGATGGCCTTATTTACCTTTCTATCCTCGTCGTCGAATTACCATCTCTGTAAATCCAATAAAACTGTAAAGTTAGCAAAAGGAATGGCCAGCCGAGGCACGTTGAGTAGTGGCCTGAGAAGCCAAGTTGATGCCCCAAATATCAGGCATCAGACCCACCTCTTCGCCACCGACGATGAGCAATCCGGCCTGGACCTCTTCAACTCCTTCCGCCGCGACCAGTCGAGGCTGAGGATAATCTACGTTCAAAATCTGCAATGAACCCGAATCTTTCTGCACATTCTGTTGAATGCCTCGTAGAAAGGCCAACGACCGCACGGGTCCAGTGAAGACCCGTAGTCGCGAAGGATGCTCCGAGTGTCGCGCCAGTCGTGTCCGCTGTGACACCAAGAAGCCGTCCTGCACGAGATGCCAGGAGCGAGGACTTCAGTGCTCGACTAAGGTGGTTTTGAAATGGGAGTCGGAATTTGCGAGTCGCGGCCAGGCTTTTGGGAGAGCTGGGGTTTGGAGCAAGTCCAAAGCCGCTGGAAGCCCATCCACACCGTCCGCTTCCGGTCCGAATGCTTTTTTGCTTGGCGAGCAGGAATGGTGTTTTATTCCTCAGGTAGAGGCGTGGAACTTTGTCAACAGCTCGACTGATGCTTTTCGGCTGCCATACCGGGTCACACCTACAGAGGATGATCATGCTCTTGTTACTACTCGGCGGAGTCGAGTAGTTTCATCCCCATACGAGTCGGGATCAGCGATGGTACAGTTGGCCGCGCCGCTGCCCTCCCTATCAGTTTTACCCCAGTTTTCTGGGTCAGTTCACGGACACCTGTTCGAGTACTATGTCCAACGGATATGTCCCCGGACGATTGCAAGTGCCAACACTCCATCTCCACTTGCATCCATTATCATACCGTTCTGCTCGACCGCGTCTGAGACGGTCTCAAAGGCCATACTGGCCCTAGGTGCATGCGCACTATCGCTAGACAATCCGGAGTACTATGCTGTTGGTCTTCGTCTCAAATCCGAAGCCCTAAGAGGCCTCCGCCATAGGTTGACCGCTTCTGGATCGCTTGTCTCCACGTCGGACCCCGAGATACTGGTAGTCATGATGCTGCTATGTCTCTATGAACTAGTTGATCACTGCGATCAACGCTGGATTGTCCACCTGAAGGGTGCAAAAGAGCTAATCCGCTTCAGGCGGCAGCAAGCTGCACTGCCAGCCCCCCAACAAGATGACGCTCCTGAACAAGACGAAGTCACTTCGTTTGCAGAGCGATTCTTCGCCTTCCAGGATATCATGGGCCGTACTGCCTGTGGTGAACAGCCCCTATTCGGAACCGACTATTGGCAGCACAATGAGCGCAGGATCGACCACTGGATGGGATGCAGTCCAGAACTGGTTTCGATACTGTCCGACATCACCGAGCTAAGCAGGACAAGGCGACGGCTGGCTTCCAAATCAGACAAAGATGAGTTCTCGTCGAATGCAGCAGCTCTGAACCGACGACTTGAAGAATTGGTCCAGGATGTGGATGAAGACGATGCAGCTCTGCAAGCCATTGCGGAGCTGAAACGACTTGCCGCGGTACTATACTTGCACTGCGCACTGAACAACGCATCACCCACCACGCCCCTAGTCGTGGACTATGTCCGGAAGATACTGAAACTTGTCTCGGATATGCTCGACGCAGGAACATATGTAGGCCTTGCATGGCCTGTCTTTGTTGCCGCTGTTGAACTTGACTCACTCAATGATGAGCTATGGAAGGATGACGATGGAAATGTCGTGTTCGGGCGGCCGTTAGTCCTACGTGCCTTGGCTGCCATGGCTGAGTTCAACATCCTGAGCGTCGCCCGTACCAGGGCTGTGATTGTGAAGGTTTGGCAGGTTCGTGACAATGTTCTGACACTGCCATTGGGTGATGCCTCGGATAATGATTGGGAGTGCTATGTTGCTCCCTTCAGCACAGCAATGAGCCTGGCATAGCTTGTCTTACCAAACTCCAGAATCAATGCATGGTCTGAATTGACCAGTACAGACGCAGACATTGCTGCCTATGTAAATAATTAAATTAGACATAAAATGCTTAGTAATTATTAACGGTCGCAGATAAACCAATCAGGGACAGCATTCCAGAGCGCGGGGCGAAATGGTTCCGGGGGCATTGGAATGGACGTCAACGGTTGATCCCACAGCAATGATCTCGACAGCCATCTGATAATTTACGCGTTCGTCTCGAATGACGTACTCCTTATTCATTGGCACTTTGGAAACCCTTCTGGATTCACTGCCTTGAATACTGCCTTGACGTTGAAACCGGCCTGTCTTCGACGCGACCCCTCGGCGCTTAAGAACGCGCTTTAAAGTGCTGCCCTTCTCGCGACTGAAGGCTCTCGACTTGACCGTCCTTGCATACAGCCCGCATAAAGTTCAATTGCAATATGACTGCATAGAACCGAACCCTGCGAACGAAGTATGGCATCATCCATGACTCCATCGACAGCTTCTCATAGCGCTCCTTCGCTTCCATTCGCGAGCAACCTTAGCGAACAGTTGTCTCAGCGGTCTGAATCGGAACGGCCTGAGTTGGGTCAGTCAGGCACCCAGACCGATTTCGCAGGAGAGAGAGCCAGCTTGTTTGGCCCGTCGTTGCGTCCTTCCCCCAAAGCGCGATCTTTGTCCGATGCTTCACGGCCTTCAGTGTCCCTCTCCCCTAAGACCAGTGAAGACCGCCCTGCCAGTAAAGATGATACTGCCTTACCCTATGCTCCCCAGACTCCCCGCCGAAGTCCCATACATGACCCCCCTCTAAATCTACAGTCTTTACCAACGAAAGCCGCAACACCCGCGCCCTCAAGCCGTGCCCCTCTTTCCCCGAAGCTCGACCCGTCACATATATACAGCGCCGCTTCTCCAAGCTCAGTCCTACCTCGCCGTTCCCGCGGGCTCGACTTCTCTCGCGCGTGCACCAACCTCCATCATTCGATCTTGGCAGAATCGTCCCCTGATTCGTCACCGACGGTGGGCGGCCGAGGTGTAGCGATCCCGCAGCGCCGTGCGTCACCTGGTTCTGTCCCGCCTTTCTCAACCTCCAACCCCGCCGATCGGACAACCATATCGAGCTCCATGTCAAGTGTTAATATGATGGAATCCGACACCAGCAGCAGCGAAGAGGATGATGAACCGATGGATCGCGATGACGTGATAATGAATACTCCCCAGGCACGGAAACTGGCACCAGGCTTCAACGCTTTCGCTGGCGGGAATGTACCAAGTCCTGGTACTGATTGGATGGGAAGCTATTCCCAAGCGGCTGCAAGCTTATTGAGCTTTCAGCGGGCGCGCTTCCGCAGAGGGCGCAGCAGCCGACATAGCTCCAGCAGCGCCAGTGGCAATAGTTCGAAACAGAGCCCGGCACCTCTGTCGCCACCTGTAATGAAAAGCATCGAAAATGGGAATGGCTACTTCGGACACAGAAATGGCGCGCCCTCGCGGCGGGAGAGTCTAAGTTTGGGAACACGCGACCTACGACTATCGGATATGAGTGATGAAGGGGAGAACCGGGGCTTTCGTGGCCACAGTCCAACCGGGACCAGGTCGGATAGCGGCCCCTTGGGCGTAATCAGGCGTGCTGTTACCCGGCGGGGCAGCCTATTGGTAAGTGCTTGTGTTGACACTCTTCATTGCTATCGCTAACTAGCACTCCAGCCCAAAACCAAAACGTTCGCACGTATTCGAGCGGCTTTAATGGAGGAATCCGCCCCCGTCGACAGCGATGCGAAACGCGAGGCTGAAGTCATCCGCCAAGTCCGCGAAACCGAACCTGAACCGGCACAAACATCTCCAGTGCTAGCCGCATTCTCATCGCCCAATATGTTCGTGCCGCCTGGGATGGGGGAGTACCACGAGCCAGAGAAGCACGCAGCACCTTTGCCCAGCGAACCCAGCTTCAGCGACCAGGCCCATCGGAACTCTGGTGGACAGGACTTTTGGAATTCCTTTGACGAACGTTACCGTACCCCGCCGCCGCCCCTTCGTCAACATGCAGCATCTTCTGTATCCGAAGAGGACATAGCAATGGATATGACGCCGTCTACCGCTTTTGGATCACATTCAAACGAGTTTGCGAAACCCGGCGAGAGGCCCGCGTCTCGTGCTTCGACCCCGCTTCATCCGGCTCAGGCTGGTGTTATTTCAGAGTTGCGCAGGAAACGACGACGAGAGGATGATTTCGATCCTAATCTTCTGAAGCGGAGGGCTGTGTCACCCAGTATGAGCGCGCAAAGCAGTCCGATCATGCCGAATTCGCCGGCTATTACTGACAATGGCCCAAATATATGGGGTCCTCCTAAATCAAATATTGGTCCCCTGTTCAATGATCGACCTGAGACTGGGGCTCGGACAATACCAAGCGCACCTCACACCGGGACTTTTAAGAGGGTGGGCATGCAGGGCATGAACGAAACCAACGATGGCTTAATGAACATGAGCATTGAATGAGCGCTTGGGATTCGAAGGCTGGCAGCGAGCCGGACTCGCTCAAATCTACTAATTGGTCTCGACACTGCCAACATATTTACCAACTATGTCTATGTATCAATATTTATGCCTTAATGTTGAATAGAATATTCCTAATGCTATCTAATAACTACAATAATTATCGTTCGCCTGCATAGTATGTCTAAGCGCACCATGCGTCTTATTACCGCCCACGTGCATTGTTCCGCGGCTATCGCGCTAGAGCTGCTTGTTGACACCGGGGACCGGAGGTTCTCCTCACTCCCCGCTCCAGCTCTCGTTGCTACATTCCTGAAATCAATCTGCGATACTGCTTGCTTACAGTCGATAATCCACTCTCCAGCTCTCAATTTATTGCCGAAATCCACTTATTTCAATGGCGTCGACAGTCGAACTCGCATCCTCGTTCATTGAGGGTGCCCCGCCAGGCGAGGTACGAGAACCCAGTTACCTACATATGGACTCGGACGCTTAGCTTACATGCACCCTTGCAGCTCGCTGATGTAGTTTCCGGTATTGCTACCAATTCCTCCCCCTCCTCCTTGGCCCGCGTGCCTTTCACATGCCTCTTCCGAACTGCAACCTCAGCACTCCGGAGCTCTCACTGAACATTATCCCTCCTGACCCCAGATATCAAAACCCTCACCTCCGACGACGGCGACATAATTCCATCGCTCGCACCCGCCTTCGAACGATACAACGAGTCACAGCTGGCGACGGTGAAGCTTCCCGGAGCCAGTCAGGAGGTAGGTTGCTAGGTTGTCCTCAACACGGGAGCTCGATCTAAGACAGCGTCATAACTGATCTCCGTGGCCGGCAGATTATTGTCTCCAAATTTAACAAGCTTGAGGGCAACCGATACTTTGACGTGGAAAGTCAGACGTCGTTTGAAGTGGACCACGTTACGCAAGTGAGGATTGCCGATATCGCGGGGCTGGAACAGTTGTGCTGATAAGGGACCTTGGCGGTATAGAATGCTTCCGCGGCGCAGTCATATGTTTTGGAATCACAGAATGCGGAACTGATGTAAGTGGTGCGGAGTGGTTGCTGGAGCCACATGCTGATGTCCTCAGCAAATCGCTCCTCAAGGCATTGGGGGCGCATGCTCGCGAGCACTACCCCTCCTCCTCGTACGGCGTATACCCGATTGAGAACGACTCGGCTATTGCTATCCTACTCGTTGCGAATCGCTACTCTCCCAACAACTTCTGGTAAGCAAGTTTACCCAGGAATGGTGCAATGGCAACCACTAATGCGTGTTTCCGTAGGAACGGCCGGTTCCGCTCTATCTATGAGATTCCTGTAGGCGACTCCACCACCGTGACGGGCAAGATCCATGTCGACGTGCACTACTACGAGGACGGAAACGTCTCCCTGAACACCACAAAGCCCATCAACATCTCCGTAGCTAATGCCAGCGCCGAGACCATCATATCGCGCATTGCGGCTGCCGAACGAAGCTATCAGGAGGAGCTAAACAAGGCGTTTGGTCAGATGGCTGAGGGCGCCTTCAAGTCCCTGCGGAGACAGCTCCCCATCACGAGACAGAAGGTCGAGTGGGAGAAGGTTGGCGGGTACCGTCTTGGGCAGGATATCTCTGGTGGAAAGGGGCGGTAGGTTGGTGGTCAGTGGTGTTGTTCTCTGAATGTACTCTTCGAGTTATACTACTGATTTCTTCTGCTCATATAATATACCATACTTCCTTGAAGGCCTTCTCTTTTACCAAATGTAATTGGATTCATTTAGGCCATCTGTGGGGTAAACGGATGCTTGTCATAGAAATGACGACTACCGGATCTACTGTGGAGGTAGGAGCCATTGCTGTGAGCAGGTCGACCTCTGTCAACCCCACGAGCATGGTTTACCCGAGCTTCGATACAACGCCCGATATTAGTACTGTCAATGCTTTATGCTACAATGCCAAGATCTCGTGGGCCTTCAAACTCCTAAACCTCACTGGTCCTGCAACATGAGAGCGTACACCTTGCCTGCTTTCTTGCTGGCTCTCTGCCACCGCTCACAACAACATAGCAACAGCGACAATCCGACTTCTCCCTTACTATCCAGTCAGGCTGCGACAACGGCCATCCAGCTGGCTACGACTCTGCTGGGCCTCTTACAGGCCGACTTTCCACCGCAACTGCCGCAGCAGGCGAACTATGTAACGGGTCCCCCGGTCAGCCTCAAGCCCGCGCAAAAATTTGCTACGCCCGCCACTTGTAAGTTCCCTATAATTGCAAAGTGACTGTGAGCCTGGATACTGCCGTGCCCGCACTTCCAGCATCTAAGCTAAGTTACTCAAAGCCACCGGATATGCAAGATTTTGGCTTACAGCGATTGAAAGATGTCTGATCCTGAGTATACCGTTGGTTGGATTTGTGCCGTTACCACCGAGTATGTCGATGCTCGAGCATTCGTCGATGAGAAGCACGCGGGATCAGACCATCTATTACCCTTTAGCAAGAATGACTGCACACTGGGAACGATTGGGAGGCATAAAGTGGTGATTACTGTTTTGCGTCTGGGGGAGTATGGTATCTCATCGGCAGCACGCGTGACAGAAGACATGATGCACAGCTTCCCAAACATCTGAATTGGCCTAATGGTCGGTATCGGAGGCGGCGCATCAAGTCCAAAACATGATATCCGTCTTGGAGATATTGTGGTCAGCAATCCCCGGAACGGCCAGGGTGGTGTGTTGCAGTACGATTTCCAGAAGACCATTCAGTGGCAAACTTCCCAGCCCAGGGGCTTCTTGGATCAACCCCCTACTATTCTACGCGCCGTGGCAAGCGGACTTCAGGCCCTATACGAAGCCGAAGGGCATCAACTTGAAGAAGCCGTTGACAAGGTCCTGGGAAACAAACCTCGATTACGCAAACGCTACAAGCGAACCGATCCAGTTCGCGACCTGCTTTATAAATGCTAGATTGTCCATCCTCCGGCCAACGAATCATCCTGCAATATGGTTTGTGGAGATGATATGAGTAGTTTAGTCCTGCGAAGTCCACGTACCGAAGACGACGATGACCCAACGATTCACTACGGGCTGATCGCCTCAGCCAACCACTTGATGAAAGAGGCACTGATCCGCGACAAACTGGCCGCAGAGAAAGACACTGTGTGCTTCGAGATGGAGGCAGCCGGATTGATGAACCACTTCCGCTGTCTTGTGATTCGCGGAATCTGTGACTATTCCGATTACCATAAAACAAGGAATGGCAAGGGTACGCAGCTAAGGTCGCAGCGGCGTGTGCTAGACCGTCTTAAGCAGCTCGCCGATCACATCGTTCAAACCACAGACCGTGTTGACCGGAGCCTGGACCTTGATAAACTGCCAATTGTGCCCGGGGCAGAGCTGGACTCCTACATGGATCAACACGAAGGCTTTTATCTCGGGGGAACCGGGAAAGAACTCCATGGCAACGTCGTCAGCTGGGCGACGGCTTCACCTTTGCAGGAGGAATGTATCTTTAAGCTGAACGGGATGGCAGGGACAGGGAAGTCCACCATTTCCCGCACTGCCGCAAAGGTACTTAAAGAACGCGATCAGCTAGGGGCAAGCTTCTTCTTCAAAAGGGAACAAGCAGACCGGACAAGTGCCATGAAGCTTGTTCCAACTATCACAAGACAATTGCTACTCAGGTTGCCTGAGCTATTACCTGATCTACATAAAGCAATTCAGGACGACCCTAATATTACAACAAGAATACTCAGAATCCAGTGCGAAAAACTGCTCCTGGAACCTCTACTGGCCATGGATTAATCTACGCGTCATTTCCCACCGCTGATCCTGATGATTGATGCACTGGACGAGTGTGAAGCGGATGATGATATCCGGGTTCTTCTGCAATTACTTTCTGAGCTAAGGCAAATAAAGGCCCCAACAATATGGATATACCTGAACAGCAGGCCTGAGCTGCCCATTCAACTAGGATTTTCGGGAATCGCGAGCTAAAATACTCCTGTCGCTACTAGGTACGGCATTTAGTGCTAAGCAAGAAACCAGATCTACTGATTCCAAAGTTCTTTGAATTTTCTTTTTAAACAGCACTTTCTACACTGGATGGAAGCAATATGCATTTTGGGTCTGAGATGGGAAGTTATGAGAGACGTCGAAGGAATACAGGCAGTCCAGGTAAGCTCAGCTCTACTGGGGAAAACGGGAGTTCCAGTTCTAACTACTGCAGAGTGGCGAAGACGATGAAATATCACACTCTTTGCGTGACGCAAAGCAATTTGTCCAAAAGAACTGGCAAATTGCTGATACCGCACCCCTTCAGCTGTATTGCGCGGGACTCGTTTTTGTCACCAAAGGACATCGAATTTACGCCATGAGTTCCGGAATGAGCTGTCGTGTTGGATCAGTATACTACCAAAGACCTAAAAGACTTGGAGCGCGGACACACAGTCTCTGGAGGCTATTCAGGCTTGCTTCACGCAGTGAAGTTTCTCCAAATGCCCAGCTCCTGGCATTCGGCTCTAAAGTTGGGGCTTTCAAGCTATGGAATGTGTCTGATGCCACAATGATCTCATTACACCAGATGCTCAAGGGCCATTCAGAAGAGGTATCCTCGGTGGCATTTTTTTCTGATAGCATGCTGCTAGCTTCCGGCTCGCGCGGTAACACAATTAGGTTACGGGATACTACCACAGGAGTTTTATTGAGGGTCATACAGGTCATGTACCTCAGTGGCATTCTCATCCGATGGCCGCATTATGGCATCTAGCTTGGACGACTGCACCATAAGACTGCAATCTCATCTTCTCCCCGGATGGCCGACATCTAGCATCGATCTCGGACAGTGCCTTCAAATTGTGGAACATAAGCACGGGAATACTCCAGCTTACTCTCAAACCCCCGCTCGACATGTCCCCCATCTCGCGGTCCGTGTACTCCATGGAATTCTCGCCCAGCGGCCGCCTTCTAGCGATTTTATCAATGGACGGCACTGTCTGCATTTGGGATACGATCACAGGCTCGCGTCAGAAGACTCTTGAAGGAAACCCAACCCGACTTGACGCGACTAGGTCTCCAAAGTTCTTCTCTATTACCACAGCCCTGGCAAGGGTCCTCGAGCTGGAGTTTGATGAGAACGGTTTATATCTGCAGATCAACTCGCCTCTGCGGAGAAACAGGCATGGTTTACGAAAGAGAGCGATGAATACAACCGGACCGCCGGTTCGCCCTTCGAAGAGACTGCGGCCATCTCGCTGCAGGATCAGTGAATTACCCTTGGCGGGAAGAAGGTATGTTGGGTTCCTGATGAGTATCGGCCTGGAACGCGATTTTGGGGGGTTGCCAGGGTCGGGGATAATGTCCTTGCTCTGGGGCGCCAATCGGCAAGAGTCTGCTTTATCATACTTGATGTATAGTGTATGAAGCAGACGGCGTATATCTAGGCCTGGCAGGCTTTCGAAGGATTATATGAGACACAGAACAGCTGAGCACCGAGACTGTACCTGTAGGTCAGGCGTGTCTTTGGCGACTACTTCAAGCGCTTGGACCATAAGGCAACGCAAGTTGGTGCAACACTCGTCAAAATGAGAGGCTAGTGCCTTGCAAAGTCATAGTCACCAGCGAAACTACTGATTTCTGTCGGATCGAAGTGCGTGCTAGTCATGCGGACAAACGAGCTGTCCAATTCCCTCGGGGCTGGTTGCTGAGCGGTGCAGTGCTGGCCGACTTAGGGCTTGGGTGGGGCTGGTCCGCCTGCACAACCTCACATACCCCAAGGTCTACCCAAGCTGACCTGTCACAGACCAGGGATCAAGGTTCTGTGGAAGTCATCTCATAGGTGTTTTCCAGTGCCAACCCTCGATCAAGAAAAAAAAAGTGAAGGGAAGAGATTAATGGCGCGGACGGGATTGGGTTCCCGGTCATCCCGGTACGGACGGAGCGGTCCTCGAGGTCGCTGTTTTTGTCGTCGGAGACGATGAGCAGGTCGCCGGTTGCTGTGATGAGATGCACCGAGAGCAGGGCTTCGATGATCGATCCGTGTAGGCCTTGTAGAGGGCCGGCGCCTGCACCGATGGTTGCGCCGACGGCGTTGACACAGGGGGCGTTTCCGATTTCTGGATGTTCATTCTGTTAGGGTCCCTCTTTGATAGAGGATCAAGAGAGGGAGGAGCAGACGCACATGGTTTCTTCCTCACATAGAGCGGCTGGTAGATCTGCGAAAAGACCGTTGCACCGCCGACGGTGAATGTGTTTGCGTTCTGGGTCCAGGTCCGTGGTGTTGAAGGCGCCCAGGTCGATATTGATGGCATTCTGCGCGCTCTCGTAGCCCGTTCCTGCTGCGTGGCCGCCGCCGGTTGCGAGAAAGGGGAGAGAGATGTTGGTTGCGAGACGGACCTAGACCACAAACGACGGTCAGAATGATTAGAATACCGCATGATCCCACGGGACTGCGTAAGATGGTCTGTACATCTCCCTCGGTAACAAGCTTGATGGCGGCGATGAAGGACGGGCTGTTGTAGGTCGACCAGCGCTGGGTGATCTAAGCGGTGCACTCTGGGTCATCGGGGAGGTAGATGCGCGCAGAGGGGAAAAGAGAGTCTCTGAAGATCTCTGTGATGTTGATGTCACTGGGGGAATCTGTTGGTGTAGCTTGAGGGGCAGGAGCAGCCAGGGCCAGGCCTAGAGCCAGAGACAAGGCAAGAGCACGGACAGCAGCCATGGTGACGGGGATAGACGAGTCGATCCTAGTTGCTCACTTGGTGCCACCATTTATACTGCTGATTCACCATGTACTACAGCCAGTGGCACCTGCCGCCACGAGCTCGGCGGCCTCGAAAAGGTCTACCGCTTCTCTTCGACACTCTTTGCCCAGGCAGGCCATGAGCACTGGATATCTACGCCCTCTGTACCCTCATCCAGCCCATCGACAGCATCCGGCCGCGAACGGCGTGAAAAGCGCTGCGCTTCGAGGTCCCTGTGCTAGCCCTAACTCCCTCCGGCCGCGAAGAGGTCCTCTACCAGATCCCCACTGCCGAGAATGTCAAGGCGTCCACAACGCAGACGTTCTTTGCCATGCCAACCAAGCCGCTCAATGAGCTCCTAGCCGCCTACCACCTCCGTGAATCGCCTGCCGTACTCGCAGCATTACCGTTACGGCGGCCGTCTACGCTGCCCTTGCATGGTGTTCGCGCTGAGCAACAACAAGGACAGTGACGAGTTCACGACGCTCATGTCCGTGCATATGCGGCCGTATATTCCCACTCCGGCCCCCAGCTCGCAAGACCCACCCCCCGCGGCGCAGGCAATGAGCCCCTACGTCTCGACCATCGCGCCTACAGTCTCCCGCTCGGCATCTGTTGCATTCAGCACTCGAGCCCTAATGCACTGCTTTAAGAACTAGCACAGCGAGGCTTTCTCGCTCGCTTTCCGCGAAGTCTACCGCCGCGCCTCTAGTGGCCTGCTCAGCGGCCCGTCTCCCCGTGCGCCTGGTGCCCCCGCGCCCCCCACCACCAAGCGTATAGCCCTAAGCAGCCTCGGCGTGGTGGACAAGTACCTCTCCGCGCCTGGAGTGTGCAAGTTTGAGTCTGGGGTCAGCATGCTGACGCGCCAGATGCTGCTTTATGCATATTCTTTCCCCGGGCGGCTTTATATTCCCACTGATTATAATAGTGCTTTTTATAGCGCTGAGACGGTGGAAGGTGTGCTTGCGAGGATTTAGGGGTTGCTAAGGGCGGAGCTGAGGCTGGGGCTTGGAGTTGAAATTGGGGCGGAATGATTTGAGGGTTGAGGTGACCTGGGCTATTCCGAACGCTCACATGAGCCTTCGTTACGTAATCTTCAAGTCTTGGCAGTCACGTGTAATATCACCCTAAAAATAAATTACCGCGCATCTGACATATTACAATACAGTACAGTAATTTATTATAATTTTTATTTATTTATTTTATAAGAAAAWAATAATATATACTTAGTAAGCAGTTAGTAAGCGCTTGGCAAGCAGTTAGCAAGCAGTTAATAATACTAATTAAATATTTAAAAATTAAAATTAAATAGTTTAAATATTAAATAATTTTTAAACTAAAAACTGCTTGGCAAGCAGTTGGCAAGCAGTTAATAATACTAATTAAATATTTAAATAGTTAAATAGTTAAGATTAAATAATTTAAATAATATTTAAAAAACTGCTTGGCAAGCAGTTGCCAAGCTGTGGTAGCGGATATGAGCGCTATGCGTATCTAAAGAGTCTTGATTTTACTAAGTCCCGCAGAGCAGGCAAAGTAGGTATAAAGGCAGTAACGCACGGTAAAACGCCCGTGTGTTGGGATATGGCTCTAAATATTACTATATATCCCCCCTTTAAAAAAAGCTTAGATATAATATGGAGCTAAGCTCAACAAATAAGATAATTTTTAAAAATTAAAAATTAATCTTATAATAAAAAAAACACTATAAAGCAGCTATATATTAAAGCGGAGCTTAATAAATTATAAAGAAAAAATAAAATAAAAAAGCATAAAGAGTAAGAAAAAGAGCATAATACAAGAAAAACACTACAAAGCAGCTATATATTAGAGCGGAGCTTAATAAATCACAAAAAAAAAATAAAGCAAAAAAGGTAAAAAGCAAGAAAAAAAATATAATATAGCTGTTTAGTGCGCAGTACGGCAATAATTATTAATATTTTAGTTGCTTAATAAACTAAAAAAAAAAAAACCTAGAAAACAAAGCATGTAAGGCAAAACAGGAGCAAAAAATAAAAAAGTTAATTAAAATATATTATTAAATACCAAATCATTCTCCTTTTTTATATAGCCTAGCTAGTTCGCGAAGATCCTAAAAATATTTTATATATTAATATTATATAACTCTAGATTAAACTTATAACCACGTATTTTATTAGGCTTTATGCTATAAAAATATTTAAAAGCCTTTAGTAGCTTAGCGGCGTTGCTTATAAATATTATTTTAAAGTTATATAGTAGTAAATATTAAACCTTTTTAACCACTACCTTAAACGGCCAGCCCTAATAATATTTACTTTTAATATTTATTTTTATAAAGCTTAAATAGTACTAATAGTATAAAAATTATAAAGCCATGTTCTTTTAGTTTAATAGTAAAGCTTTAGGCTTAGTTAGCTTATATAAAAATAATAGTTTAATTATATTATAAATATCCTTTATTTATAATAATTTAAATGCTTTAAATTTTACCAGCATACTAAAACTTTAATATCTAGCTAAAATAAAAAAAACTAAATAAGTATTATAAATTATAATTTAGTTTCTTAAATACTGCTAGCTAGCACTACCCCTAGATTAGTTAAAACATGCATCCAAAGGCGGGGTAATATCCAAAGTTTTAGGGCGTGTTAGGCCTAAATCTAGAAAACCAGTCTGCTATGCAGCCTGCGCTTATTATAAAGCTTGCATAATATATAAAAAATCCTTAATTATATTTAATAGCAGTGTAACTTGGTCACAACACCTTTTAACTTCACGCCTAGTTTATTTATCTAGTTTTTAAATTACAAACTCTAGTTTTATTATAGTCTTTTAATAGTTTAAAATCCTACTTTTAATATTATTTCTTGCCTAACCTAACCTGCACTTTAGTGTATTATGCTTGTAAGTTATTTATTTATTTTTAAAGTATAGTATACTAGTAAATTACTTATTAAATATTAAATAGCTAGTTAGCTTTATTACTATTATATACTTATTTTAATTACTATTTAGCCTAACTACATAAATTATATTTATATGGGACTTAGTAAAAGCACGGGAAAAAATATATATTAAGGCCAGGTTTTTTATTACTACTTTCTAAAGTATAATAATAAAGTATATTTTTTTTATATAATATACCTTGTGCCAGCGCGTAATTTTTTTAATTATTTTTTTTTTAGCTAACTTTATAGCCTTAAGATTTACCCTTGCCAGCTATAACATAATTTTTTTTATTTTTTTTTTTAAATATTTAAAATAGCAGTCCTTTTTTATAATCCCAAGTCTGGACTTGTTAAGTAGCTAAAAGCCTTTATTACCTTAGGATTTAGGCATTATTATTACTATAGTAAAAGTATTTATAATATAGTTTATAGTTTATTTATTTTTATTTTTATTAAAAAATATTATTATTTCTTAAAATTCTAGTAAGTACCCTATTTTTTACATAATTAAAAAGCGCGAGGCATACTAAGGTAACAGTATTAGGTTTTATTTTATAAAGTCTAGTTATATTATATTTATTTTTTTAAGCGTGATATAAAATACCACGGGCAGTATAATAATAAGAAAAAATTTTATTACTTTGCTATATTCCGCGACCCTAGGTTTATTTTATTTAGGGTGTTTTACGCAAGGCTTTTTTAGCTTACTGCGCCCCTTGTGCTTGAAGTCTATTTTACTTATATATAAATACTTAATAAATAATAAAAAACTATGGTATTTATGTACTAGTAAAGCATAATTACTAATTTTACTTAAGTTTTAAATTATAAAAAAAAAGTAATAGTAAAATAAAAGTAAGTAAAGTAATGCTCTAAAAGTAAAGTAAAAATAAAAAACACACCCTAAATAACTAAAGGCGTCCTTTATATATAAAGTAACCTTATATATTAAATACCAATACGGTCAAACGTGGGGAAAGTAATAAAATATGGTTAAATAGTAAGGGTAATAAGTTATTAAGGTTAAAAAAAGTTAAAAATAAAAAAATAAAAATATAATAATATACTAAGGCCGCCAAGACTTATAGTAGCAAGGTAAAAATACTAAAAAAATAAAAAATAAAATAAATAACAAGCTAATACATGCAAGCAAATACTACTCTTTTTTTAAGTTCTACTTTCTTACCACGTTCTTCGCGTAGTAATTTTTAAATTCCTTTATTAATTTTTTCGCGTTTTATAGCTGCGATTTATAGTACCATTTATTATACTTATTAAATTATTTAATATACTTTACTAAATATTTTATACCGCCGCGCTTTGCCTTTTTTTTTATAATAACTATTTTTAATTTATACTTATACTACTTATTATTATTATGTAACTTACGGGGTTAACCACGCTATCTTTTGCCTGTTTTTTTAATCTAGTTTTTAATAAACTATGTAGTACTACTGTCTGTTAGTTTATTTAATACCTTTTTACACTAAAATAGGTTTTTACTAACAGGGGCCTTCTCCAAGTATATAATAAAAATAATAAGGTGTATTTACTATTTAACTAGAAAATTTAATTAGTATGTTAATAGTTTAATACACTTTAAAACCTTAAAAAAACCACTATATTAATTTAATATTTTCTTGCTTAGCGTGTCCTTAATAAAATACCCCTTATAAAGCTAAAGGTATATAGAATTACTAACTATAAAAAATATAGGCACGTGATATTTATTATACTATGCTTTTATTAGTATTTATGCTAACTTAATTATATCCACCACTATCTTATAAGTAGCAAATAATTACTTAATTTTTTTTAGTTATAAACTAATGTTTATTAAAAGGCGTAGGTTTATTTTATATATAAAATACTAAGGAGTTTTATTAGTGGTTACGTGCCTAGTGCTATTATAAATAACTTAAAAATAAAATAATATATTTAGCTATTTTAGGTTAAACTACAGGGCCGTAATTATATAATATAGGTAAGCCTTAATTATTTAATTATTAATTTTTACTACGCTATTACCCTGTAAGTATTAAGCTATT